GGGGGGGTGGGGAGGGAGGCTGCTGAGGGAGTCCCTCCGGAGAAGTGGCGAGGGGTGCGGATCCTACCCGGGCACTGCGGGCAGCACTCTCCTGGCAACAGGAGCGGCTCTGGACAGGGCAAGGGCGGGCAGCGGCGGGCCGGGCACTGCACGTGGCCGCTCTGCAGATGGACGAGGCCAGGCCAAGTCAGTGGTAGAAGGTGGAGGAGACCCCTCCCCTTCTTACCCTCACCTTGGCGGACTTCTCCTGGTCTCCCCAAGTGCCCCCCCCCCACTCTTCCTTCCCATCCGGGTGGCAGACTCACCAGACAGCGACACAGGCGGCAGGGGTCGGAGGGGTGGGGGAAGTCTGCTCCGTTGGGGTACTCTTTCCCAGCAAAGGCACAGCCTGGGGGAGGGGGGAGCTATGGGCCTGGGAGAGGCCTCCCTTCCCCCAGGGCATGCTGCCCTCCCAGCCCTAAAGGCCTACAGATGGGGCCAAGCCATCCCGAGGGACCACCCCCCATCCCGCCCACCTCACCATTGCAGTTGTTCTGGCAACAGGGACCAGGCAACGGGTGGGCACAGGAGGCCCTGGGGCAGGCCCGAGGTTGGCAGTGGGCATGGCCTTCCCGGCACTGGCATTCCTGACAGGGGTCTCGAGGGTGGGAGAAGCTCTCGCCATCCATAAACACTTGCTTCTCCAGGATGCAGTCTGGGCAGTGGGGCGGGTGGGCAGGAGTGAAGACAAAGACTGACAGTGCAAGGAGCAGGCTGACAGTCCCTCTACCCTTGAGTCCAGAGCCACTGCAGAAGTGCCACTTGGAAGCTGTCCCCATGGAGGGAGAGGAGGAGGAGGAGGGGCTGTGTATACGGACAAGCATATCTCCCCGAGCACACACTTGTGTGTGTGTGTGTGTGTGTGTGTTTAGTTCCTTTACCTGCAGGCAGATGTGTGTGCCTCTGAGGGTGAAGAGCCGAAGGGCTCACGCATGTGCATGCCTGTGTTTGTGATACGCGCCCTGCACACTCTCCGTGTGGGCGGGGATCAGGGCACACAGCATCCCAGCTCCCAGTCTCTTGCGTAGGAAACCTGAACATTTGTTGCATGAACCAGGCTTATACAGGTAGATATACGAATAGATGTGCGTGGTGGGGGTATTGGAAGAGGAAGTGTAGGAAAGGAGGGAAGGGTGGTGTCGTAACATGAAGGGACAAACGAATGTCTACTCTTCTCTCCCACCCGTACCTTGTGAGTTCCAGAGAGTCCCAAGCTGTGTCAGACTGAAAAATTCGGAAGGCCATTGCTTTCTAAGGTATCCGTTGGGCCCACGGGGCCATGGAGTGGCAGGGTCAAGGGTTCACCAAGCCAGACAGGTACAGTAAGCACGTACCTGGGCACCTGGGGCAGCACTGGCCGGGTCCACTCTGGGGCCTGGCACAGGTTGTGGGAGGGCAGTTGACCAAGGAGCATGTCACGGTCCCATCCTGGGAGCAGGTGAGAAGGCAATGGGGGTGGGCCCCGGGAGGGGCTCAGCAGGGCAGCAGCAAGCCTGGGGAGGTACCTCGCAGTAGCAGGTGTGGCAAGGGCTGTCTGCATCTGTGAAGTTCTGCCCGTTGGCGTACACTTGGCCGTGGTAGGTGCAGCTCTCACAGCTGGGGCAGCAGGCACCTGGGTAGAGCAGGGTGATCACAGCCCAGCCGATCAGGGTGGGCCAGGCAAGGCAGGGGAAGAAAGCTAGATTGGGGCGGGGCACTCACCGGGGGGCTTGGTGGGGTGCTGGCAGGGGGCTGGGGAGCAGAGCAAAGCCCTGCACACGGGCACCCCAGCTTGACAGGAACAGGTTGTGCAGGGCTGACCATCAGGCTCCCACTGGACCCCCTCAGCAAACTCCTCTCCACCAAGCACACAGGCTACAGCAAGGGGCGGGGGAGGGGGGCTGTCACCATGGCAACCTGGACACATCCACCCATCCCTGCCCTTCCCAGACCATAGGACCCTTCCCAAGACCCTGGCTTAGCCCTCCCCACAGCAGCCTCTGAACACACTCTGGAATGGCTGGTGGACTTAGGAATGCCTCCCCTTACGGTGAAGGAACACTCCTCCATCTCTAGCTGTTGGGAGAAGCACCCTTTCGTGGTTGCCCCCCAACACACACACCTGGGCAGAGCTGGGGGCCAGAGTCAGACAGGGTGCAGGGGGCGCCCGGGCACTCCTGCTCCTCACAGGAGACCTCGCCGGCCTAGGAGGGAGGCTGGGTGAGTGGCCCTCAAGGGACAAGACAGATCCGGGGCGTGAGACAGCGGCACCGCCTACCTGGCAGGAGCAGCGGACACAGCGGCCACTCTCTTGGAGTCTGAAGGTCTCCTGGCTCTGATACTGGTGTCCCTGGTACTCACAGCCTGGCTAGGATGACAGAGGGACTGGGGCACAGGGCTGGGGGCTGATGGGGAAGCCTCAGAGCACCTGAGGCATCCACCCCCCACCCTGACAAGGACAGCCACCCCTGTCCTCCAGGAGGCCCTGCCAGCCTCCCCCAACCCACACGGGCCCAGGGTGTCATGAGGCGAGGTGAGAACTCATCCCTCACCCGTGGTGACAGAGCTTAGCTTTAGAAGGGACCTCCCCTGTACTTCAGCTCAAGGGGGCTTCCTGTTAGTCCTCCGGAAGCAACCACCCCACGCCGAGACCCAGGGCCTCTCTCGGGGCAGCGCCCAGCCCTCCCCCTGGTGACTCAAGCCCCCCACTCACTGTCACAGACTGGGCAGCACTTCCCAGGGATCCTGCCTGGGTGTCTGCAGGGCGTCGGTGGGCAGGGCAGAGGCTCACAGTGGACACTCCCATTCTGCCAAAAGGACCTGGTCAGCAGGTGAGAGGCAGGCCCAGATGCCAGCCCCTCCCTGCCGGGCAGACACACTCACGGCACAACGGCAGTGGGAGCAGGGGTCCCCAGAGCCCACGGGCTCCCCGCTGTGGTACTCTCGCCCATTTAGGAAACAGCCTGTTGGGAAGAGGGTGCCTTAGACCCTCCTCAGGGCCCCATGCCATTCAGTGTCCTGGCTTTCATGGGAGGCTCGAGCTGGGCCGTCCATCAGCTTTCCGAGCCCCTCCAGGATCCACCTGCTGACTCACCATCGCACACAGGGCAGCAGGTGCCTGGGAGGGGCCGGGCAGGGTATGGGCACAGGCTGGCACATTCTCGCTGGTGGCACCGGATGTGGCCCTCCTGGTAGGGGGCAGAGCAGGCAGAGGAATGGGCCGTCAGAGCTCATCCAAGTGGCAGAAACAGCATTTGAATCGCAGCTATCCACTTATTAGATATTGCTATGAGTAAATTGTGTCCCCCTTCAAACTCTTATGTTGCAGTCCTAACCCCCTCAGAATGTGAACTTATTTGGAAATAGAGTCATAGCAGATGTAATCACTTAAGTTGGGATGAGGTCAGACTGGAGTGGGGTGGCCCCTGATCCATTGACTGGTGTCCTTATATACAGGGGAAATTTGGACACAGACACACACTCACACAGGGAGAGAAGCATGTGAAGATGAGGACTGAAGCCACGGGATGCCAAGGATCTCCAGCCAACTGCCAGAGGTGGAGGGGCCTGGAACAGATTCTCCCTGACAGCCCTCAGAGGGAACCGGCCCTGCAGACACCTCGGTCTTGGACTTCTGCCTCCAGAACCATGAGATAATAGATTTCTGTTGTTTTAAGGCACTCCGTTTGTGGTACTTTGTTACAGCAGCCCAAGAAACTAATATAGATGTGTAACCTAGCATGCCACTTAAGTTCTCTGTGCCTCAGTTTACTCATCTAAAAAAACAAAAAAAGACAATAATAGACCTGCCTTCATAGCCTTGTTATGGGGATAAGATAAGTGTGTGGAATGGCGTCCACCTCTGGAAGCTGACAGTTAACAGATGGTAGCTGCTGCTACTCCCCATGGTCTTTCCAGACACACCCCATCCCTGGAGTTCACACCTATACCTGGGCTCACTACCTTAGCCCCATAAGTGTCTGGGCTGCCAGTGACTCTCCTCACAGGTGGGGGTGGGGCGGTGGGGTGTCAGTGTGAACAGGGAGGGGAAGCACATGGTTGCCAAGGGGTTGGGTGCCCCACGGCCTTCACAATGGAGTCCTTAGTCCTTGGCAAGCTGTCAGGAAGATTTGTGACTCTGGCTTCAGCCCCCATGAACCACAGCCCTCCTTGGCGTGCACCCTGCCTGGACATTAGGCCTCCGTGTGCCCCGCTTCCTCCCCCAGACTTTGCCCTGACTCTTCCTTTATGCCTGGTGTCTTAGCCCATTCAGGCCACTGTAATAAAAAATCCCATAGTCTGGGTGGCTTATAAACAACAAAAATTTAGTTCTCACAGTTTTGGAGGCTGGGGAGTCCAAAATCAAGGTGCTAGGAGTTTCAGTGTCTGGTGAGAGTCTCCTTCCTGGTTCATAGATGGCTGTCTAATTGCTTGTGTCTCCACATGGTGGAAGGGATGAGAGAGCTCTCTGAGGTCTTTTTTATACAGGCACTAATCCCATTCATAAGGGTTCCACCCTCATGACCTAATCACCTCCCAAAGGCCCCACCTCCTAATACCATCACTTTGGGGGTAAGAATTTCAACATATGAATTTGGGGCGGGACACAAACATTCAGTCTATAGCACCATTTCTCCCTGCTCAAATCCTACTCACCCGTTAAGACCAAAGTAAACACCCCCCCATGAAGATATTCTAGATCTGTTCTGCCCAATAGAAATATAACACAAACCACATATGTCATTTTAAATTCTCTAGTTGTCAAATTTCAAAAAGTAAAAAGAAACAGATGGACCTAAATTTTAATATTATGTTCCACTCAAACCAAAATATCCAAAAAGTTATTTCAACATGTAATCAACATGAAGTGTTAATGAGATATTTTACATTCCTTTCTTTCATACTAAGTCTTTGAAAGCCAATGTATATTCTACATTTAGAGCTCATCTCAAACCGGACAGCCACATTTCAAGGGCTCAGTGTCCACATGTAGTGGCTCCTGATCAGACAGCAGAGTCCTAGATGCCTCAGGTCAGTTGTGCTTCTCCCTCCCTGGAGCTTGTGCTGCCTGTCATATCCTGCCCGGCCTCACTCCTCCTGTAACCTGAAACTCCTCGAGTTTGGTTCACAGACATCCTGCTCACCTACTGTGCTCAGAACTGGACATACTGAGGGCGCAACCCCTTCCCCACCCTCATGGTGTTCAGGGTTAGGTCTCCTCCATCTCTGTCCCCTCACAGTGCCTTTTGGGATGTGTTCAGTGGAATGAAGGAATGAATCTGGTGCGCCTGGGGTCGGGGAGGGGTGGGGGCAGCCCAGGAGCAGCACAGGGACTCACCAGGCACTGGCAGATCCGGCAGGGGTCCCCAGGTGTGGTCCACTCTTGGCCATGCTCCCAGTGAGAACCACCTTCTGTGCAGCCTTGGGCTGGGAGGCGATGGGCAGAGAGGAGGCCTGGTGGGAGTTTCAGCCAGAACCCCCTCCTTCACGTGCCCTCTGAGGGCTCTCCTCTGATCCTAAACCAGACCAGATCCTGCCTCTGCCTGGACTCCTCGCCTCAGCCTCCCAGCACCCCAGGCAGGGTAAGGCCCAAGTTCCTTAGCCTGCCCTTTCAGGCCTTCCAGGGCCAGCATGGCCACACCCACGTGTCTCTGGCCCCTCTCCACGTCTCAGTTTAAGCTTTGGCCATTCCTGCCTGCCTGCACCTTCCCGACTAACACACACCCACCTCACACTGAGTGTCAGTCCCAGGCTGCCCTCTCTTCCTGGAATGCCCCCCACTGTGTTCCGCCCTTCGCCTTGCTAACTGCTCTTTAACCTTGAGGTTGGCTCCAGACACGCCACCTCCAGGATGCTTTCCTTTCTGTGCCCAGGCTGGATTAGGTCTCCTTCCTCATGGATTTAGTGTCACCCTCTAGTGGTCTGCCTCGAGGGCCCACCCTGTGTCTTCTGTGCGCAAAGCAGGTAATAGTCAATGTTTATTGACGTACATATCATTACACATTTTACAAATGCGGAACTGAAGCACGGAGTAACTCCCTCAGAGGTACATAACCACTAACAAGGGCAGAATCTGAGCCCAGGCCTTCCAGCTCCGGAGCAGGGCTGGCCAGGCATGGGTGCCCCCACTGACGGAAGCCGCAGGTCAGAGGCCAGCAGAGTGGGCTTTGGGTTGAAGAAGTGGCAATAACAGCCCTCCCTGGAGCTCTACCAGGGAAGGGGCAGGGCTCTCACCTTGGCAGGTCGGGCAGCAGTGCCCGGGCCTCAGGACTGGTTCAGGGCAGGGGATGGGCGGGCACTTCACGGGCACACAGCGAACCAGGCTCCTCTGTAATGCACCCATAGCTGAACTGCCCCTGGGTCTGGCTCCCAGAGACAGCAGGATGGGCCACAGAGTGGGGATGGAGGGAAAATCTCTCTGGCACCAGGCCTCGGAAAGTATGTGAGGGGCTGAAAGAGTGGCAGGTGTGACCCAGGGTAGGCGGGGGTGTCCCAGGAAGATCAGGGTCTGGGCAAAGGTGCGGGGGACTCACCAGGCAGGAGCATTGGAGACAAGGGTTGGAGCTGGACAGGAAGTTGGCCCCCTCCTCATAAAGCTGCCCCTCATACTCACAGCCTGGGGAGGGTTGCCAGCGTGACGGACTGGTCAGCAGAGAGCGGGGTGGGTGGACATTACCCGAGGGAAGGCATGACCCCAAGTAGGTACGGAACCCTCTGGGGCCGAGGGGACGGCGGGGCAGGGTGGGGGGGAGGTCACCTGGCCAGCAGATGGGGCAGCACTCCCCAGGTGGGGTGTAGCTCTCCAGGCAGTTGAGCTCTGAGCATGAGGGCCCCTGGCACTGCACCGTCCCTGCCTGCAGGGTAGACACTGAGCCCTCCTTCCTCCTCTACTGCCCAAGCCGAGTTACTCTGCTGGCCTAGCAGGCCTAGCAGGCTCCAGGCCTCAATGCCGGGGTGGCGGCAGCAGTCCTGCCAGGACCCCAGATTGGGCTTGGTGCTGCCAGGCCTGGGGTTAAGCCGGGCGGTGGGGACGTGGGTGGCAGATGGGACAAGGCTCTGATTCCCTTACCTGACAGGTACAGATGACACAGGGCTCCAGTTGCCACGTTTCCCCACTCCTGTGGCCTCCAGTACAGTCTGCAAAACCAGGGCCAGGCCCGCAAGTAAGAGACCCAGAGAACTGGGGCGAAAGCACGGCCAAGGGCGCCACATCAAAGGGGCACCATTCAGGTGATTCTCAGAGATTGTATACTTACTGCAACTTTCCAGCAGATGGCAGTATAGTGTCTGCCTCGAATAATCACCAGATTCCCATTATTTTACAGCACATGGAAGCCTTGAGGAAAGCGTGCCTTTTTAAAACTTTCACCAAAGACATTATATGTGCTAGCAGTGGCCCTGAGACACCACGTGTCCTACAAGCGATGTGTGTGTGTGTGTCCCTTTTCTTTGTTGGGAGATCCAACAACTCCCAAGACTTTACTCCTCATCTCTGGCCAAGACTCTCAGGCTACATTTCCAGAACCCACCAGTCCCTAAGCCTCTGTCCCACGTTTCAAACTAGCAGCTACCATTCTTCCCGGGGTAGGGCTGCCAAAGACAATACAGGATGCCCAGTTAAATTTCAGATGAACAGCGCATAATATTGTAGTATAAGTATGTCCCAAATACTGCACAGGACATACTTGTATTTAAAAATATGTTATTTATACAAAATTCAAATTTAACAGGGCATCCTTTTTTTTTTTTTTTTTTTTTTTGGCAGTGCCGCTTGCAGGATCTTAGTTCCCCAACCGGGGACTGAACCCGAGCCCTCAGCAGTGAAAGCATGGAGTCCTAACCACCGGTCCACCAGGGAAGTCCCAGGTATCCTATATGTTTAGTTGCTAAACCCGGCAACCTTATCTTCCTGACTATGAACCAGTAACAGCCACTGCCTCCACTCCTTTCCAGCTGTCTTCATGTCACTGGCACCACTAGCTTCCCAAGCTCAGAGTCCACTGTTCCATGGGATCCAACTGTGTTCTTTGGAGACACCCCTCCTTCTGCAGCCCACTGCCATCCCTGGCTCCATGCCTAGGCAACTACAGTAATAGCCCCCTAACTGGTCTCTCTGCATCTAGCCCATATACCACGTGAAAATTCCAAAAATGCCTCTTTGAACATGCCACACTCTGGCTTTTCAGCCTTCAGTGGTTCCCCATTGTCCACAGAAGAAAGTCCAAACTGTAAGGCTTACAGCAATGTGTTCCCACTGGCTTTCGCAGTCTGATTTCCTGCAACACACCTTTCCCCACTCTGTGTGCCTAGAGGGCCTTCAAGTACACCCTTTCCTTCTGGTGAAACCCCATTTTCCCTTGAAGATCCAGCTCGGATGACCTGTTGTATGTAGGGCCCTCCCTGATCACCTAGTCTGGGTGGGCTTCCCCTGCCTTCCTGCCCTCTCCTCTGGCGACTGACCACTTAAGACCCTTCTCCACCTCCTCTTAATCTGTTCATTGGCTCTTAAATCTTGTATTATACTAGCTATATACGTTTATCTTCTCACTAGATTAGAAGCTGCCTGAGGAAAGGAAAAAGATCAGGTAGAGCAGGGGTCCCCAACCCCCAGGCCACGGACAGGGAATGGTCCGTGGCCTGTTAGGAACCGGGCCGCACATCAGGAGGTGAGCAGCGGTGAGTGAACAAAGCTTCATCTGTATTTACAGCTGCTCCCCATCGCTCGCATTACCTCCTGAGCTCCGCCTCCTGTCAGATCAGCGGTGGTATTAGATTCTCATAGGAGCGCGAACCCTACTGTGAACTGCACATGCGAGGGATCTAGGTTGCGTACTGCTTATGAGAGTCTAATGCCTGATGATCTGAGGTGGAGCTGAGGCGGTGATGCCAGCACTGGGGAGCGGCTGCAAATACAGGTTATCATCAGCAGAGAGGTTTGACTGCACAGAGACCATCATAAATCAATTGCTTGCAGACTCATATCAAAACCCTATCGGTGGGTGGCAAGTGACAATTAAGCTGCATCTTATGGAATAGACTGGACATAAGCAACACACTTTTGGTGTCACTGTCTCCCATCGCGCCCAGAAGGGAACATCAAGTTGCAGGAAAACAAGCTCAGGGCCCCCACTGATTCTGCATTAGGGTGAGTTGTATAACTATTACATTATATATTACAATGTAATAGAAATAGAATGTACAATAAATGTAATGAGCTTGAATCATCCCAAAACTTTCCCCACCACCACCCCGGTCCATGGAAATACTGTCTTCCATGAAACTGGTCCCTGGTGTCAGAAAGGTTGGGGGCCGCTGACGTACAGCCTTTGGCTCAGTCCCAGGTCAGAGGCGGCATTTGCTGACTTGGGCTTCGCTTCTGAACACCCCTAGCCACTGCCGGAGCGAGTGGGCAGACGCCCTCTGGACACATGGCAGGTGGCAGGCCAGGCTCTGGGGCCCCAGAACGAGTGCAGGAGGTGGGTCTGGGGCCGGCAGAAGGCTGACCGGGCTCGCAGTGCGGGCAGCATGCTCCCGGCTCCGGGCAGGGTCCTCTTGGGCATGGCTTCTGGGTGCAGGTTATGGCTCCTTCCTGTGGAAAGCAGGCATCAGAACCCTGGAGGATAGGGCCTCCAGAACCGAGACCTCTCCCCAGGCTGGGACCCACCAGAGGCGCAAGAGGCTGAGTTGGCTCAGACTACGTGGGCTACCCTTGGCCCAAGGGCAGAAAAGAGACATCCTTCCCCCTCCCCCATCATCTCCTGCCACTCTTGACCCTCGGAAACCATCTCTTCCAGGTGCCAGCAAATCCCCCAGCGTGGAGAGATCCTAGGAAGGGAACCAAGGGCTTCCTCAGTGGAAGGGTGAGGAAAGAAATAGGTGGGTGTGGAGCCAAGTGAGGGAGCAGAGGCAGGTGGATGCCAGGGACAGATGGATGACTGGGGACACTGAGGGTCCGCAGGCGAGGGGGCAGGTATAGGAAGACAAGAACCCCACTGTGTGCATGGGGATTGAGCTCCAGAAAGCAGAACTCTTCGGAATCAGCTGAAGGCAGCCAGTGGCAAGGCTTGGGGGGATGGGCAGGGAGACCCCACTTCTAAACATTCAGCACACCAGGCTGCAGTGACAGGTAGCTGAGGTGAGGCAGACAGGTGAGGGGAACAGGTATGGGATATCCAGGGTGGGTCACAGGAGCTCACCAGGCAGCGGCAGGTGGTACAGGCATCTGTGGCGAAGGTCTCCCCATTGCCATAGGCCTGACCATTGTGGCTGCAGCCTGAGGAGGAGATGGTGCTGTCGCTCCGGCACTCAGGGCCATTTCCGGGCCCTGAGGTGGTGCCAGTGGGCAGGCGGATGGCACTCACCATGGCAATGGGGCAGCCCAGGCTGGGGGACACAGTGTGTAGCCCCGTCCTGGCAGACACAGGCTGTGCAGGCATCAGGCTCCCAGCGAGCCCCCTCGGGCCAGGCCCGACCCAGCCCCCAGCACTGGGGCGAAGCCGCGTGGCATTCACAGGACTCCAGCTGCCTCACCCTCCCCTGCAGGTCTTTGTTCTGGGGAGAGAGGTAGGGGTAAGAGGCACTGGCTCAGCTTCCCCCACCAACTCCCACAGATTTGTGGGGTGTGAAAGCCAAGGCAGGATGAGAAGGAAACGTGACAGTTCCAGAGCAAGGTGGGTCCCCCTCCAGGCAGCATCCAGCTCAAACAGTCCCAGTTCTCATAGTCTGGGGTCTGGATAGGCTCCCAGGGGAACACGGGCCCCCAGTCCTCTCCTTTAGACAAAAGGGGACTCAGTCCCTGTGACCCAACAGTTAAAGACCTTTATCTATCCAAAATCTTTCCTGATGATGCTCCATAATGTTTGCCAAATACATGAAAGAACCTGGTATGAAAGAACCGATGTTAAGAACTGCTCAGGGCTTCCCTGGTGGCACAGTGGTTAAGAATCCTCCTGCCAATGCAGGGGACACGGGTCCGAGCCCTGGTCTGGGAAGATCCCACATGCTGCAGAGCAACTAAGCCTGTACGCCACAACTACTGAGCCTGTGCTCTAGAGCCCGTGAGCCACAACTACTGAGCCCGTGCGCCACAACTACTGAAGCCTGTGTGCCTAAAGCCCGTGCTCCACAACAAGAGAAGCCACTGCAATGAGAAGCCCTCGCATCGCAAGGAAGAGTAACTCCCGCTCGCTGCAACTAGGGAAAGCCCGCCCGCAGCAACGAAGACCCAACGCAGCCAAAAATAAATAAATAAATAAATAAATAAAATTTATTAAAAAAAGAAAAAGAACCGTTCAGATAAGAATCTATGTGCATTTAAAACAAAACTCTATTTCAGGGTCCCACGGGCCCCCCTTCTCTCCTTCCCTCCCACTACATGAGGCCTGCCCTACCCCACGCACACCCACTGCCTCCAGTGGTACCTGTTCTCTGAGCTCCGTGACCTCAGCCTCCAGCCTTCCCAGTCGCTCCTCCAGGGGGCGCCACCGCTCCTGGGGGGCCCCAGCAGGGGCTGAGGAGTGGGCCGGCGCCTGCAGCTGGTAGTCGTGGATGTCAGCAAGCCCCAGAGGCTCCCTGGGGACGGCTCCACCTGAAAGCACAAGGATCCAGGGAGGGCCTATCGGTGAGGGGCTAAAAAGGCTTCCTGGGTTTGTCTTCCCAATGATGTCTATCCTGTGCCCACCCTTGTCCACCTGTCACCCACCATCCAGGGAAGGAGAGGTGGTCTGTGAGGGGCTGGAGTGAAAGCATGGGAGGAGGAGGAGAGAGCCCTGGGTGCACAGAAGTGACCTAGACCAGCTTTCCCAAGTAGTAAGAGCCTCAGGCAGGTATAAGCCGCAGGGACCCCGCCTCACTGGGAGCCTGGGGGGAGGATCTAGATCAGGGCCTCTCTGTAGGCTGCCCTGACTCTGCAGGGGTCCTCAGCCACGGGGGCTGTGCCAGGGTCATCCAGCCTCACTCAGACCACGGACTTGGCCAGGGGCAGCCTGGGGAGCTGATGTGTCATGCTGGGAGGGCCCACGAGCCAGCACAGGCTGAAGTGCAGGAGAGGGAAACAGAGGAGTGAAAGGCGGGGCTGCTTTCAGGTACCCAGGGTCTGTGTACAAACCCCACTGCTTGTCTTCACCTTCAGAAAGGGCAGCACTTCCGTGCACAGGGAGGGGCAACTCTTCCCTCTGCGGCCACTCCCAAGCCTTGCCACTGTTTTCTGGGCCTGTGGCAGAGGGGCTGGGAACTCCACCCAGGGCAGAGTGGGCTCCAGAAAGTGGGACTTGGCTGCATTTCTTGAAGAGTTCGGGGAGGGTGCTGGTAGGGCCCCCAACTAGGTTTCAAGGCACCGTGAGAATGAAGACAGGTTGTCCCGGGTTCTAGAGGGCACTGGGTCCTAGGAGGGGGCACCTCTGCGTTCAGGCCTGGGGTTGGGGATGGCCACTTTCACCTGACTCTGATCCCCCTCCTGCCGTGGGGAAAGCAAAGGCAGTGGGGGGTCATTGTCTGACTCCAGGTGTCCTTCCCACAAACATCATCCCTCCTCCCAGCAGAGGGTCTGGAGCAGGAAGTGAGTGAGCACAAGGAAGAGGTGGAGGGAGAGGGAAGGGTCTTTCCACCGAGGCAGCTCATTAGTGAGGCTGGGCCTGGGGGTGGCTAAAAGGGTTTCTCGTGCACACTAGCCCCGTGAAACAGGGGAACAATACTGCTCACTCCCCCGCCCGCCTCCACCAAAGGGGGTTGAAGATTCTCGTCCAAGACCTAAATTGTCTTCTTTTGTCCAAACCTGCTTTGTCCTGAGTTCCTCGGCTTGGTTAGTGCCATCCCCACCTACCCAGAAATCTGGGGCTCAGCTTCTTTCTTTTGTACCCCTCCCAAAGTCCATCAGTCTCTGGTCTCAGCTGGTCATCCCCCAACCCCCCCGCCCAGCTCCTCTCCTCTCCCCTCTGTGGCCACTCAGGAGGCTGAAGACTCCCTGCCTCCACGTGCTCCTCTTTTCCTTTCACAGCCTTTCTAAATCACACACCTGCAGGTTCCCAGCAGCAAGTCCAAATGTAAGCTTTCCCAAGTGCCATTCATCTTTTCAGCCCACCCTGCAACGCCCCCCCCGCCCCCCGCCCACACCCCTACCTTGGGCAGGGTGTCGTCACTTGGAATGGCTCTCTGTCTTGGTATGGCCCCTGTACCTCGCTTCCTTCCCAGCCCCATGAAGGGCGGCCAAGGATGGGGTCCCAGTATCTTAAACCCTCCACCCCAGCACGACACCCACCCCCCACCATGATTCCTCCTTTCAGGCCACTCCCTCCAGGCCTGCTTAAGCAGGCACAAGAAAGGGGTCGGGGAGAAGCTGAGGGTCCTCTGGGACCCTCAGGGAAGATCGGGCCGGCCCTTTGCCTGGAGAGACCTGCAGAAAGAGCTCCTGTTGCACAAAGCCTGATTGCTCCCCGTGGACCTGTCCTCTGCTCCCCTCCCTTCCCCCCTGCACAGTCCCAGTCCTGACCTCTCTGTTCCTGCCTGTCCTTCTGGATGAAAGCCAGACACAGAGACTCAAAGTCAGCTCCCATGGCGGGCCTTCTTTTTTTTCCCCTTTCTCAAGACAAATAATTAACTTCAGACTCCCAGATTCCAGGGCGGACTCTCCCCCACCGCTGCCTGCAGGAATTCCTCCCGAGGCCAGAGCAGGAAGCCCCGTCCTGCTCCGGGACCCCATGCCACAGTCTCCGTGCTGCCCCGACCATGCTGGCTCCTCCACCGACGGGGAGGACTCAGGCTGGCCTGGGAGGCTCACGCACCCCGAGGCAGGGCCCAGGGAGGCGGCCACCAGCCCCAGCCGTTCCCTCAGACTGGGCTGAGCAAGAGGTGAGGTCCTGCCTGGCTGCCCCCAAGCCCTCGGCTCCCCGACCTACCTCTGCTGGTCCCCGGGGCCAGTGCCAGGCCCGTGAGCTGCAGGACGAGGGGCAGCAGAGCGGCCTCGGCCCTGGCCATGTTCGCCCCGCCTTGCTGACTACCGGTCGTGGCTCAGCAGGCGCTGGGAGAGGCGGGGTGTGGAAACACCAGGCCGCCTCCCACCCAGCCTTTGTTCAGGGAGGGCTTCTGGTGTCTGTCACCCCGCCCCGTGGCGCCTGCCTTCCTGATGGGCACCTCGACCCGACCCTGGGGCCCAGCCCCATCCTGACCCCAGACCTGGCTCAGAGGTGCAGGGGAGCCCCTGGGAGAGCAGGAAGCGGGGAGGGGTTGGGGGTGACTTCTCCTGCACATGATCCAAGAGCAGGCTCTAAAAACCCCACAAACTCATCACTCTTGGGGTCTGGGACAGCTGGTCTCCTAGCCCCTTGGGTTACTTCGCCACCCTGGGGTTCCCTTCCTCACGTGTTTACAGGAGAAGCAAACTGAGCTGGGTTCAAATCCCTGCTCGGCCAATTCCACTAGGCCTCTAACTTCTAGTTGCCTCAGTTTCCCTGTTTGTAAACTGGGGATCATAACAGCTACTTTATAAACTAACAGTGAGGATTAAGAGAGACTAGATAGATAAAGAATTTAGGGTAGGGTAGTGGTCGGCACAGACTAAGTGCTCAGTAAATAAATAAAAACAAGAGGTGCGGGGCTTCCCTAGTGGCGCAGTGGTTGAGAGTCTGCCTGCTGACGCGGGGGACGCGGGTTCATGCCCTGGTCTGGGAAGATCCCACATGCCGCAGAGCGGCTGGGCCCGTGAGCCATGGCCGCTGAGCCTGCGCGTCCAGAGCCTGTGCTCTGCAACGGGAGAGGCCACAACAGTGAGAGGCCCGCGTACAGCAAAAAATAAATGAATAAATAAATAAATGGGTTTAAAAAAAAAAAAAAGAGGTGCTGCTCCAGGTCTCCGAAGTCAAGGGCGCTCCCGGCCTCCTCTCTCCACCTCTACATTTCTTTCCTGGACTCTACTCACCATCCCTATGCACCCTGGCAGCCCCAGGCTTGGCCCCAAATGCCAAGGCCTTTCTTCTCCAGCCCATTTTCCAGCTCTTGGGCTCAGGCTTGGCCTGTGTGTTTGTGTAGGGGGGTGAGTCCGGGCTGGGGGCAGGGCTGGGCCTTGGGCTCAGCAGGCAGAGGGGGCCAAAGGGAAGAAGTGAGAGAAGCTGGTCACATGGGCCACCAGGCTGGGAAACTCCTCAGTGCAGCTGGAAGCAGGGGAGGTGGGGATGGGCCCCAAGCTCACAGGCAAAGGGATATGGAGGGTGGAGCCGTGAAGCCCGCCAGAGCAGTCTCCCTCCCCATAAAGGCCAGCAAATCAGAGCCACCCTGCTCCCACCCCCCAGCCCACGTCAGGGCTAAAGGTCCCTCGAGCCCACTCTCCAAGCACCTTAAGGGAAAGCAGTGTCTCTCCTCAGAAGTGTGGACCCCTAATAGGCCCTGAGCAGTTGGCGGCAGGGGACGGGGAGAATGTGAGCCAGTGCTGAGACCTGGCCTCAGCTGGCCTGGAGCTAGGCTCACAGGAGCAGAGGAAAGCCAGGGCCAGCCGGCTGCTGGAAAAGGAGCTGGGAAGTGGCAGCTCTGTTCCCACCAGGGTTAAGGAAAATGGTGCCTGTTAGAAGGCAGGTCTCCTGGGAGGCTGGGTGGAGGAGAGGCTAAGAGCAGACTCTGGTGAGGGCTACCAGGTCAAATCCTGAGTCTGATGCTTTCTGCTGTGTGGCCTCAGGCAAGTCATTCAACTTAACAGTGGCTAATTTTTCTTCTCTGTGACCTGTGGCTCTAACAGCACCCGCTTTAATGCTGGAAAGTGCACTCAGCACGGGGCTGGGCACGTAGGCATTAGCTCCTATTACTTCTCTTACGGGATCTCTAACTGTCCCCCCAGCCATGCGGGCGAGGATGCCTTTATTCCCATTTCACAGATGAGGAATCTGAGGAGTCAGGTGAGCTGTTTAGAGTCACGCTGGGAGTAAACCACAGAGCCTGGGTTCAATGCCAGGTCCTTGGGGTCCCAGGGCCCACACGCCTTATCATCACCAGGAGCCCAAGCCCCCCGACACCCCTGGTCACCCTGGCTCCCAGCTGCTTACTGCTCTGCCCAACCCCTCACCCTTGCCCTCCCACAGTGCCTCCGTCGGAGCACCTGAGTATCGCTGGAGAACATCCCAGTCCTTGGGTGACTGGATTTGCTTCAAATTCATGGTCACAAGCCTCAACAGACACACAAGACTGCCAGAAATTCTATTACAATTCCCTGGTAAATCCAATCTCCCTCTCCTGAGAGGAGCGTTTCACACCCTTTCCTTCCTTCCTAAACGTTTCAGTGGCTCTGCCCTTACCCCCTGTATGATTTTGGCAGGTTACTAAACTTTGCTAAGCCTCAGGTTCCTCCCCTGTGAAGTGGGGATAATAATAGTACTTCCGTCCTGATTGTTATAAGGATTGTCGAGACAAAGGCTTACATGCAAGTTTTGGAATATGATCCCAGGGAGCAGAAATGAGGGGTGGGGAGAGCAAAACGGGGAAGGATGAAAAGCCAATACAAGACTGCCTTATGGAGTAGCTGGTCACTGATGTGGGCATGTGTGTGTCCAATTCCACAGGACCATCTGTATGAAAGCAGCTCAGCCAGAAAGTGGAAGCACTTATCCATTGACATCAGTGCCCCACTGGTCTAGGGTAGCACCGGAGGGCATTAGGTGCTCCCAGTTAGGTGTGAATGAGTGCTCAAGTGGGCTACCGAGGGTGCAACAGGGAAATTCCAAAGCCAAACAGGAGAGATTTATAGCCAGGGCCTGAGGCAAGACGCCACTGGGATGCACCTGTGCAGAGCCGCTTGCAGACTGTGGAGAACTGGAATAAGGTGCAGCTGAGAGAATTTGCATAAGCGGTGTCTGACGAATGAGACAATGAGTACAAAAATCTTTTTACAGTGCCTGGCACATTTTAAACACCCAAAATATATTATTATTTTTATTGACAGCATCATCATCTCCCGCTGAGGCCCAACCTGAAAAGGCAGAATATTAACATTCTCTACCTGCAACAGAAGGTGCAGAAGCGGCTGGAAAACTCGCTCTGCGAAATAAAATCCCAGAGCCCAGAGGAAAGGGTGTTATTTGGAGAGCAGCTGAGTGTCCACTGTGACTGATCAGTGTGAGCCTCTTCGGTGCCAGGTATTGAGCCAGATACAGGAATATAGGGATGAATGAATCAGGAATAGCGATGGCCAGAATGCCCGGGCCAGACCAAGGGAAGGGGAATGTGGATCCTGGCAGAGGCAGGGGCGTGAGCACACGACCGCAGGTGCACTCAAACGTCAGGCTTGGAATAAAGGGCTCACATTTCTCTGCTGGGCTAGTGGAACCAGATGCCACCGTCCTCACCAAAGTCCAGTACTTTCTTTAGAACAGGAACATTCTGGCTAGAGAAAGAAGGAATATCTCAGGCCCAGGGTTGAGTCCTTATTTGACAGGATGTCCGCATGAATGGAGTGGCGTTTGGGACCCAGCCGGGTGGGTGGGCACAATAGCATGCGTGGCTCCGTAGGGCAGCACAAGGGCTCCAGGGTTTAGAGTCAGTGAGTCCTGAGTTCAAATCCTGCTCCACCACTGACTGTCTGTGCTGGTTGATCTCTCTTTCTACCTCTTCCATTCATTCTCCCTCTCCACCCCCTACAGACGGCATCGCTCTGGCTTTCGTGCCCTCTGGCTTCCTGTTGGGTCAGCCAGTGAGAGGTGCAGGCGGGGCCTGAAGGGCAGGGGAGGAGAGCGGTTGGGGTATTTCTTCTTGGCCTCCTCCTGCTCAGCACAGCTCCCATGGTACCACTAGTCCTTCCCCTTATCCGCTCAGCCCAGGGAGTGGCAATGGCTCCCTACTATTGTTAGTTCCCTGGTGATTCTCTCTTTTTTTTTTTTTAAACTGGCTGCAGCTGTGGGTTGGCTGCTGCTCTTTGTTTTTTTTGGCTGCGTTGGGTCTTTGTTGCTGCACACGGGCTTTTCTCTAGTTGCGGCGAGCGGGGGCTACTCTTCGTTGCGGTGCGCGGGCTTCTCATTGCGGTGGCTTCTCTTGTGGAGCACGGGCTCTAGGCTCGTGGGCTTCAGTACTTGTGGCACGAGGGCTTCAGTAGTTGTGGCACGCGGGCTTCAGTAGTTGTGGTACGCGGGCTCAGTAGGTGTGGCTCGCGGGCTCTAGAGCGCAGGCTCAGTATTTGTGGCACATGGGCTTAGTTGCTCCGCGGCATGTGGGATCTTCCCGGACCAGGGCTCGAACCCGTGTCCCCTGCACTGGCAGGCGGATTCTTAACCACTGCACCACCAGGGAAGCCCCCTGGTGATTCTCTAATACCATGTCTACAGATCGGTAAATGGTCCCTCCTTTAAGTTCTCTTTAGCTAAACCCTTTTGAGGGGAATTCTCTTTTCTCCTGGGCCCTTAGCTGATATGCTAACCTTACCACATATTCTACTAAGTTACTCTACCTCCCTAAGCCAAAATCTTTCATCTGGAAAAGGAAGTAATAACCACTACGGTAGGCTGGGAGAGTCTAATAAGGCAACAAACATGTGATGTGTGCTTGATGCATGTGCAGCACCTGGTACACAGAAGATCCCAACATAGTTACTTTCTGTTCCTTACCTCCTTCAGGTTGTACTGTCAATAGGAGCAGCTTGGTTTTCCCTGTGCCTTTGGTGGCTGGAAGCAAAAGTTTGCTGTAAAGAGGGAGGGAGAGAAGGGGTTAGTAAATGATTAAATTTTGTACTTAAATTTTGACCTTTCAAGTCACACCAGTTGTAACAAATGAAATAAGCTACCACAAAGGAATAAAGGCAAAGCCCATCATTACACCTGCTCCAGCCCTTCCTTGCCCATCACTCGCATCCGGTGTAACCAATGGTAACAAGGTCTGTTCTTCCACACCCTTCACGTGGCCCACACAACCGCGTGCAAGCATGTGTGCACCACACGATGTCGTTTGGACGTGGTATTTGGGAACAGGCTGTGCAGCATCCCAACCCCCATCCCCATCTGCCCCTGCAAGTCACCAACTTGTCCCCAAGTCACCTCCCTCAGTGGCTCCTGTCTCCAGCTCCCTACTCCCCTAGGACCCTCTCTCCCTGCTCACAACATCATGTCCACCCCAGGAGAAGGTTACCCCGGCTGACCTGACCAGCTGAGCAGCTGCAGCAGGGGGACAGGGGGCGGGGATGTGCTGTTTATCACAGATCAGATATTCTTTTTTTTTTTTGCGGTACGCGGGCCTCTCACTGTTGTGGCCCCTCCCGCTGTGGAGCACAGGCTCCGGACGCGCAGGCTCAGCGGCCATGGCTCACGGGCCCAGCCGCTCCGCAGCATGTGGGATCCTCCTGGACCGGGGCACGAACCCGTGTCCCCTGCATCGGCAGGCGGACTCTCAGCCACTGCGCCACCAGGGAAGCCCTGATCTGAGATTCTAATTCCACAGCTGTACCCCACAGCTGGCCACCTCTCCCCATAATTCAGAATAACTAGGCCACTAGCCCCCTTCCAGGAAGGACTTCCTTTGTCCCTTAAAAGGCCTTCAGGGGTCCACCTCACTGTGTTCCAGGGACTGTGCCAAGCTGCAGCATGCCTACTCAAGTACCAGTGTCAGCTCACACACTAGACCAACACCACTCACAGGTTAATATCACAGTCGGAACGCAGTACTTCCTTGTCAGATGGAACCTGCTGGGATCTTAGGAGGGTTTGTGTATTTTTCTGTTTTCGTTTTTGGCAAAAAAAAGACCAGGGCAATCAGAGTGCATATCTGAACCTCGCAGCAGAGCCAGGACCTGGAGGGGGGTATTGGCAGAATGTTTCCAGGCGCCACACAGGGACCTCCAAGCCACGAGGCTCTCCAGCCTGGAGGGAAGCTTGCCAATCAACCTTGGGCCCACTGGAGAACCTGGGGCTTCCCCAATCTCTTTTCTGACTATCTTTTTTCTCAAAGACGGCTCCCTGGGGATCCCATTAGGGCTTGGAGAAGCTAAGAGGGTGGGGCAAAGAGGGGAGGAGATATGTGTGGCTTCCTGCCTGCAATTTCCTCTTCTTCCCACCCATTTCGCTTCTTCCCATCCCTCACGGTCCTGCTCTCAAGATCCCACAAAGCCTCTTCCAGTGGTTCTGAGCAGCACAGCCCAACAGAACTGTCTGCGACGATGGAAATGTCTATATCTGCACTGTCCAATACGATGGCCCCATGAGGCTACTGAGCCCCTGTAATATGGCTAGTGCACTTGAGGATCTGAATTTTTATTTTTTTTAATTTTTTGGCCGTGCCACGCGGTTTGCAGGATCTTAGTTCCCCGACCAGGGATTGAACCCGCGCCCTTGGCAGTGAAAGCGTGGAGTCCTAACCACTGGACTGCCAGGGAACTCCCCTGAATTTTTACTTTTTATTTAATTCTAATTCACTTTAATAGAAATAGCCCTATGTAGCTAGTAGCTACTGTATAGAGCAGCGCATATTCAGACTGTAAGGCAACTTTGTGCCAGTTAGTGAAAAGTGCAGCTTCTGAAGACAGAATACTCCCTTCCGTTGGCTGGGAAAGTTGCGTAATAGATCCACATTGGCTATGATGTGAATGAGGCCCCCTAGAGAGAGAAGAGACAGTCTTGCAGGAGTTTGGGCCAAGACCTGCCATGGGGCCTCTGGTCAAGGACCTGATCTCACTCAGCACCATAGCCCCACTCCACAGTTTTGAGACAAGCAAGATCTTAGACAGCGGCTGAGGGAGGGGAAGTGGCAGCTGTTCCTTCCAGGTAGTATGAAGAGAGGGGGTCAAGATGGCAAGGGAGTAGAGGCCAGTGGGTCAAAACCACAGCTGGGGCCATAGTGAGGCACCAGATGTCCTGGAACAGAGTAGTGACCTCAAATCCCTATATGTTTGGCTTATTTTTTTGGTAACAGCTTTACTGAGATATAATTCACATACCATAAATTCACCTGTTTAAAGAGTATAATTTAATAGTTTAGTATATTCATAGAGTTGTGCAATCATCGCTGCAATCAATTTTAACACATTTTATCATCCAAAAATAAACCCCATACCCTTCAGCATTCACCCCCTATTTCCCACCACCATCCATACCTCAGCCCTAGGCAACCACTCATCCACATTTCTTCTCTATGGATTTGCCTATTCTGGACATTTCATATAAGTAATCCTTTGTGTCTGGCTTTTCACTTGGCATAACGTTTTCAAGGTTTATCCATGTTTTACCATGTATCCATACTCCATCCCTTGTTGTTGCCAAGTAATGTGTATGTACCAAAGTATGTACCATACTTTATCCATTCATCAGCTGACAGAATTTGGGTTGTTTCCACTTTTTGGCTATTATGAATAATGCTGCTGTGAAGATTCATGGGCAAGTTTTTGTGAGGACATATGCTGTAATTTCTCTTGGGTATATTACTAGAAGTGGAATTGCCGCATCATATGGTAATTCTACCTTTGACCTTTTGAAGAACTGCCAAATTGTTTTCCAAAGTGGCTGTACCACTTCACATTCCCACCAGCAACATACGAGGGTTCCAATTTCTCTACTTCCTTGATAACACTTATTATTATCTGATTTTTTTGATTACAGCCATCCTAGTGGTATTTCATTGGGGTTTGATTTGCATTTCCCTAATGACTCATGATGTTGAAAATCTTTACACAAGCTTATTAGTCATTTATGTGCCTTCTCTGGAGAAATGTCTATTCAAGTCCTTTGCCCATTTAAAATATTGAGTTATTTGTCTTTCTATTATTTTGTTGTAAGAGTTCTTTATATATTCTAGAGTCAAGTCACTTATCAGGTATATGGCTAGTCAATATTTTTTCCCATACTGTGGGTTATTTTCATTTTTTATGGTGTTTTTTTTTTTGCAGCACAAAAGTTTTTAGTTTTGATAAAGTCCAATCTGTTTTTTTTCATTGCTGTTGTTGCTTGTACTTTTGGTAACATATTTAAGGAATCATTGCCTAGTCTATGTTTAGAAAAATTCATCCCTGTGTTTTCTTATAAGAGTTTTACACTGTTAGCCCTTACATATAAGATCTTTGATCCATTTTGAGTTAACTTTTGTATACGGAATGAGGTATGGATCTGTTGTTAGGTGCACTTAGGTTTACAATTGTTACCTTTCTGATGCATTACACTTTTATCATTATAAAATGTCCCTCTTTATCTTGAGTTACTTTTTTTGTTTTAAAACCTATTTTGTCTGATGACAGTATAGCCCTCCAGTTTCCTTATGGTTGCTGTTTGCATGATGAAACTATTTTCTATTCTTTTAGTTTAAATCTTTTTGTATCTGTAAATCTAAAGTATGTCTGTGGGACTTCCCTGGTGGTCCAGTGGTTAAGCATTCGTCTTGCAATGCAGGGGATGCCAGTTTGATCCCTGGTCAGGGAACTGAGATCCCACATGCCGCGGGGCAACTAAGCCTGCGCTGCAAAACTAGAGCGAAGCCCACGCACCGCAACTAAGACGTGATGCAGCCACAGAATAAAAATACATAAATAAATATTTTTTTAAAAATCAAAAGTATGTCTCCTATAGACAGTATTTTGTTGGATCTTGTTTTAATCCATTCACGTTACTAATATAGTTGTATTTGCATTTGCCATTTTACTTGCTTTCTAAATATATCATTTCCTTTTTGTTCCTCTATTTCGCCTAGACTGCTTTATTTTGCATTAAGTGAATATTTTCTAGTATAACATTTTAATTATTCCTTTAATGAGTTTTTTTTTTACTGTATTTTTTTTCTATTTTCTTAGTGGTTACTCTAGGGATTACCTCTGGACAGTTTACTATACTGTCTTCCTGTCCCATCCGGGTAAGTTGTTCCCAGGAAAGGTCCTGGGCAGAGCGTGTGGGCAGGAAAGTTGCCTGAAGAAGGATGGCCTTGGATGATGGGGCACAGGAGGGAGGACTGAGGCACTGAGATGGCCACAGGGTGGGAGCCCCAGTGATAGAGAGGCTGCAGCTTTTTTTTTTTTTTTGTGGTATGCGGGCCTCTCACTGTTGTGGCCTCTCCCGTTGCAGAGCACAGCCTCCAGACGCGCAGGCTCAGCGGTCATGGCTCACGGGCCCAGCCGCTCCGCGGCATGTGGGATCTTCCCGGACCGGGACACAAACCCGCGTCCCCTGCATCGGCAGGCGGACTCTCAACCACTGCGCCAGCAGCGAAGCCCTGAGGCTGCAGCTTTGATGGAGCTTTGTGGGGCTGCACAGTCCTCAGGGTCACCTCAGATTTTATGAGTCAGGATGGATGTCCAGATCCAGGAAAACGCGTGTTCTAAGGTCTTGGCGTGGCTTATTGGTGGCCCTGTGGTCAGGCTCCCCTGGTAATTGCCCCTGCTGCTCCATCCTGCACCTGGAATACCTCTCGGTGTAGACCCCGGAGCTGGTCCAAAATTCCCCTCAGCCCCCAGGGACCAACAAGTTGTCGGGGCAGGTCTCAGTGGGAATGGTGGCTACCCTCCTTTTCCACATCAGCTACCACCTGCCTTACCTCCCAGGGTACTCTGAAAGCACGCACGGGTCCGAGGCCAGGCTCTGCTCCTCCCACCAGGAGGCCCGCTCTGGGGATCCTGGCTGCTGCTCTGCAGACGTGCACACTGTACGAATCAGGGTGACAGGTCCCTTGGTTTCCACCCTGCTGTGCCTCCCCTCCCCTGCAGCACCAACGCCTGACTGAGCCCTGTGAACCCAGCCTATGTCCCTGAGTGGCCCAGCTGGAGAAGGCGGGGCCTGGGGAGCAGGGTGGGGCAGGACAGGAGGCAGCCCGGGAGTAGGTTTCCAGTGTGAGGGAGGAGGAGCAAAGCCTTTCATCCTACAGGACCTACAAGCTCCCCAGTACCTGATGGCCCACCTTGCCCTGTCCTGCCCAGCCCATGCCCTCTGCTTCTCTTGCTCAGGGTCCTGTGTAGGGCCCCAAAGTGGGTATTCTGGAAATAGTCCTTAAAGGCCTGCAAGGGTGGGGATCCTGGGAAAAAGGATCCACCTCCTTCTTAGTGCCAATAGGAACAGGCCCATCCCCATTCCTTCTGTCACTCATCCATTTTCAAATTTATCATTCATTCATTCATTCATCTAGGAACTCCCACCCTGGAATAGCTGGGACGCCTGGCTGTCCCTGGGTAGAAGCCTGAGGTAACCATGGGCCCAGGGTATGCTCCCAATTTCCCCATGAGAGTCCTCCCTTCCCAGTGGCTCTGGTTTCTCTTCTCTTGCCCCCCATCCCCACCACCCTCTGCTTTTTTCTGCACTACTTCATGCCTCAAAGCGGCTGACCTGGACCTGCATGACACAGGCTCCCTTGATCTCTGGATTCTGGGCGGATTTGGCTAAGGGGAGGCACTGGCAAGAAATAGGAGGGTGGGAGAGTGGAAGCCATAGAGCCCCCAATCTTGCACAGCCGCAGGTCCTGGAGGACAGCCACTCTGTGGGTGGTGACAGTTCCCTGCTGATGCTAGGCCTTGGGTGCCTGGAAGTTTCACAGTGGCTTTCGTAATCCTGTTCACATCTCTGCAAATGTTCTAAACTTGCCTCCGTTTAGCTCCGCCTGTGTCCTGCCACAACCTTGCCTCACACGCCTCGTACCTAGAGCCACCCACACTGAGGGTAGCTCCTTTTTCTGTGTCCCTGGGGCAGTCAGGGAGCCTGATAGAAGTCATCAAACCCCAGAGACAATACTCAGCCTCCTGCGAGTGGGAGGAGGTCAGCAGAGGTATAGCAGGACGACCAGGGGAAGAGCCCAGAAGATCCAGGCTGGAGGGAGGGAGAAATGGAGAGGGTAGGGGCCAGGTGCCAACCCTGTCTCTCTGTGATGAACCCGCTCTTTTGCTTTTCTTTTTTAAATTATTTAGAATTTTTATTTAAAACTTACTTAGAGATCTTTAAGGCATATTTATATTATATCGGTCTTTTGCTTGCATTAAAAGGAAACTACAAGCTATATAAATTTGTTAAGTCATTCCTAAAATGTCTTGACATTTAGAATTTGGATCTTCTGAATGGCTTTTTAAATTTTTATTTATTTATTTAATTTATTTTTTTAAACATCTTTATTGGGGTACAATTGCTTTACAATGGTGTGTTAGTTTCCGCTTTATAACAGAGTGAATCAGCTATACCTATACATATATCCCCATATCTCCTCCCTCTTGCGTTTCCCTCCCACACTCCCTGTCCCACCCCCCTAGGTGGTCACAAAGCACCAACTGATCTCCCTGTGCTATGTGGCTGCTTCCCACTAGCTATCTATTTTACATTTGGTAATGTATACATGTCCACGTGACTATCTCACTTTGTCCCAGCTTACCCTTCCCCCTCCCTGTGTCCTCAAGTCCATTCTCTACACCTGTGTCTTTATTCCTGTCCTGACCCTAGGTTCTTCAGAACCTTTTTTTTTAGATTCCGTACATATGTGTTAGCATACGGTATTTGTTTTTCTCTTTCTGACTTACTTCACTCTGTATGACAGTCTGTACTCTAGGTCCATCCACCTCACTACAAATAACTCAATTTCGTTTCTTTTTATGGCTGAGTAATATTCCATTGTATACATGTGCCACATCTTCTTTATCCATTCATCTGTTGACGGACACTTAGGTTGCTTCCATGTCCTGGCTATTGTAAATGGAGCTGCAGTGAACATTGTGGTACCTGACTCTTTGAATTATGGTTTTCTCAGGGGATATGCCAGTAGTGGGATTGCTGGGTCATATGGTAGTTCTATTTGTAGTTTTTTAAGGACCCTCCATACTGTTCTCCACAGTGGCTGTATCAGTTTACATTCCCGCCAGCAGTGCAAGAGGGCTCCCTTTTCTCCACACCCTCTCCAGCATTTATTGTTTACAAGTTTTATCTATTTGCAGTTCACATACAACGGAACCCGCTCTTTTTAGTGAACAGCTGTGAATTCTGGCAAATGCAGAGAGATGTGTGACTACCACCACAATCAAATCAAGATGCAGAACACTTGCCATCACTTCATGCTGGCCGCTTTGTGGTCAGCCCCTCCCCGCGGTCCCACATCCACCCACCCAGCTCTGTTCTCTGACCCTGTGCTTTCTCCTGGGCCTGTTCCTGAGGGGGAGACAGCTGGGGAGTGGGCAGCCTCTCTCAGGGGCCACGATCATTCCCTGACTTGTACACGGGCCACATTTTCTATACAGACAATATCCCGGGGCCTGAGCATGAGGAATAAGGCCCCTAGCAGCCAGCTCCCTCTCCTCTCCCAGTGGAGAGCATGTCAGGTGGGAAGCTGGAGGCGGGGGGATAGCCCCAGGGAGCTCTGGGCTGGAGAGTGTGGGATCTGCATGCTTCCCTGGCTCTACCTGCCCCAGGGACTCAGTGAGGACAGCTGGCCATAGTGAGGCTGCGACCCAGAACCACCAGAACACAGGATGTGCTCTGGGGAGTGGCTACTGCTATGTTTAAATTAACATCACTTCTTCTACCAGGCACTGGGCTAGACCTCACCGCTCCCCCCCCACCAACTGCTGAGCAGCAGTTCTTCGCTGCTGACTGTACAGTATTAACCCCTTGTGTAAACAAGGATACTGAGACTCAGAGAGGCCGAATGCCTTACCCAAGGTCACACAGCTGGGACCTGAACCCAGGTCTGTCTGACTCTAAAGTGATCAAATATCACTCGTGGTCAGGTTCAAATCCCAGTGCCTCATTTTACTAATTGCTGTGTGCCTTTGGGTAAATTGCCCAACCTTTCTGAACTTCAGTGTCTTCACCTATAAAATGAAGATAATACATATCCCTACCTTGTACAGTTGATGGGAGAATCAAATGTGACTCCGGTGTTTGGTGGAGAGTTGGTTACATGATAAATTCTGTCATGGGTTGAATTGTGTCCCCCCCCCCCAGATTCATGTGTTAAAGTACTAACCCCAGTACCTCTGAATGTGACCTTATTTAGAAATAGGGTCTTTGCAGATGTAATTAGTTAAGATGAGGTCATAAGGTGGGCTCTAATCCAGTATGACTGTTGTCCTTATGAAAAAAGGGAATTTGGACACAGTGACGTGCACACAAGGAGAGCAACGTGTGAAGACGAAGACAGAGATCAGGGTGATGCTTCTTCAAGCCAAGGAGCACCAGAGATAATGCTAAGAATACAAAGAAGTAAGATGAGTAACTCACTCAAGTTTGCAAGGTTAGGAAGTAACTCAACTCGCTTCTTTGTAAATGGGGATATGTACGAATGATGCCCACGTCACGGTGGCTGGTTGTGACAGTTAAATGCAATAATGTATGAAAAGTGCTCAGTGGTATCCTGCATGTCTTAGGGGCTCATCAATATCACCTGGTTGTATTTGCTCCTCCAGCCAGCCCAGCATGTGGCCTGCCCTCTCCAGAACACCACGCCCCGTTCCAACAGGGCCTTCACCAGCCTGGTGGTGCTTCTCCTGGCTCTTCTCCATAGCTTGGGATGGGCTGTCCCTCTGCAAGAGGCCCATGGCCTACTCTCTTTCCTGACCCCCATGGTCCCTGAACTGCAGGAGGACGCAGGATTGAGCACACTTGCTCTCTAGACGGCCGAGTTCCAGGTGGACCCAGGATCCCTGCGCTCACCACCCTCTTGCCCAGTCCCCTCAGGCACTCCCGTGACCTGCTACTGCAAAGCACAGCTTTTGAAGTGAGTCGGGGGGTGACGAGGAAGCCCCCATAAGTTCTTTCCTACCTGAGCAGGTGTCCCTTTCTTCTTCCCATCTCACCCCAACCTCCACCACCGGTGATGGCTCCTGGACAAGCTGTCAGGTCACGTCAGCCTCCCTGCAGCTTTGGAAGTGCTGCTCCAGGAGAAAGGGAGGAGAATAGGCTGAAAGAAATCGGGGAGACTGGTCTTCAGACTGGCACAGATCGGTGGAGACTCTTGGGTCCTGCATGCCCACCAGCACCCTTATGGCCCCAGTTGGCCTGGCACAGGGGGCCTGGGTGGGCATCAGAGCTCCAGCTGGCTCCTGACTTGAAAAACTGTGAAACACAGAGATTCCAGGACACTGGCCTGGTCAGAACTCCCACTAGACTCCCCTCTAGCAAGTCCTGACACCCTCCTTCTCTAGGAGGACCCAAGAGAGCAGAGTGGTCCTACTCTAGGAGCCCCCCGGGGTCCTTCAGCCCTCAGGGCTCTCTGCTTTCTTGACTTTCTGCCCCCAGCATCAGAGGCCACAGAAGCAGCAGAGCAGCCTGGGGGAGCCCCATCTCGGGCCCCCAGGTCTGACTGTTACAGGGTGGTAGCCCTGGCCCAGGGGTACCTGGCTGGCAAGAACCAAACACCTGTTTCCACAGCTCTGTTGGCTCCTGGCCCCCAAGAGCTCCTTCTCCTGCCTCTACCACATACATGAGGTCCTCAGACCACAACCCCCAGCCAGCCCACCCCTTAGGAAGCCAGAGAGGGGCAGCTGGGACATCCCCCTCCCATGGTGAAGTGTTGAGAGGCCATGTGGGACGAATATCATGCCCCCTGCCCCCTCCCATAACCTCACACCTCACTCCAGGCCAGAGAGTGCCTCCTCTGGACTCGCAGAGCCATCCCCAGAGTCCCCTTCCATCCAGGGTGGTTCTGTCGTCTTTCCACCATCCTGAGGTCCAGATGTGAGCTGAGAAGAGCCCCCCCCATGCCATTGGGCTGACCCTGCCATCCTGGACACAACTGAGTCTCTCCTCCTTTCCCACCTTAGAGGCACAACAGTCCTGCCCCAGCGGGGATCCCGAGCCCTGGTTCTAAGTTGCAGGAGCTTGAGATGAATTGGGCTGATAAGCCACGGGATCCCCTGCATCCCACATCAATGACGGGTGGTCCTCGTGCATCTGGGTGGGATCCCTCTCCCCGGTGGGGGCACCTATGGACTCTGGGCTTCAACCAAGTCTGTTTGGGACAAGAGAGGACACTGAAGTCCACAGCTGGTTCTTGCAGGACTGGGGTGGCCTCTGTCCCCACAAAGCAGGGGCTCAGTCATTCCCATTGCAGGAGCCCTGGAAGACTGTGGTTTCCAGGTTGGACTTCCTTCTCTTCCTTTTCCTCCTTGTCCAAGTGCTGCATGCTCTCAAGTGAGTCCTCTAGACAGGCAGGAAGGATGGAGGCTCTGGCCCCAGCCCCTTCCTTGATAAAGCCCAGTACTGGGGAGGGAAGTGGTTTGAGCAAAACACTGAGCTAAGTAGATTTTAGAAGTGTCTGAATCAGACCAAGGGTAGTTGCGGGGGCAGAGTGGGGAGATGACGATCTGGGCAAGAGGCATCCTGGTGTTGTGGTGGAAGATACAAGTGGGGGAAGAATCAGCAGAAGGACCAATGACGACTGCACTGAGAGGCAGGGCAGGGGCGAGGCAGCGCGGGGTGCAGGAGGATGCTAAGGCACCGAGCTGAGCTAGGAGCGAAATCCCAGGGCATTTATTTACAGTGGATGGTGAGAAACCCAGGCAACAGTGAAACCTCAGGATCTGAGAGTTTAAGTAAAGAAGACATGCAGAGACTGGAGTTTCTGAGGCGTACCTGAGGGTCTCAGGGACGGCTGGAGCTCTGGGTCCAAGGTCCAGAGCAGAATCCGTGGGAAAGGGGGTGGGAGCCAGATTTCAGAGGATTAGGGAGGGGAGAGGGGCTGACCACGAAGGAAAAGGGAAGTAGCATTTGTTCTCAACAGGGTTAAGGGAGCACAGAGCCAGGACCTGGGATGGACAAGGGTGGCTGTGTAGCTTCCTGGGACACAGGCCATTTGAAGAGATAGAGTGCAGATTTGGAAGGGGGTGGGGTGGATATGAGGTCTAGAGGCGTCTGCGTGACAGTGCTGGCCAAGCGGGGGACTTCCAGCTCACACCTCAGAATGCTCTGAGGACGCAGCATTTAGTAAGAAAGGGGAAGGAAGCCCCAGCTGTGGCGTCCTGGGCATCGGTAGCCGTGAAGCTGCCACTTTCGCGTGTCATATTATGTGCTTTACAGGCAGGAGCCAGAGTGGCCGTGTAAAACCCTAAGTCAGATCATGTGGCGCCTCTGCTCTGACTGTGCAACAACCCACGAAGCGCCCCGCCCCCCCAGTTTTGTCACTGAAGCATTTATTGTCTAGCTCGCTCCATAGAATGGGAGCTCCAGGAAGGCAGGGTGTTTAGACAAAGTAGACTTTGGTTTGCCGCTTTCTCCTGGTACGTAGGAGGTGCTCACTGAGCATTTGTTAAATTTAGGCCTCACAGTCCAACTGTGACCGTGATGTTATCATTCTCACCTTACAGGCAGGAAATGGGGCTTCCAAGAGAGTCCGAGATTTGCTCAAAGTCACACAATCCCCGAGTGGTAGAGCCAGGGTGTGACTCAGCCCTGTTCGAGTCCAGAGCCCAGTGTCTCGCCAGCAAGTTCCTAGAAACAGAAGGACATCTGAGGACCAGGCCAGCCTGGGGAAGCCCGACAGCCCAGACTGAGGGGATGGGTCTCCTGGATGGGAGGTACTGGGGGCAAAACCAGCTGTCATCTGCCCAGGCCTGTGTTGAGGGGGGCAGGTCCAGAGTTGGGAGGGGGTCTTGTCCAGCTGCCTGCTGGATCTCCACCTTCTCTCCCCACCACTCACCCTGAGCTTCTTTCGGTTCCCTTTGGTGATGTGGCTCCCCCATCCCCATACACAGATGCACACGCGTGGTGGCTTCTACAGGAATCAGGCCTCTCACCGCACCCTCAGTCTGATGCCCCGGCCAGGGGAAGTCAGGGCAGGGGCCGTCTCACCACTGGGAATAAGAGGCCTGGATACACGTCTCTGCTGAGGCTCCTGGGGCTGTGGAGGCCGAGTCTCCTTGTTCCCCGTGTACCCCGGCCCCACTGCGGGGAACCGGGAGTGACCCCATGGGGGTCACCAGCGTAGTCTCACTTCCCCTCTGCTTGTACTTCACCATAAGACAGCATCCAGAAGCAAGGGGACCCTTCGATTTTGGAAGAGCCTGAGTGGTGCTCTCTGTCCTCACCCCTTCCTCCTTATGCCATGTCTATGGCCCAGAGTGGTTCTCGGTTCAGGTTCCCCTGGTCTGGGGAAGGCAGGACCCAAGCCGAGCGGAGCCCCTGCACAGCCCCTATCCTTGGAGCATCACGCCAATGTTGCGATCTCGATAACATCACCTCCCTTTTACCACAGGGAATGAGAGTCACAGGACCTGCCTAAGGTCACTGAGCTTGAATGCAACAGAGTTGGATGCAAGCTCAAGGGCAGTGCCCCTTCTTCTACACACAGCCCCTGAATGGTTCTTGACAAAGTTCAGAGACCCTAAGTGGGGGAGGCCTCACCTGAGGACACGGGATCGTGGGGAGGCAGAGTGCAGAATCCTAGTCTCACGCTCCCTGAAGCTGTGTGTGGTGCATCTAACAATAAAAGGCGGCTCCTCTTGACTATTGCTCCAGATATATTTTCTAGTCCAACGCAGAATACTTTCTATTAAGCACAACTGACCTCCAATGAAAAAGGTTCGCATTTTGGGGGCAACCATTTTCAAGTAAATAGCAGTTTCACATTTAAAGAAAGAAAGAAAAAACAATCTCCCTATCCTCATTTTCTGCATCCACACTTTAAATTTTAAAAATATAAAATAGTGAAAGATTCAGCAGATACAAATAATAAAATACATATAATTATATTCCCTCTTATATTAGGGCTATGCAAGAGTGGGGGAGAGGGAGAGAGATGCAGGAGAGAAGAAAAACAGACAACACATGAAGAGTCATGATTACAGATCAGGGGTAAAGACCAACCTCGGTATTCCTGCAGAGATGGAGAGGGGAGGGGAAGGTCAAAGTTCTGATTCATCAACTAACTAATACGGCTGTATTTGTTAAAAAATACAGGCTCTAAACTTTAAAGTGCAAATAGTGTTTTTTTTAGAACTTATGTATTTTAGTTTCTACCTAAAATTTAATCAACTGATGTAAATTTCCTTCGTTTAAAAATATTTTAATTAAAAATTACTATAGAAAATAGAAGACAAAAAGACAGGAGTGGTCCCTGAGTAAGCTGATTCCAGTGGGAATCAGACATTAAAATCCTAAGTGAAAACCAGCGAGGACGAGCCTCAGAGGCTGGGAACCCGACCTAGGAACGGAAGTCAAGGTAAGCTTTCCAAAGGAGGTGATGCTGAGGCAACATTTGACGACGAGCAGGTGTTCCCAAACGAAGAATGCTCCTGAAGAGGGAACAGGTTGTGTGAAGGTTGAGGCCAGCGAGGAGGCCCACGTGTGGAACCGAAAAGCGTTCAGAACGGCAGACGGGTAGTCAACATAGCGGTGAGTGAAGGGGTGGGACAAGCGACCAAGGAGCTGACCCTGAGAGACCCGGAAGGTGATCAGGGAGGGGACCTGGGGCAGGCAGGTGCGAAGGTTGAGAATTAGAAAGGAACAGAGTAGCCTGAGGATCCCTGTCTGCAGGCACGTCGTGGAGGGGTTGTCTGAGTCTGGGTGCCAGCGACCCTCGGCTGGGTGCCAGTGACCCTCGGTAGAGTTCGCAGGCTGGCGGGCGAGGGCCGGGGGCTGTCTATCAGTCCGCCCCACCGCGCTGGTACGTGGCTCGGTTGATCGCCAATGTCCGCACCGATCTTGAGCTCCCGGAGGGACAGGCTGGGAAGCTCCCGGGCCCAGCCGAGCACCGCGGCAGGGTGGGGTGGGGGGCTAGGGGTGTCGAACGACTTTTTCGCGCTTCCCGATTGCTGAAGGAGCCCAGTACTCAGTCAAGGCTACCTCGCCGCCTGGCGTCTCCCCCAGGCCCTGGGCTGCAGGGGGACCAGCCTGGCCCGAGGCTCAGCCCGGCCCCTCGGTCGCTGGGTCTGCGCGGGGACCCCACGGTGGCTTCGCGGGGCAGGGCGGGGCGCTGCCCGCGCACCCAGGCTCGGCGGCCTCGGCCCAGGGGCGGGGGCGGTGATGCGGAAGTGCCGGGAGGGCGGGCGGACAGACAAGCGCGGCTCCGGGAGGGCGCAGCTCGGCCCCACCGCCTGGCCCGTGCTCCCGGGCGCAGCCAAGCGGGCGCACCGCAGACAGGTAGGTCCCGGCTGCCGCGCGCTCCTCTCCGCGCCCGCGGAGCACCCGCTGGCGGCGGGAGGGGGACCGGAGCGGGGCGGGCGCGCGGGAGGGGTCAGCGCCGGCTTCTCCTGGCGCCGGAGCTCGGTGACGGGGGGACGCGGGGGGGTCGCGTAAGGCAGGGCGCGCCCCGCCGTTCTGGCGGCCTCCAAGATGCCTCCTACGTCCTGATTAGCGTGGGGTGCCCTGCACCAGCAGCCTTCGTCCCGAAGGCGCCCGGGGAGCCCGGAGGCGCGGGCGGCGGAGTAGGCACTGCTGCCAGGGGCGCCAGCTCTGCTGCTTCTCTCCCTTCGTCTCGCCACCGCCAAGGATGGGCAGCGCCCGGGCTCCCGGCTTGGGCCATGGGAGGGGCAAGCCCCGATTCCCCCTTTCTGTGCACTCCAATCCCTCTTCCCCTGGCACCTCTCATCCTTTCGAGTAAGAGAATGAGGTTTAAAAAGGTTCATCCTCCCTGGATCTTAAGGCCAATGGCAAGAATTCGGGCAGAGGGTGTGTAGTAAGATGGTGTCAGGCAGAGGCGCCGGCCGTCCTTCGACTCGTGGCCGAGAAAAGAAGGCGCTGACCCTCCTCTAACAGAGAGGAACCACGGGCGTGATACTTCTTAGACTAGTTCCCCCGAACTTAGAAACGAAACAGTTAAGAGTCTAAAAGTGGAAGGAAAGTGAGACCAGCGTGACCATGATGCGGGATAGGAGATGGTGAACACCTGCGCCGGGGTTGTCTCCGCGACGCCAGAGCCGCCGGATCCGGCACTCGGGATCAGGGGCGAGAGGGACTTTCCCGCCCACGCCGCCACCCTGGGCACATCAGAGCGGGGACGAGGGCGGGGGCGCCACCAGCCAGAGAAGCGGTCCGAGAGAGGCAGACCCTAAGCCAGCGCCCCGGGCGGGGTAGGGGGGTGGTGGTTCTGTGGGCTGGCCCAGGAGGCGCGGGCAAGCCACCCGGGGAGCACCTGCGGGGGCGGTCCAGAGGGCAGGGCCGGGCCTGAGTTCCACGAGCGCCCAGAGCTGGGACGAGTGACCTGGACCAGTAAGGACGAGGGCGGGGCCGATGCAGGAAGCTAGAGCCCCACGGGAGGGGCAGCTGGGCCAGAGCAGAGCTATCGGGCTAGGGCGCTGGGGCTTCCAGCAAGTCAAGAGAAGCCATGGGAAACCACCCTTTTCTACCTAAAGGCCCCATCTTGGGGTTTTCCCCCTGCGCCTTGGCCTTACCCCAACGTGCGCCCCAAATGAAGCCGAGAGAAGCTTCTTTCGCCGCATCAGCTGTCCCAGAGCCTCAGCTATTCTCAGGGTGTGGTCAACTCACCATGAGAGGGCGGGGCTTAAGGTCTTGCCGCGGCAGGGAACCCCTTGCCTTCTCCAGGAGCTTGGTGTGGAGTTTGTGGGGAGACGTCTGAATCAGATAAACTCAGGAGGTGCAAGGGCTTTCTGATCTGCCCACTACTGAGGGCCGCAGAGCTTCCTCCCCTAGGGGGTCCCTGGTGCCCACAATGTTTCAGGCTCCTCTGGTGGCTGGCTCCTGGGACTTCAGGAGGTGTGGGGCCTCGCCCCCTCAGGAGGAGCTCCTGGGCTGCCCCTTCACCTCTGGGGGCTTCCTCGGGTCCTCAGCAGGCCACACCTCCTTTGATGTTCCCATGGAAGCTGATGCATGCACTTCCGCCTTTCCCCTCTTCCGGTGCTCAACTCCACAAGGCTAGGTCTGAGGGCTGCAGACCGGCTCAGCTGTCAAGGATCAGGGCAGACCCCCTGACTAGCCTGCCCTCTGATGGAAAATCAAGTCCTCTTCCCAGCAGCAGGTAGGGGGTGTAGGATGGAATTTCTCAGGGCTGTGCTATAGCTTCTGGGACACCCTGGGAATCTGGGCGGCTGCTTCTACGTGGAGGGAAAGTAGGGATGGAGCACAAAGGCACCGAAATTCGGAACTCCAGGCATTGGGATAGTGTGAATCAGATCTAAGCCTGTCCTGTGGGAGGAAGCCACCTTGGGGAGCTGATGCTGAGCCTGGTCCTGGTGCACCTGGAGGCAGGCAAACCCCCTGTGGCTGAAGACCCTTCTGTGGCATGCTGGGCAGACCCTCTCTTGGCCCTGGTCAGGCTTGTCATGGGAGGCTCTCTCCACAGCCCCTCCCTGTACTGCTTGAAGGGGTTGCACCTTACTGTCAAGAGGTCAGTGTTATAATTTCAACATCTTTGTGTTGAAAAGCAGTGGCAGTGTTCCTCTCCCTGATTTCCTCCTTGCCCTGGGCAGAGGACTCGACCTTTCTGGCCTCCCAGCTGCACCACCACCTATGGCACAGCTGCGGGCTGACCATGTGTGTGGGTCATCAGGAAAGCTTGCCTTGTCCTCTGGTCAACAGAGCTTTCCTCTGTCCACCTTCTCTTAGCCAGAATGGGCTGCTACTGGTGACTGCCACCCTTCTATTCTAGGACCCAGGCCTTTGGGAGGGTGGGGATGCTACAAATACATATTGGGTGAGGCTCTCCAGTGCTGTGAACCACACAATGTACAATGACTGCCAGTGGGCTTGGGGGTTGGGGGATGGGCTACAAGGTGAGAGATTGAGAATTTGGTCTGGGGGACCCAAATGTGATTCTCTCCACATCCCTTCCCTCCCCCAGCTCACAGTGAGTCAGGTTTCCGAGTTGTCCGGTCTGGCCACTTTCATTTCCCTTGGGGCTGGGTGGAGGCTAGTGCAGAAAAGGGAACCGAGCCACCCATCTTCTGAAGCCTGGGGGCAGGGCTGGACGCTCTCCTGCCTTCCCTGTCCCGGCCCAGCACTGGGCACTGCTCTGAGGAGAGGCCTGCAGATGAGACACCTTAGCGACGTCGAGGTGGCACTTACCTGCCACAACCCAACAAGGTACTGGGGCAGGCCTGGGAGGATGGTGCGTGTGTGTGTGTGTGTGTGTGTGTGTGTGTGTGTGTGTGTGTCCCAGTGCAGGCCAAGAAACCCGCCAGGGCTTGTGTACTCCCAGAAGCCATTGCTCCCAGCAGCAGTCTGGCCTGTGGTTGGGTGGCTTTAGCTGTTAGGAAGTTCTTCAACCTGGGTCTAGTCTGTCTCAGTAGAGGCTGTCCGGGTGTTGACTTCAACCCTAGTCTCTTTGTCACATGGTGGTACCTCTCATTCCCACCCCACTGAGTGTTCACTTCACCTACCCAGATATCCCATTTCCTTCAGTCATTTCTTCCCTGACAGGCCTGCCTCCCTGAGACCCTCACCTGCATCACAGCCCCTGCAGCCTTCCTCTTGGGTCTGGTCTCACCCTTGAGTCAGAGGAGGATCCTGGGGAGAGCAGGGCTGGTTGTGGGGCGGGGGTGGGGGGAATAAACAGCTGGAGGACAGATGCTTCCAACATCTGGTTGGTATTTCTTAAGTCCTATTTTGGTCCACTGAATGGCCGGGTGTCTGGGAGGGGGGCGAGTGGTGAGGAAGAAGAGCAGGAGGCACTCCTGGCCTCGAAGAGATTTTGCCCCCCCCCACCTGGAAGGTGAACGAGATGGGGATGAGGCAGTGCGAGGCTGAGTAAGAGCCCCAAACCACTCATCTCAATGGTGAAGAGTTCAGGACCGCCCATGGCACTCTGGAGAGGGGCATGTGAGTGCTGGGGTGCCCACCCCAGAGGCCAAGTGTGGGCACCTTTGTTCCAGGAAGCACGACCTCTGGAAAAGACCCTGGCCCACGCCATCCTCATCGCTACCACTCCCTCTCCATTACTTGTGGAGCATCTTCTGCGAGGGACAGTGGTACCAAGGAAGTGGGAGAGGAGCATGGTGCCGGGGCAGTGTGTGCCCTCTTACACACACGCTTGCACACCCATCTAACTCACATGTGCTCAGAAACTAGAGCCCTGGGCGGGAGGCAGCCTGATTTCTCATCGCGGCTCAGCTCTTTGTTCCTTCCTTGACCAGAGACAGAGTCCCCTCTGAGTCTCAGAATGGGGGTCTATGATGGCTTGGTCCTTTCTGTCTCTGACCCTGGCTCACAGGTTCTACCTTTGTCTTAGCCGGGTTTCCTAGAAGGTGGTTTGGTGAGGGGTTCTCTGGAGGAGAGGGAGGGAGCAGGGGTGGGGCAGGAAGAAATCTAAGCAAGGATGTGGCCTCAGCTGGAGACTGGCTTCAGCCCGAGCCCTTGAGGAGCCTGGAGCACACATTTGCTCCACCTGAAGCCAGGGAACCAGCCTTCCGTCCCCGTGTGTCAGTCACCCACTGGCTGTGGGCTGTCCCCCCAGAGTGGAGGGTGGGCCCAGCCTGGGAGTGAGGCAGCGAGGGTGGCTCTGTGCTGTGCCGGCCTCACAGCAGCGGGGGAATTGATGCCCTGCCTGGCACGGGGCGTCCCGGTGGGGCACCCACAGCATCCACTAGAGCTGTACACCCCCTCCTTCATTCCCCCCAAACACAAAGCCCACATGCAGGGACCCTGACAGGAAAGCTGGTGGCTGGAGAGGAGAACTGACTTGAGCACCTGGATGGACGGCAGTGACTCCGGCCGCCCGTGCTGGAGGAAGGGAAAGCCCTAACGGCCCGGCCCGTGCCTCGGCCCCCCCGAGCGCCCACACGTCCCCTGCTGCAGGGAACGGCCAGCTGACGCGCTGATGTGCTCCCCCTCTGCTCTCTCTGGCAGACGCCTTTGCCATGAACCAGCCTGCCCCCGCTGCCCTTCCTCCGCCCCGCCGCGTAAGGCTGAAGCCCTGGCTGGTGGCCCAGGTGAACAGCTGCCAGTACCCGGGGCTTCAGTGGGTCAATGGGGAAAAGAAATGCTTCTATATCCCCTGGCGCCATGCCACGCGGCACGGCCCCAGCCAGGATGGAGATAACACCATCTTCAAGGTAAGCCCTGGACAGGCGTACCGCCTGGACCTCTGAGGCCCCCCTCCCTAGAAGAGAACTCCCTCTACATCTCAGACTGGCCACTCTCCTAGCTGCCTTGCTGCAGGTGACCCCAGTCCTGGGCTAAGGGGCCGCAGGCATCATCACAGTGCACATCTTTCTAACCTGATCCCCAGAGCAAGGTGAGGACTGAGGGACCCCCCCAGGAGACCTTCCTGTAACTCTTTCTCTTCCTCCTTGTTCTTGTGTCATTTTCATCACACGTGAGTGCCTGTCCAGGGTGCACGTTTGGTGTACACAGACGCTAAAAGAACACCACAGAATTCCCCCTTAATCTTAATACTAGGAGGTAACTACTGTGAATATTTTTTGCTTACATTTCCAGTTTTCTGCATGTGTGTGTATATGAAGTGCAAACGTGGAATCAAACCATAGATTCTATTTTATAACCTGTATTTTTCACCCAACATCAGGACTAGCTTTCCTCTCCAACAAATGCCACAGCACCTTTAGTGACCACTGAATGTTCCATTGGAGGGGTTAGCACACTTTAGTCACCCAGTCCCAGTTTTTGGACACCTCAGGTGGCTTTCAGGGTCTCTTGTGTTGAAGACCACATTGCCATGGACGCCCTCTAAACTCTTACCCATGGCACATCTTAAATGATTTTCTTTGGGGTTAGTTCCTCATTAAACATTTCTGGGTCAAAGGGAATGCTTTGTTTTAAAGCTTTGGCTATGTATTTCTTAGTCTTTGCATTTGGTATTTACCTTTTCAAGGTTCCTTTCAAATCCATTTCTTATTTTTGAATAGGTAACATGGTCATACAATTCAACATTTAAGAAGTGCAAAATGGTTAACAGCAAAAAGTCTCCCTTACGGGAGACTGTCCCCCAGGCACCCAACCCCCTCCTTTGGGGCAATTAGTATTATCAGTTTCTTGTTTATCCTTCCTGAGAGATTTTTGTGCATATACAAGCAAATGTATACCTATGCTTTCCCCAACTTTTGACAAAAATGGTAGATGTTTACATACTCTTCTGTACCTCATTTCTTGAAGATTACAACATGTTAGTGTATCAAAACTTCCCTGTTTTTGTTTTTTTTTTTCTTGCTGCCCAGTATTCCATTCTATGGGTTGGCCATAATTTAACCAGCTCCCATTAATGGACATTTAGATTATTTGGGGTCTTTTTCTTTTGTAAACAGCTGCAGTGAATAACCTCGTACGTGCAGACTTCTGTGCGGATGCTTCTGCATCCGTAGGATAAATTCCCAGAAGCCAAATTGCTGGGTTCAAGGGCAGAAACATTTGTAATCTTGATATCAACCAAACTGCCCTCCAAAATAATAACACCAGGAGTTCCCTGGTGGTCTATAGTGGTTAGGATTTGGTACTTTCACTGCCACCGCCCGGGTTCAATCCCTGGTCAGGGAACTGAGATCCCGCAAGCTGTGCAGCGAGGCCAAAAAATAATCATAATTATGATAATTATAATAACACCAACAGCTGAAGTGTACGGAGTCCATCCCAAGTGCAGACACAGTTCAGAGAGTTTATGTGCATTAGTCCTGAGTCTTCACCGCCACACTGCGAGGTAGGCACTGTGTTGGGGAGATCAAAGCAAAGAGAGGCAAAGTAACCCGCCCTGGCACACAGCGGGCGGTGGCAGATTCCGGATTCAGTTCTGCTCCAGATCCCATGCTCTTATCCACCATGTTACCCCATCCTCCTCAGAGACTGTACCTATTTGCCAGCGTAGGACCAGTGAGTACAATGCCCTTCAAAGCACCTAGATTTCCTTTCGCTTGTTGGAGCCCCAAGGGACTGGCCTCCTGTCTCCCACCTTGCAAACGGACACTTGGGCTCCACCAGTGTGTCGCTGAAGGTTTCACCGCACAGCAGCGACTCCCACTGGCCAGGAGGGGCTTTTGTGAGGGGTGAGGTTCTCTGTGGTCGCCTGTCTTGTCTTCCTGACCTAGGCCTGGGCCAAGGAGACAGGAAAGTACACCGAGGGGGTGGACGAGGCCGATCCGGCCAAGTGGAAGGCCAACCTGCGCTGTGCCCTTAACAAGAGCCGTGACTTTCGCCTCATCTATGATGGGCCCCGGGACATGCCGCCTCAGCCCTACAAGATCTATGAGGTCTGCTCCAATGGCCCCACTCCTGCAGGTATCCTGTCTGGCCCTGTGTGGGACACCGGGGAGGCTATGCAGGAAGGGCCAGGGGGTCCTCCAACGAGCAGTGGTCGGGGGCATGCTGCTAGGTCATAACATCCAGGGCTCCCAGGAGTGGATCATTTGTGAGGCCAGGAATGGCTTGGCATGGACCAGGCCCCCAGGTTTGTCTTCCTCAACCCATCCTTGTTCTTGGTTCTTGGCTCCAGTGAATGTAGGTCGGGTGGCCCAGGGAGCAGAGTGCCGTGGGGTCAGGGGCATCCCTAGTGATTGCTGGTGGCTGTGCGGCCCTTCACTCACTCTGTTCGGGCAGCTCTGGGCAGGAGGAGAAGCCACAGCAGGAGCTGCCACATGGAGCCCTGGTGGCCTTCCTCCTCCTCCCCCACTGAACTCCTTTTCTCTCCCTCACTCTGCAGAGTCACAGCCCAGTGAGGATTACACTCCCGGTACAGGAGAGGAGGAGGAGGAGGAAGAGGAAGAGGTGAGCTCCGGGGCCGCTCTTTGCAGCGTCTGCCTGCGCTGATGCAGTGGGCCTTGCTAGGGCATTTCTGCTGTCCTACTCTGCTGTAGGATGGAGCAGTTCCATTCCTCTGGAGCCCTGCTGCTGTTTCTGCAGCTCTTCTCTGAGTTTCTTCTCTCGGGATTCTGGAGACAGGAACAAAGTCACCACCTTGAACCTCCCTGGGACTTTGTTGGTATAAAGTATACTCACACATGGTCTTGCCCTCAGCAGTTGGGGCTTAGTAGGTATTACCACCTGCAGAAGGTGGAAACTGGGGCGCTGAGAGCCTACTGACGTGCCTGGGATGGCCGAGCTGGGCCTGGAGGCAGGTTCTGGCCTCGCCTAAGCGGAAGACCAGGGAATTGCCTTGTGGGTCTCATTCTTTAGCATCAGATCAATTTAATAACCTGTCCTCCCTTCTCTCTCTCTGACCTCCTCCCTCCTCCTTTGCCTGTGTCTTCCTTTCAGCTCCAGAGGATGTTACCAAGCCTGAGCCTCACAGGTGGGGCTGGGAGGCGGTGTGGTTGGGGGTTTAGTATAAGGAGGAGCTGCAGGTACCACGGGTACCTGGGAGGGGGCTGAAGGGAGGCTGGGGGGCGGCCCAGGGCTGGGAGTAGATGGGCCTGGGAGGCAGCTCCTGGAAGTGGCATTGAAGCTTTGTCCGCCGCCACCTTCCGTAGAAGCAGTGCAGCCCGGTCCCCCCATGGCACCCTATTCTTTATCCAAAGAGGATGTCAAGTGGCCACCCACTCTCCAGCCGCCTGTGGTGCTGGGTCCCCCTGCTCCAGACCCCAGCCTCCTGGGCCCTGCCCCTGGCAACCCTGCTGACTATGGGGAGCTGCTTTCTGAGGTCCTGCCAAGCCCACAGCCTGGGACCCTGGCTGCCAGCCTGCCCCCCACAGGCGAACAACTCCTGCCCGACCTGCTGATCAGCCCTCACATGCTGCCTCGTAAGGACCCCGGGGGGGCTGGGCTGGGAAAAGCAGCGCTGGGAACGTGGAGGATGACGAGGAGAACAAAAAAGCCCACGCCAGTCCCTGCTTGGGTGGAGGAAGGAAGTGGGAGAGCTGAAGATGGCCTGGCCATGGGGCAGAGAGGGCAGAGAAAGTCAGTGGGCTGCAGAATGGGGAGGCGTGGGGCTCACGGGTGGGGTGGGGCTGCCCCTCTGCCCTACAGTGACCGACCTGGAGATCAAGTTCCAGTACCGGGGGAGGCCACCCCGGGCCCTCACCATCAGCAACCCCCATGGCTGCCGGCTCTTCTACAGCCAGCTGGAGGCCACCCAGGAGCAGGTGGAGCTCTTTGGCCCTGTGAGCCTAGAACAAGTGCGCTTCCCCAGCCCCGAGGACATCCCCAGCGACAAGCAGCGCTTTTATACCAACCAGCTGCTGGATGTCCTGGACCGCGGGCTCATCCTCCAGCTACAAGGCCAGGATCTGTATGCCATCCGCCTGTGCCAGTGCAAGGTGTTCTGGAGCGGGCCCTGCGCCTCAGCCCATGGCTCACACCCCAACCCCATCCAGCGGGAGGTCAAGACCAAGCTCTTCAGCCTGGAGCATTTTCTCAATGGTGAGGGCCCCATGTCGTGTTCCTCTTGGTCTCCTTTCATCCAGGGGCATGGTGCCAGCCTCTGATTAAGGGTCTCAATCTCAATGCAGAGCTCATCCTGTTCCAGAAGGGCCAGACCAACACCCCACCACCGTTTGAGATCTTCTTCTGCTTTGGGGAGGAGTGGCCTGATCGCAAACCCCGAGAGAAGCTGCTCATCACTGTACAGGTATACTCCCACCTCCCACCCCCCAACTCTGCTTTGGTTTGAATATTGGGGAATCCTGGGGCTAGGCCCTTGCCCCACCCAGGGTAGAGGCGCAGGGCCCTCTGGGTGGTGTAAACTCCGTGGTCAGAGTTAATCAAGGATCAGTGCTGCCCACACATAAGCAGCCTTTTTATGAAGTAGAAGTTGGTGCCCCATCTTCCTGGTGGATGCAGCCCACCACCTGACCCCTGCATGCACAGCTGGGTTGGACAGCCCTGCCAAGGTTCTCCCTGTCCTTTCTCCTCTTTGCCCCCCAGGTGGTGCCTGTAGCAGCTCGGCTGCTGCTGGAGATGTTCTCAGGGGAGCTTTCTTGGTCGGCTGATAGCATCCGGCTACAGATCTCAAACCCAGACCTCAAAGACCGCATGGTAGAACAGTTCAAGGAGCTCCATCACATCTGGCAGTCCCAGCAGCAGCTGCAGCCTGTGGCCCAAGCCCCTCCTGTGGCAGGCCTCAGTGCTGGCCAGGGGCCCTGGCCCATGCACCCGGTCGGCATGCAGTAATGCGGCTGCAGTGACTGGCCCAGGCTTCCAGGGTGGCTGTGCAGACTGATGTGGAGGTGCGATGGCCTCAGTGGGCACCTGGTGGGCGGCAGGGTTCTATCTCTGGGTTCTCTGGAAGTGGATCTGGGTCACAAAGAAGAGGGAAAAGAGGCCCGAGTTCCAGGTTCTCCTTAGAAGCTGATGGAAACTGGAAGCCAATTTTGCTTTGAGGACTCTGTCTTCCTGGATATGCCTCTCCTGGGCTGGGTGGGGGAACTGGGGGAACTGAGCCATCGGCACCAGTGAGGAGGGAAAGAACTCCCCCTGGCTCCAGGGGGCCTAGTTGTACAGAGGGAGTTGCCCCAGAGTGACCCATACTTGTGGTTGCCCCCATTTCTTCTGGCAAAAAGAGCCAAGTGCTGTGGGTCAGGTCTCCCTGGCAGGTCCTCTGCAGGGCATGGACCGGATATTGGGGCTCCCTAGCTTGAGCCCCACTTCCTCATCTTTCTTCCTCCAGAGACAGAGATGAGCACTTAGGTATTACACCAGATACTTAAGGCTGGCAGCTACCTCCCTTCAGAGTCTAAGAACCTGGGGTAGAAAGTGGAATTTTACGTATTTTTGGATTAATAAATATTAAAAAACAGACTCAGCTATTATTTTCTAGTACCGGTTGTTCCCATGCTATTCTACTAGACCGTATGTCTCATACCAGCTGGCCCTCTTTCCCCCAGCACCTGCCCTCCTGCTCTGGGGCCGCCGACACAGGGAGGGCTCGCCTTCCAGGCTGATGAGTCAGTGGGGCCTTCATGAGCACTCAGCTGGCTGGCTTTGCTTTCCAGGAGGAAGCCGGCTGAAGCAAGGGCGTGGACTTTTAAATGTGTGCAGAATCTAAAATCCTGTCCAAATCAATTCCCGTAAGAAGTGGTGAAAAAGGAAGGGCTGGATTTCAACTAGGGACCATTACAATCTGTCACCCTCATGTATACTCATATGCTATTAAACATATTAGGACAATGCATACAAATTGGTAGCTCACTGTTTGAATCTGGCTCATAGACGTTAATTTTCTGACCTGAACAATTCTGCTCTTATCTTTTTATTAGGGAATGTTTTAAACGTTTGTGAAAGTAGGGAGAATGGTATGAAATTCCCATGTAGTAGCTCCAACAATAATCAATTCATAGTCTTTCTCATCTAAACTCCCAACCACACCCCCACCCTGAGATTATTTTGAAGCAAATCCTAGACATATTTCAGGTATAAACAGTATATATCTCTAAAAGACAAGCACGTCCTAAAAGAAGGACAATATCGCACCTAATTAATTTTTATCAAATATCTAGCATTTAAAAATTTAAGACAACTAGAGAAATTTTATTCCCTTGCCATTTAATTGTGGAAGAAATTGCATTTTTTGTTCTGCATTTTGTTTTTGCCTAGATGCTCGTGACTGCATCTGTTAACATATTTTGTCTCCTGTGTTTTCTGTAAATTGGTACTTTGATCTGGACCCTGGATTCTAGAGGCTTAATTGGATACAGGTTTTTGTTTCGACTACTTTTGACTTGTGGGTACTGGAATTGTTTCCGATCTTTAGTTATTATACATAACGCTGTAGTGGATAGTCTTGTGCATATTTATGTATTTTCATATTTTTGCCTGTATATCTTTAGGATGGCTCCACAGAAATGGGATTTCTGGGCCAAAGGATAAATATGTGTCTAACTTTGCTAGATATTGGCAAAATTCTGATAAATCTCTGAGCGTGGCTGTTTCCCCACTGTCTCAACAGGTTATAGTGTCAACTTTTTGGATTTTTGCCAACCTGATAGGTGAGAAATACTATCTCTACCATTTCTCATTATGAACAAGGCTTAGCATCTTTATATGGTTAAGTGCCCTGGGCAGATTTTAGTGATTTTTTTTTTTAAATAAACAAATTTAGAATAGTCTCAGATTTACAGGAAAGTTGCTAATAGAGTGCCTATATAACCCACAGCCAGTTTCCCCAGTTGTTAACATCTTACATTATACCTTACATTACTATGGAACATTTGTCACAACTAATGAAACAAAATGAATACATCATTATTAACTAAATTCCATTCTTTATTCAGATTTCATTAGTTTTTATCGCATACTCTTTTTCTGCTCTAGCATCCCATCCAAATGATCACATTACATTTAGTCATTATGTCTCGCTAGCCACCACTGGTCTCACAGTTTCTCAGACTTCCCTTGTTTTTGATGACTTAGATGGCTTTGAGGGTACATTTTAGAATGTCCCTCATTTGGGATTTATCTGATGTGTTTCTCACGGTTTTTGTAAGGAAGACACTGAGGTTAAGTGTCATTCTCACCAGTCATATCGAGTTGATGAATTACAAAGCTTGGCAGGAACATCTGACTGACTTCTGCAACACTGCAGGAAGCTCAGTGGCTGCTGAAAATCTTCCTTGGGCTTCTACTTATATTTTGATTTCTTAAAAATAAAACAACAATGAAAGCAGAAACAAAAAAACAGCATACCTGCCATCATTTCTTGTAGATCTGTGTGTTGTAGCCAGTGGTGGATGAACACTACCCCTCCCCGCCCAAAATAACAGATACTGTTAAGTTCCAGAGCTTAAAGGCAGGACAACGCGTTGCTATGCGCTGCTCCCTAGCTACGCTAAAGTTCCGGTTGGTAGTGGCCTCTGCTAGTGTTTAAGTTGGAATCCACGGAGTACTGATGCTTATGGCCCTGGGGATGAATACACCCCTCTAGCACCCTGCAGTTTACCTTACATCCTTCCTGCAGGCCCCTCATCCCCACCAAGTTCATCCTTGTACCCAACAAAATATTCCCTTTTAATTCAAGACTCCTTCCCCTTATTCAGCTTTTCACTGACCTAAAGAACTTTTCAGTCTTTGTCGAGTAGGAGAGAAATATTGACAGCTTTTCCCCATTTTTGTCAGAGGAATGTTCTCACAGGCAACTTTCTCATTTGCTAGTAATACATCTCACAAAAATCAGGCATACCTTGTTGCATAATCTTGAATGTTTAACTTTTCTGGATTTTGGCTTTCATCCCTGTAAAACGATTTAGCACCCAGGCTACACAAGATGGACACATACTTCGCATTCATGAGGTCTTGATGCCATTCAAAAGTTCCTGTCTTATTTATCTTACATTCTCAGTTATTGATCTTTATAGAACAGGTACATAAAAATTACAAGTTACTTTAGTTTAGTACAATCTTGCTGGGAATAGCCCCAACGGGTGATTTGTGTTTCACATAATCATGACTAAAATTTCTTGGCTAAGTCAATCACGGAAATAAGGGAACAGATCCATGGGAACTTTCTGACTTAGGTAAGTTCAGGTGCTTACTTAGGTAAGACTCTCATTCTACTCCCACTAGACAATGTCAAGCAGGAACACAATATCTACATTAGGGTACCTGATCCCAAACAGTTCCCTGTTAAATTGAAATTTAGGTGGGTATCCTTGCTATGCCCAAAAGTAACAAGACTATCTGTAAGAATTAGTCTGAACCAATCTGTTAACACTGAAGAGTAAGCAGTGAGAACCATTAATAAGAGTTCTGGATTTCAAAGCTATAGCTGTGGAGAGGATGTTCTTGACATACACTAGGATATGTATTCCAAAGGCTACTTTTTAGTGGCTGGGGAGAGTTATATTAACCCTTCCACATGTTTTCCAGTCCTAGACACAGCTTTTGGTGATAAAAGCCAAAATCCTTAAACAGAGAAAAGTCAACTGGTCATTGCAAGGACCTAGGGTTGGACTAGGCTTCAAAGTTTTACTGTCTAACCAGAAAATGAGCAGGATGGTGAGGGCAACGTGCTGATCCCCAGAATTTGATAATCTTACTCCAAACACCGTTCCATATTCAAGTTTTTTTCTCCCCTTCCAATATTGCCTTTTTAGAGAATCAAACTCTGAGTACCATTGATGTTATGCAGGGAGGTTTGTTTCATGGATTCCAAATACTAGATGCAACTCTGTGGTCAAGGTTATTAGCTCAAAGCCCAATTACTATAATATACTGTGTGATCTCATTTATATAAAACTCAAGAAAACGCAAACTAATTCACAGTGATGGAAAGCAGATCAGTGGCTACTTGGGCATGGGAAAGGGTGGGAAGAGGCACGAAGAAACTTTTGGGAGTAAAGGGTATGTTCACTATCTTTTCTCTTGTTGTGGAGCATGGGCTCTAGGCGCGTGGGCTTCAGTACTTGTGGCACACGGGCTCAGTAGTTGTGGCTCGCGGGCTCTATAGCGCAGGCTCAGTAGTTGTGGCACACGGGCTTACTTGCTCCGCGGCATGTGGGATCTTCCCGGACCAGGGCTCGAACCCGTGTCCCCTGTATTGGCAGGCGGATTCTTAACCACTGCACCACCAGGGAAGGCTATTACCCAACACAGCCAAAAATAAATAAATAAAATTAATTAATTAAAAAAATAATTTTTTACATACATACATACACAGGTGTATCCTATGTCAAAGCTTATCAACTGTATACCTTAAACATGTAAACCTTAAACATGTACAGCTTATTGCATGTCAATGACACTTCATTACGGGGTTGTTTTTTTTAAGATCAAATAAGTACTCAGTAGGTTAGGAAACAATCTACTTGGGTGCCCACTGTAAAAAGAATATGCTACATTTTGTTTAATATGCCAAGTCACCCAACCTCCTTCCCACTGAGGCCATATGAAAGGACAGAATGTAGCAGGAGGAGTTTTAGGGTAAACCAGAAGAATAAAAGATGCAGAAAGAGCCACTCCCCTGAAATATGAAGGGTCTGGGGCAGTAATGGCAGGGGCCTGAATTTCAAACTCTGTACCCAGATGCCTATTAGAGAACAACTAAGACTATTCACTCAGGAGGTTTAGCCATACCATTTCAGATCTATGAGGCAGTGAAATGAAGTAAAAACAAACACTGATTAAATTTTTAAAATTTATTGGTTTTTTTTTTTGGTTGCTGTTGATTTGTTCTTGTGATGGCTACAACACCAGACAGAACAGTGCCCTAATATCTAATGCCTGTGCAGGGCTGCAACTCCTATAAAATATTAGGACTTGCTTTGGGCCTCCCTATTCTGCCTCACTCCCCATGAAGTCAAATAATTTCTGCATCTTTTAGTAAACTACAGTTAGCCCTGTAAACACTTTTTTCCATTCTCCCACCCTCTGTTTTCCTCTCTCATGTCTACGGGTGAAAAATTAATTAAGAAAAAAAATCTTAAAAAAACTACAACTTAGAATATATATTTATATCCCACTCACCCTAATTTTGGCTCTTCTCTCCAAAGATGACAACAACCCAATGTAGGTGGGAAGTGGACTTAAGAGACTGAATAGGGTCAGGATGGGGATATACATGAATTTTGGCCCTGGCAGGTCCTAGTATCATTGATATGACCATGATATAAAACAGAACAGGCTCCTTGCTTATTTCTCCTTGTCTGAAGAATTCTAAAGGTGAGAAGAAAACAGTTGGGACAGTAGGAAAAATTTCTACTAACTTTCATTAAAAGAGGAGGGGGAGGGGGAAAGGGAAAGAAGAGAGGGTGGGAGAGAAGGAAAGGACAAAACAGCAGAAAACCTTAAGAGATGATCCTGACCCTTTCCTTCCAATTAGTTATTTAATTCATTTGAATTCCCACTTCCCTAAGTAAACGTTTTTGTTTCACAGAAAGTTTTGTACTTTTATTTTTCTGTGTGCACACATGCATGTTAGCATGTGTGTGTGTGCGTGTAGGTACGTGTACGTATGTGTGCATGTCATTTGCTACCAGGAGAATGTTTCAGTTCTGATTTCAGTTTAGTTTTCCTTTTTTTTTTTCTTTTTTATTTCTTTAAAATTATTTTTCCTTTTAGAAACAAGTTCACCAGGAAACCAGCTCACCTCCCACCACGCTGCACAGGCCGCAGCCATCTTTTTTAAACCGCGCTGATTTTCCCTCACACCCCCAAACAGGAACTCCTCAGGATGGCCTTGGAAGGCTGGAGTCTCTCCCTGTCTGGCGGGAGGCCCTGGTGGCGGTGAAGGCCCCTCTGCCACAATGGAGGTTTCTGATTGTGGGACACAGTCTGGTTTTTGTTTTCTTCCTGTCTTCTAATTAAAAAAGACATTCCTGACAAAAGAGAGAAGATAGTCAATAACTGTGGTCCAGGAGACAGCAAATACTTCAGAAAGTCAACCTCAAGACAGAAGTTTCTATACTTGCTTAGGCACCTCATTCTGGCCTCTGCTGTAAGAACTCAGTTTAAAAAAAAAAAGAAAAAAAAAGAAGTTGGATTTTTTCACTTGTGATTTTAAAGGAGCTACTGTTTTAATGAAATACCATCTGTGGTGCTTTTCCAATTCTGAGTGTCCTCAGTGATAATATGTGGGGGTAAAGAGTAAGCCAGCAGGTCCAGGCTGCCCACTCCAAAGCCAACCAGAAAACCTCCATTTAAGTCTTTTAAGGTATTGGGGTTTCATGCAAGATTTTATTTTGAAAGAAGGCTTTGCCTACTAAGAAAAGGTTTAAGAGCCACTGATTTAGACTCTACTATTACAGACACTGCAAAACCTGAGGATCCCAAATGATATCACTACTCATCAAAGAACCAAAGTTTAGAAATAATTTCTGGTATGGTGAGGCATTGCTCAACAGCATCTTCACCCGCAAATTCATTTAATCACAAAACCACCAGTGAGAGGGCTGCACATTCATCGAGAATTGCCTCCAGGGAGAATAAATTCTGCTTAAGACATCAAAGGGTGGGCTTACAGGAGAGATGCCTTTCTTCTTTCAGTCAAGAAACTGGCACCCAGACCCCACCACCCAGTCCTTTCCTTCCTCAGCTAAGCTTCTTGCTTTACTTCAGAATCAGAAGCAAACGGAGAAAACTGATGATCAGGGGCTAGGCACAGAGGCTAGCTCTTTTCCTTTACCTCCTGCCGTGGTCAAAAACCTAGCATTTCAGCGTTAAAATTGTAAAAAATGATAAGAACAAGCATCTTTATTTATCAAATCTGAAAGATCAGTTTTAGGAAGGCAGTGCCATGTATCACGGTCTACTTTAGGTCAGCACTGTTTTCACCAACAGTTGCCAGGTTGAAAAATATTCATTTGTTACCACACATACTTACCATGCTAGAAATATCTGTAAAGAGAAGAGGGGAGGAATTATCTTGAGATATTCTGCAACAATAACTTTCTTATGGGGGTAAAACTGGCATCCAAAAGAAGCTGACAATTATTTGGCTGCCTTGACCCAAGAAAATCAGGCCTGTGCATTTCTCAGCTGTGCAGCAGCGTTAAACTGTTACGTCCTTCCCTGACTCTAGCTATAGTACTAGTCCCATGATGGGCATTAAAAACCTACGCCTATCCCCAAGTACTTCCAACAGCCAGGGGAAAAGCTGGGAACTATATACCACTCACCTGGGTGACAGGCACAGTGCAGGAGTATGAGCTATCGAAACAACCTGGTGAAGTCTCGCAAGGCCCAGCAAACTTGTTTACATTCCTCAGCACTAGAAAAGAAAAGGTAGGTTGGTCCCTGACTCATGAGAAAGATATAATATGTTGAAAAGCAACCACAACCTTGAGGTATACCGAGAACTGTCCCAGCTCTGCTCTCTCCATCATCTCTTGACCCCGCTTTCAATCTTTCTGTAACTCAAGAGTAAATATTAACTATTGTACATGAGAATAATTATAAGCTGTGTGGTTGTTAAAGAGTGGGTGTTGGAGAAAAACTGCTTAGGTCTGAATCTTGGTTACACTGTGTCCTTGAGCAAGTTACCAATCTGCCTCAGTTTCCTCATCCATTATCTACCCCATGATGTTCTGAAGATTAAATCAATCTTAATTAAATCAATATGTAAAGTGCTTAGGATAATAGAACAGTGAATAAAATAGTATTTGACAAATGTAGGCTGCTACAACAAGAAAACTTGGCTATTCCCTGGCGGTCCAGTGGTTAAGACTCTGCGCTTCGGACTTCTCTGGTGGCGCAGTGGTTAAGAATCCGCCTGCCAATGCAGGGGATGTGGGTTCGAGCCCTGGTCCGGGAAGATTCCACATGCTGCGGAGCAACTAAGCCCGTGCACCACAACTACTGAGCCTGCGCGCCACAACAAGAGAAGCCACCACAATGAGAAGCCCGCACACTGCAACAAAGAGTAGCTTCTGCTCGCCACAACTAGAGAAAGCCCGCACACAGCAACAAAGACCCAATGCAGCCATAAATAAATAAATAAAAAAAAAAAAAAAAAAAAAAAAAGACTCTGTGCTTCCACTGTAAGGGGCACGGGTTCAATCCCTGGTCGGGGAACTAAAATCCCGTGGCCAAAAAATCAAAAAACAACAAAACCTGGTTAAAGTCCTTGACATAAATAAAAGAAAGCCTGAACCCTCAAAGTAAAAAAGCAAGCATATTCACCTAAGGTTGATCATTTTAACTCTATGAGCTGAGCTAACTTAGGTACCCTGGTTTCCTCATTCTTTCCCAAGAGCAGATTTTGTTTATAAAGCCCAGTCCAGAAAGTGAGTCTCAATAAGCGATTTTCTAGTTGAACAGGCTGCTCAAGGTTTCCTCCTGTGGGAGGAGGAGGGAGAGGAGAGAGGAAAGGGTTAAGGCATGAAGAAAGGGAGGAGGAGGAAGCAGGTCTTGGTCCTCAGGCAAGCAATGAGATGCCTAGGTGGCACGAATAGCCCAATATTCATTTGACCCTGTTTTTTCAAAAGGCTTCCTTTATCTAAGATTGTCATCAAGAAACCAGCTGATGCCAGCTTCATTCTTTTTTGTCAGTCTTCATAATAGTTTTTGGTAACTGAACATGAGGCTAAGCTAAAAACAGTGGAAAAGAAAGCACATCCTAATATGCTCACCCTTCTGTGGCCCTCTCTTTGGCTCAGAAAAATTAAGGGAGCACAGCCTATAGCCTAGCATTCAATGTCAGAAGAAAGCTCTCTCTCCTTCTTGTAATGGTTAAAAGTCAGGGAGGGAACCACTAACAGTGATTCAACATAAAAGAAGGTAATAAGAGCTATCTCCTTAAGAGCCTACATCTGGATTTCCCCAGCTATTATAAGGTCTGAAACATCACTAAGAACCTTGATTTAGACTCTAGGACTTGATTCAACAGAGGCTTTCTTCTAGTCTCCCTCCATCCTAAAAATGTAAGGAAAGTAAAGAAGGTCTTCTAGTTTTATTGTAATTCTGCCATTTGCTCTGTGAATTTAACATGCCTCAATAAAAGCATTACATTTCTCTATTTCCGAATCAATACTGACTATAAGGAGGCAGCCTTGGTGAGTGAGCCCGATCACTCCTGCTTCCCAATGTCACGAAGGTGGAAGATACGTAACCCCAGAGAAGTCACTGTGTGGTGTATTATTATAAGGGACTAAGACGACAGGAAAGAGATAAACTTAGGATAATGCTGGAGACTCAAGATTCTTTTGCTATCTTAATGCCTTACATGTTGTTCAATACTACCCTTCTTCAACCAGAAATCGTGGTTAAATCTGGAAGAGAAATGATAACTCCACTCTTAGCATCTTTCGTAACATGAGAAAAAGTATTGAAACCAAAATTCAAGTACAGGAGAACTGTGGTGAGACATGGTGAAATGAGCGATAGGCCACAATCTCTCGAATCAACTCAGCTTCTGCTCCCAATCCTGTCAGCAACTGCTCTGGTGTCAAGCGCTTCAGCCAAATGTTTAACTTAAGTGTCCCTGGTGATTAAGCCCAAAGAAATAGATTTTTAAACAAACAAACAAACAAACCTCCTTAAAAACTAGAACTATTTTCTGTTTCTGCCTCAGTCCTCCTGGCACTTAATATTTCTGCGTTGTTTTTATATTCATTTACACTTATTTATTTATATTCATTCATTCATTCAAAACTGCCACTATTTTTGTAGGTTCTATTTTCTGGCTTCTAGTCCCGCCATCCCAATCCTTCCTATACTTTTTTTAAAAAATTAATTTATTTTTTTCAGTACGCGGGCCTCTCACTGTTGTGGCCTCTCCCGTTGCGGAGCACAGGCTCCGGACGTGCAGGCTCAGCAGCCATGGCTCACGGGCCCAGCCGCTCCGCGGCATGTGGGATCCTCCCAGACTGGGGCACGAACCTGTGTCTCCTGCATCGGCAGGCGGACTCTCAACCACTGAGCCACCGGGGAAGCCCTTTTTTTAAAATTTTAAATAATCCAAGTATAGTTGATTTACAATGCTATGTTAGTAATTTATCCCTCCCTGATCCCTTTCCCCTTTGGTAATCATGTTTGTTCTCTATGTCTGTGAGTCTGTTTCTGTTTTGTAATTAAGTTCATTTGTGTCATTAGACTCCACACATAAGTGATATCATATGGTATTTGTCTTTCTCTTTCTGATTTACTTAGTATGATAATCTCTAGGTCCATCCATGTTGCTGCAAATGGCATTATTTCATTCTTTTTTATGGCTGAGTAGTACCCTATTATGTATATATCACATCTTTATCCGTTCATCTTTACATGGACATTTAGGTGGCTTCTGTGTCTTGGCTATTGTAAATAGCGCTCCTATGAACTACTGCACTATTGCATGTATTGGGGTGCATGTATCTTTTCGAATTATAGTTTTCTCCAGATATATGCCCAAGAGCCTTCCACTATACTTTTGAGTAATTTTATGGTCACTATTCCTCAAGCCCCGTAATCCTAGTGGTGCGCTGAGAAGTGCAACCCTTTTCATCTGATGTGCATAATGGAGAGTAACCAAGCTCTAACTAATGACTTCAGCAAGAAGACACCCCCATACTGGCCCATTCTAGTGTCAATGCTCCCCATGCATGTCTTTTTATCTTGAGATCCTCATGCAAGTGATAGTCACAGAATAAATACCAAGACAGGAAAATGGGAAATGATGGCAAAATTTCTTCTAGACATGATTAGTGGTATTTGGAAAGCAAGAATGATATTTCAGAATGAAAAATTCCAGCTTTCTTCAAGTTAGCCAACTAAAAATGCCAGGAAATTAATTAATTACCAGTACCATTTGAGAAACAGGCTTGGACTTGCTGAAATGACACTGAACCAGTTTACCCTCCCTGCTAGGATGGCAAACAAAGTAGCATGTTGAGGCAGGAGTAACAGGACCTTAAAACCGAAAGGGAGACTGAGTCATGCATGGAACAGAAGGTTCAAGGGCAATACACATACCAGAGAAAGAGAATTACTAAGAGGAGCTGAGCAATCTCAAATCCTTTCTCTAGCACCTCAACATTACCTCTTACTTCTGTTCATTTCCCACCATTATGTCACAGCCTACTATAGGAGGAGCTGCAAAACTTGTTTAGCAGTAAAAGATCAAGTAGTCCAGGATGGTAAATACCTTATTGTCCCATATCACAGGACAAAGATCACAGATATTTTTGTTCAAAGCAATACATTATTTGGGTTCATTTTCCTAGCCTCAAGATTTTCCTTACACTATGGAATGTCCATGACTTTTATTTCAGACTTACACTTTGTTTCTACCTGTCATATATTAGCCTGGATAAGGAAATATGAGCTTGGTGGAAACTTATTCCAGAATGTGTGGGAGGTTGCCTTACAGCTGAAGGAGACATGCTCTAGCTAGTTTTGCAAGTATGTAATGACATTCTGGCAGGTTCTTCTCCAAGGAAAAAGTTAACTGATCACCTACTATGTACCAGATCGTCTTTAAATTTCCACTTGGTATTTCACAATAACCCTATGAGAGAGGTATTACTAACCCTATTTTACAGATAAATAAGCTGCAAAGTAACAGTAAGTGGCAAGATTCAAACCTACAGCCTTGACTCTAAGCCCAGTCCTCCTTTGAGGGTTCTCCTCAGGCTCTCATTCGCTCTAATCTAGAGTCAATATGATCCTGCCCTTCTAATGAACAACACTAGATAAAACAGAGCAGAACAGAAGCAGGGAGAAGCAACTGTTATACTTCTTTCCCCTGAGACAGTTTGTAGGTACAATATTACTTCTACTGGGAAGATTCATAGTAAAAAAAGACAAAATAGTTTTTTAAGGTCATCCCAATAAATATATGCCTACCTAGTAGAGGGGAAATCCACTCTTTTGGCAAAATGTGTCATGAAGGCAGTCACATGCTATTTTAAAGTCATGCATGTCACTTGATCTATAGCCCAAAGTCAGTTACTTCCGGGACATGAAGTTAGGCCACTTAGTAAACTACAAAAAAACAGCACTCAAAGATTTGGGATTTTACCATTAACAGAATTATTGGAAACTCTTGGGAATAAGAAAGTAAACCATTTTGGAGAGTGACAAGAAATCAATTCTCAGAAAAAAAGATTAGCATTTAATTTTCTCTCCCTTTTAAAAACTAGGTCTGGGGGCTTCCCTGGTGGCACGGTGTTTGAGAGTCCGCCTGCTGATGCAGGGGACACGGGTTCGTGTCCCAGTCCAGGAGGATCCCATGTGCCGCGGAGCGGCTGGGCCTGTGAGCCATGGTCTCTGAGCCTGCGCGTCCGGAGCCTGTGCTCCGCAACGGGAGAGGCCACAGCAGTATGAGGCCCGCGTACAGCAAAAACAAACAAACAAACAAACAAAAAAACAGAAAACTAGGTCTGGTTTTAATTGTAAAAGCATACCATGCTCATGAAAAAAATGCAAATAGCACAGGTTATGAAATGAAAAGTTCTAGTTATATATCTTTTCAGAAATTTACTATTCATAATAAAGTAGCTTGCATATATATATATCATACATAATAGAATAGCTTTTAAAAGTACAAGTTGGTTCATTTACAACAGCATCAAAAAGAATAAAATACTTAAGCTATAAAATGTTGCTGAAAGAAATTAAAGATACCAATAAACGGAAAAACATCTCATGTTCATGCACTGGAAAGCCTAATATTATTAAAGGTGTCAATACTATACAAAGTGATCAGATTCAATGTAATCCCAATCAAAAATCTCAACGACGGGCTTCCCTGGTGGCGCAGTGGTTGGGAGCCCGCCTGCCGATGCAGGGGACACGGGTTCGTGCCCTGGTCCGGGAGGATCCCACATGCTGCGGAGCGGCTGGGCCCGGAGCTTGTTCTCCGCAGTGGGAGAGGCCACAGCACTGAGAGGCACGCGTACCGCAAAAAAAAAAAAAAAAAAAAATCCCAACGACGTTTTTTTGTGGAAATAGAAAAGTCTATCCTAAAATTCATATGAACACAGTTCTCCCAGTTGTGCTGGTATTCACTGTGGTCATGCAGTTACCTTGGCAACGTGTACATTGCTTTTTTGGCTTTTAATGTATAGTCAGTACTATAAATTTTCTGTTTTGAGTTTTGTAACTTTGTAGCATTTTAGATAATGTCGTGTTTGTACTTTGTTGTGTAGAGTAAAAGGATTGTGTTGAATAAACCTAGGATTAGAGTGAAAAAAAATTCGTATGAAATCTCGAGGGACTGCGAATAGCTAAAATACTCTTGAAAAAGAACAAAGCTGGAGGTCTCAATTTACCAATTTCAAAACTTATTCAAAGCCATAATAATCAAAACAGTACGGGACTGATATAAAGACAGATACACAGACCACTGGGATAGAATAGACAGCCCAGAAATAAATCCCTTATGTATATGGTCAAATGATTTTTCAATAAGGGTACCAAGACCATTCAATGAAAAAAGGACAGTGCAGGGAAAACTGCAAAAGGATGAAGTCAGACCCTTAACATACATCACATACAAAAATTATCTCAAAATGGATCAAAGACATAAATGTAAGACCAAAAGTATAAAACTTTCAGAAGAAAACATAGGGGAAAAGCTTCATGATATTATATTTTGTAATGATTCCTTGAATGTAACACCAAAAGCACAGGCAACAAAAATAAAATAGATATGGAGAAATTAGAACCTTGTGCACCGTTGGTGGGAATGCAAAATGGTATAGCTGCTATGGAAAACAGTATGGTGGTTCCGCAAAAAAAATTAAACATAGAACTGCCATGTAATCCAGCAATTCCACTTCTGGGTATATATCCTAAAGAACTGAAAGTGGGGTCCTGAAGTGACATCTGTACGCTCATGTTCATGGCAGCATTATTCACAATAGCCAAGAGGCAGAATCAACCAAATGTCCATCAAAGGATGAATGGATAAATAAGATAGGATATATACATACAATGGAGTGTTATTCAGCCTTTGAAAGGAAGGAAATTCTGATACCTGCTACAACATGAGTGAACCTTAAGGACATTATGCTAAATCAGTCACAAAAGGACAAAACTGTATGATTTCACTTATATGAGGTATCTAGAATAGTCAAACTTAGAAAGTAGAACGATGGTTGCTAGGGGCTGGAGGGAGGGAGATACGGGGAGTTGCTGTTTGATAAGTATACTTTCAGTTTTGCAAGACGAAAAGGCTCTGGTGATTAATCCCACAGCAATGTGAATGTACTTAACACTACTGAGCAGTTCACTTAAAAGTGGTTTTAAAAAAAAGGTTAAGACAGTAAATTTTGCATGTATTTTATCAAAATTAAAAAACATTTTAAGTGCAAGTTGGGTTATACAAAATTGTTATTTTTTTCCCTTTATATCATATATTTTTCTGTATCATCAAATGCATTTTTTTCCTTCTTCTTCTTTTTCACCATTACCAAGCTCACTGCAACAACTCATTCTTGGACCTATAAATCGTTCCACAATTGTATGAATATAAGCCATTGCCTAAAATTTAGTCAAGATTCTAAAGACTGTACATAGAAAAAGGAATATCAGAGGAAGGTAACACACAGTTACAAAATCCAATTTAAGTTGTTGTCATTAATACTATCAAGGACCATAAAAGTCTCATAACTTCTGATTCAGTGATTGCATTTTAAGGAAAATAATCAAAAGAAGGAAAAGGCTAGACATTCAATATTATCCATAATACTGAAAAAATGAAAATTAATAGAGGCACTATAAGGAAATCAATCAACACCTTATAGCTAAAAAACTGTAATTAGGAAGACTATGTAGGTATATTTAAAATGTTTATTATGTTTATAGTAAAAAAAAAAAAAAAAAAAAAACAACCCACACATGTACAACTTAACATTTTAACTAAGCTGTAAGCAAGTGGCTCATGGGCCTAATGCATCCCAGAGAGATGTTTTGGTTGGCCTGAATTAAATTAGAATTTGAATATCTTTAGGCACAGCAAAAATTTCCTAATTCACTGCAGTCCACATCACTCTATAATATTTTACAACCAATGCTTCACCTATTCAGACACCTGTATTCTTGACCCCTGAATACGGATAAGAACTGGGAAGGACTTTAAAAAGATACAGGCAGATTTCCTGAAGGGTAGTGGGCTGTTCAACACACTGTTCTTTTGGAAGAACATCAGGATATGTATAATACAATAAAACTGAGGCACACATGTACAGCATGGTGATACTTTCCCCCAGATTGGTTTCCAATGCCAATTTGTGCAATTCAAGGCTAAACAGACACAAAACTTTGAATTTACAAAGACACACCAAAAAATACTCCTGGGTATATCTATAACTAAGTTGGTATAAAAAACAAAGATATTTTTTCTGCATACCCCCGCTGCTGATCATCACTCACCTAGTGACTTGTTTGTGGAAATCTGTAAGTTGTTTGTGTGTCACTGTGACAGCTCCCACGGTTGTCTCCTTTGGCAAACCTTTCAAGGAATTCTCTAACCATCGACAAAAAGTCTGTACAAAGAATAGGAAAAAGCGTTTTAAAAGAAGGCAGGGCTTACTCAACTGAGATCCTACAGGTGATAACCAAAACCCACAGGTTTTTTCCTTAGTAGCATTAGCTCCCCAAACTTGGAAGCAAGTAAAGGACTTAACAGAAGTACTATTTCTGGCCTTCCAACCCACTGGGGATTGGAACAGCCTACAAAGGCATGCCTAGACTCCCTTCAAGGGGGCAGCAGGCATCATTTCAGACAGAGCCTTTCAACCTTGGAAATGAAGTCGCTTCTGGATAAAGCTATTGTTCTGTTTCTGTCATTAAACTTATGTAGTATTTTAAAAATTAAACAGCCGCCAGAAAACTGTTGAGCTTAGAGATCAAAGGCAATCCAAAGCAAAAGTTCAGGTACCAGAAAGAGCAGGGACAAAAAGTATAGTAAGTAAACATTTTAAAAAGTGCATACACGTAATATGAATCCAGAATCTTAAGGATTTTAAGGTCACTTCTCTCAGCAGGGGTCATAGCCAGTCAGTTCCTTTGTGATACCTGCCTGTTCTGTGGGTTAGAAAATTCTTTTTTTTTTTGCTCACTCTTATTGCTCTTTTCTTCTTTTTCTTTTTTTTTGGCCACACGGCATGCAGGATCTTAGTTCCCTGACTAGGGATGGAACCCATGCCCCTTGCAATGGAAGTGTGGATGGAGTCTTAACCACTGGACCACCAGGGAAGTCCCTCTTGTTGCTCTTTAAAACAATTTACTTACATCTGAGCATAGTCTCTATATCTTTCATGTGTACAAAAACTGAAGAGGAAGGGGAGTGGGAGCAAACTTAAAAATCAAAATTCTAGAGACTTCCTCTGGGTTCTTATTTTCATTTGAATTGTTATTCTTTGAAAAAGCTCTAATTTTTCTTCATGCCTTTCTTAAGTAGGATGTATGCCTTGGTCACAGTTTTCAGTTGTAAAATAACTTTTTTATACCTAAATTTTTTACATTATGTGTTTTCCCATTGTTAATTTATGAACACAATAGACCAGAGCAAAAGTAAATATTCCACTATAAATGCTTAAAAAGTACTGCATAATTCTCCAAGTGTTGCCCCTTCTGAGTAGAAGACAACATTCTACTCCGACAAAAACAAGCAGAGGCAAACAGCATGAATGAACCCTTAACTGACAAAGCTTTGGCATCCAAAACGACCCATGAGTTAACTATAAGTATCCCCCAAAACAAAAACAGTAAGAAACTAAACTATATACTGTCAACTAATATTTGACAAAGGAGATGAGAATACCCAATGTAGAAATGACAGCCTTTTCAATAAATAGTGCTGGGATAATTGCATACTCAAATGTAGAAGAAAGAAACTGGACTCATGCCTTTCACCACTCACAAAAAGTAACTCAAAATGGATTAAAGACTAAATGTAAGACCTGAAACCATGAAACTCCCAGAAGAATACAAAGGCCTAAAGCATTCTGACATGGGTCTTGATAATGATTTTTTGGCCGTGACACCTAAAGCACAACCAGCAAAATAAAAATAAACAAGTGAAACTACATCAATCTAAAAGCTTCTGCACAGCAGAAGAAACCATCAACAAAGTAAAAAGACAACCTAAGGAATGGGAAAAAATATTTGCAAACCATATACCTGATAAGAGGTTAGTATCTAAAATACATAAAGAACCCATACCAGTCTAGCAAAAAGCCAAATAACTCAATTAAAAAATGGGGGCTTCCCTGGTGGCGCAGTGGTTGAGAGTCCGCCTGCTGATGCAGGGGTCACAGGTTCGTGCCCCGGTCCGGGAAGATCCCACATGCCGCAGAGCGGCTGGGCCCGTGAGCCATGGCCACTGAGCCTGCGCGTCCGGAGCCTGTGCTCCGCAACGGGAGAGGCCACAACAGTGAGAGGCCCACGTACCAAAAAAAAAAAAAAATGGGCAAAGGACCTCAATAAACATTTCTCTAAAGAAGAAATACGAAAGGCCAACAGGTACCTGAAAAAAACGCAAATTAAAACTATAAAGAGATACCATCTTAACACCTGTTTAGCATGGTCATGATCAAAAAGATAAAGAGATAACAAGTGCTGGCATGGGTATGGAGAAAAGGGAACCCTTGTACACTGTTGGTGGGATTGTAAATTGATACAACCACTATGGAAAACAGTTTGGAGGATCCTCAAAAAATTAAATATATATACCATATGATCCAGCAATTCTACTTCTGGGATATATCCAAGGGAAACAAAAACACTAACTCGAAAAGATATCTACACCCCATGTTCACAGGAGCATTATTTACAGTAGCCAAGACATGGAAACAACCTAACTGTCCATGGATGGATGAATGGATAAAGAAGTTGCAGTATGTGGTACACACAATGGATATTATTATTCAACCATAAAAAACGAAAAAATCCTGGGCTTCCCTGGTGGCGCAGTGGTTAAGAATCCTCCTGCCAATACAGGGGACACCGGTTTGAGCCCTGATGTGGGAAGATCCCACATGCCACAGAGCAACTAAGCCCATGCACCACAACTACTGAGCCTGTGCTTTAGAGCCTGCAGGCCACAACTACTGAGCCCACGTGCCACAACTACTGAAGCCCGTGAGCCTAGAGACTGCTCCACAACAAGAGAAGCCACTGCAATGAGAAGCCTGCGCACCACAACAAAGAGTAGCCCCCACTCACCACAGCTAGAGAAAGCCCGCATGCAGCAACGAAGAGCCAACGCAGCCAAATAAATAAATAAATAATAAATTAAAAAAAAAAAACAAAAGCGAGGAAATCCTACCATTTCTGACAAAATGGATGACCTTAAAGGCATTATGGTAAGCAAAATAAGTTAGAGAAAGACAAACACTGTATGATCTCACTTATATGTGGAATCTAGAAAAACAAAACAAAACTCATAGAAAAAGAAATCAGACTTGTGGTTACCATAGGCAAAAAGTGGGGGGAGAGAAACTGGAGGCAGTGGTCAAAAGGTCAAACTTCCAGTTATAAGATAAATAAGAACTAGTTAAGTAAGTAAATCCTATGAGTTTTCAACAGGAGAATTTTTTTTTCCTTTTTTCCTTCTTTTCTTCTTATTGTGTCCATAGGAGAAGATGAATGTTAGCTGAACCTACGGTGGTAACCATTTCACAATATATGTAAATCAAACCATTATGCTATATGCCTTAAACTTACACACTGATATAGATCAATTATTTCTCAAAATATTCAAATCAAGAGACAAAGCTGGTACGCCATCTTCTACTGAAGAATCTGTGTTGAACTTTGAAAATGTATGATTGAGAATGTGCTCAAGAATGTTAATTTTCTTCAGACTTATATCCTTAGTTACGATTTCAATCAGTTTACAGCATACAGACAACCTAAATTTATGTAAGAGTTCCTTTACAAAAACTCAGTTTTAAGTTGGTGTTTATAGAAAACCACTTTTTAAAAAAATTTTTTATTTTACATCAGAGTATAGTTGATTAACAATGTTGTGTTAGTTTCAGGTGTACAGCAAAGTGATTCAGTTATACATATACATGTATCTATTCTTTTTCAAATTCTTTTCCAATTTAGGTTATTACAGGATACTGAGTAGAGTTCCCTGTGCTACACAGTAGGTCCTTGTTGGTTATCTATTTTAACAATCACTTTAAAATAATTTAGCAATTCAGTGGGTACACAGTAAATTTAAGAGCACAGGGCTACTTGGTTTCTGTTCCTGCCCCAAATTGCTGCTCTCATTTTCTTCTTTAGTCCTTACCTGTATGCTTACAAATCCAAACTTTTTTGTAAGGTTAAATGTACATAATAAGTTTTTTGTTACCTGGAAACCAAGTATATTTATTTAAAAGTAAGAGTATGGAAATTTTATTTCTCTTATCAATAATGTTTGGAATAAACTTGTTGGTCCCCAGGGGTTCACAGAATACTTTTTAGAAAAACAAAAACTACTACTGTATTAGATTGAAATGGAACAGGTGTCGTGAACAGCCAGCAAGGGAACTACAGGTACTATTCATTCCTGAAGCACTTGAGCTAATGGAAGAACTGCAGAGCTATTTGATGAAACCAAAGCCACACAGGAGCTTCACAGAGTTTGATGAGTAAGAATTAAGGTTCATGGAGGGGACTTCCCTGGTGGTGCTATGGTTAAGACTCCGCACTCCCAATGCAGGGGGCCCAGGTTCCATCCCTGGTCAGGGAACTAGATCCCACATGCATACCACAACCAAGAGTTTGCATGCTGCAACTAAGGAGCCCGTCTGCCACAACTAAGACCCGGAGAAACCAAATAAATAATTAAAAAAAAAAAAAGTTAAGGGGCTGTTTCTGAAGTAGAAACCTAGAGAAAATGTTAGAAATCCATTACACATCTACCATCTACCCTACATGTGATTGTGTTTCATTTGAGTGAGCTAACGATAAAGTAATGCATATGCCTAAGACAATTTACACTAATCATTGAATTTTGGAGATGAACACACAAATCCAAGACTAGGCAGAACTTTTGGCTCAGTAACATTAGGGTCTGAGAGTGAAAGTGTACTCTTTTTTTGTGAAACTGCTGAAATTGAAGCTAAGAACTGCAATCAGTGATATAAAATAGGAGATAACATTAAGATGTACATGGACTTAAAAGTTATAAGATACTTATGTATCTGGATTTCTGTGGTTCAATCAAGTCAGCTCACGTTAGGTCCAACTGTGTACTTTCCTGAACTGCTTTTATATTAATATTACAAATTATAAACCTCATTAAAAAAATAATTTACAGGCTATACACTGTATGTTACCATTATGCTCAAAACTTTCATGCAGTACACACAACCTGATTTATAATCATGTGGCCCAGTACTAAAATTAGTTGGACATTACTGGATAGCCTAAAAAAAACTTGCATGCTCAGGTGATAAAGAACCTGGTTCAAGAACTGAAACAGGATATAAATAAATCCAAAGGGGAAACAAATGCAGCTATAGATTGTAGGCTAGTTTTATATGCATATGCCTCCAAATGCTCTGGCTAGATTTATTACCAAGGAACCATATAGTGCTATTTAAGGAACCTGAAATGAATTAACACTTCTTTTTTTTTTTTTTTTTCGGTACGTGGGCCTCTCACTGTTGTGGCCTCTCCCATTGCGGAGCACAGGCTCCGGACGTGCAGGCTCAGCGGCCATGGCTCACGGGCCCAGCCGCTCCGTGGCATGTGGGATCTTCCCAGACCAGGGCACGAACGCGTGTCCCCTGCATTGGCAGGCGGACTCTCAACCACTGCGCCACCAGGGAAGTCCGAATTAACACTTCTTGAATAACCTGTAATATGGGCATCTCTCACAAGTGAACAAATTTCCCACTGGCCAGCCACATAGCTGAATTCAATGCTTAGTATTCACTTTTGGTAATAAATAAACCCTATGACAGTGACACAAACATATTTTCAAGAACCCTTCTATAGACCCCTTCATTTAACAATTAAACTTAGCAATATACCTAAATCAGGTTCCACGAACATACAACAGGACTGGTTTCAAAGTCATAGTCAGCCTCTCAAGGAACTGTTTAGGACTTGTTAGGGTTAGGGACTAACCCTAACCCTAACCCTTTAAAAAGATTATGAAAACAATCTTACCGGTCTGTCAACCTGCATGATCTCCCAGAGCACTTCGGCCACATCTGGTAGGGTGTATGGGGGGAGACAGAAGCAGCACGTGTGAAGCAACTGGCTTACAAGTTGCTGTCCAAGCTGGTTCATCACCTGTCCAATCAGTTCTTTCCGTAATTCAAAGTCTTCTTCATGCTGTAAGAAAACAGGAACAGGAAAATTCTAATTTCAACTTTCCAAAGAGCAAGTACTCTTTCCCCTTTAGTCTAGTAATCTCTCTTTCCCAGGGAAGAAAGTATATATAACAGCTGGATTCACAAGGTCCACTAAATGTTCTGTCACCAGGAAGAAAATATTAAGAGTTTAGTTTCAAGGAAATGGGCATGGGCTTCAGCTGAGATTAACCTTAACCCTTAGGTTTTTTTAAGTTTTTTTTTTTAAAATAAATTTATTTATTTTATTTTTGGCTGCATTGGGTCTTCATTGCTGCATGCAGGCTTTCTCTAGTTGCACAGCGACCGGGGGCTTCTCTTTGTTGTGGTGTGCGGGCTTCTCATTGCGGTGGCTTCTCTTGTTGTGGAGCATGGGCTCTAGGCGCGCAAGCCTCAGTAGTTGTGGCACTTGGGCTCTAGAGCGAAGCCTCAGTAGTTGTGGCGCACGAGCTTACTTGCTCCGCGGCATGTGGGATCTTCCCGGACCAGGGCTCGAACCCGTGTCCCCTGCATTGGCAGGCGGATTCTTAACCACTGCGCCACCAGGAAAGCCCAACCCTTAGGTTTTTCATGAATAGAACACAGAAGAGAAACAATGGTTAGAGATTAAGGGTAGCAATTTTCTTAACCTTTTTTTTTCTGTTAAAAAATAATTTAAAGTATCTGTATTTCCTTTTTTAAAAAGCGACTGAAAAAAAGAAGACTTCTATCAGATATCTAATCTCTATCAAAAAAAATCTTACTTATTTTCTTCCTTCTTAGTCTTTGAATACACATATTTCTAATATGTTGAAAAAAAAAAAAACTTTTACAGTGCCTTTCACTTCTAGTTATTTTCTTCTTTTCCCTCTCTCTTTTTACTGTCAAAATTCTTCAGTAATTAGCCTAGTCACATACTTAATTCTTCACTGATCTCCCTTACCTTCAATTCTACTCCACATCTAGTCAAACCTACCTTTGAACATTTTGTGAACCACTTTACTACTCCAGCCAAAAAGGTCTCTTAAGTGTCTACTAGTATACTTAGTACTATCCTGACTTTCTCTGATTATGATTTATACCCCAGTTAGGTTTTCCTCCCCTCTCCAATCCATCCAAATGGCTCCACTGAGGTCCTTCCTCTTCCAGAAAGTTATCCCAACCTACTTCTTTCCAAAGAGTTTTCCCTCCTCTGATCTCATAGCAATCATGACTTTTATCACTTATCTGACAATCAAATACTGCCTTGTTGCTGTTGTTTAATTCTTTATAACTGTATCTGCTTCTCTCTTCAATTAGACACCAAATGGCTTGGAAGCAGAGATAATTTCAGACTACTTGATACAGCTTACAACACTTAGTACAGGCTGTCTTAAATCTATTAGTTGATATTTTGGTTACTGAATGATCCACTATGGAATATGCCTACCAACACAGATCAAATAAGGAGATGCTGGTTTTCCCCTAAGGAATGAGAAAGAGATATGAGAAAACAATTGAGCTACAAAGTAGAAAGACTACATAGTTCATACTTACATCATTGGCTACCCCTGTGTGGATGAGGTCTCGTAGGAACCTCATGACACTACAGTTGGCATCCCGGTGGTCCAGGGTAGTAGAGGCAATGGCCCATTGTAAGATAGGGATGACAACCTGGCTCCTCAGCAAGGTAACAGGGCTACGCTGAATAAACCTGGTGTGGAAAGACAAGCTAGATATAAATGACAGGATTAGGCTATAAAAGCAGCCAGTGTGAAAGGCAAAACTATGGAGACAGGAAAAAGATCAGTGATTGTTAGGGATTGAGGGAGTGGAGGGTAAGAGGATGAATAGGTGAAGCACACAGGAGTTTTAGGGTCGTAAAACTATTCTGTATGATACTATAATGGTGGATATATGTCATTATGTCATTACACATTTGTCCAAATCCATAGAAAGAACACCACCAAGACAGAACCCTAATGTAAACTATGGACTTTAACAATGACATGTCAATGGAGGTTCATCAATTCTAACAAATGGATCACTCTGGTGGGGGATGTTGATAGTAAGGGAGGCTGTGGGGAAGGAGGGGGGAAGCTAGGGGTATATGGGAACTCTATACTTCCCACTCAGTTTTCTCAGATCCTCTAATGTTTACAGAGAATCTCCAAGAAAAAGATAAAACATTGTTCCAAATTTATTTTACCAGGCAACCATTTGTGCAAAGAGCATCTCTAGAGATTGATTTTTCAAGGAACACACTGGGAAAACAGGTTGACAACCCACCAAACAATTCTCTCATGCCAACACACATACACACACACACAAAAAAGAAGGGTTTTCTGACTTGTCCAAAAATTAACAAAAAAACCAGTGTTCATTACTAACTGATCTGGTTCAAATTCCTGAGCTAAGGACTAAGAATGAATACAAATGTCAGTGTCACTAGTAAAAGGAATTTAAGCAACAAGTGGGGTGGCTGGCTAGGGGTAGAGGTGGGAAGTACATACCAGATAACTTCTAAGGCACCTTAAAAGCCTAAGGATTTTTTATTCTGAGATATGATTATATCTAAAGGATGCTAAACTTCTCAAGGAAAAAGTTTAAGTAAAGCATGACATCATAGTACCATAAAATGTTAAAACTACATGGGATTCTACAGACTGTCTAGTCAAATATTCTTGCAAAGCTCATTTTTATTGCCTTGGGCATGTTCCCTCCTTCATGCAAGGAAATCAGTTATTTTCCCCTGTTCTCATCCAACTCTTCTTCATTTATGGGAATATTCTGGTTCACGATTTAACTTTGGGTTATGAACCATTAATCTACCTACTCCTCTTACCTCATTTTACAGAGAAGGAAACAGTTAACTGTTAGGTGACAAGATCAAGCAGTGATGAGGATGAGCAATAAAAAAAAAGGGTTGCTCTTCAGAAGGACTGACCTGGTGGCTAGCCTGAATAGGTCGTCCACAGTGTCAGGGTGATTCTGGAGCCCATTCTGCTGTTCTAAGAGCTGAAAGGTGGGCATGCACAGTGCCTAGAAAAGAAGTGATTTTAAAACAAATGCTTGTAAATTAATGCCATGGGATTCAGACTTGCTAAATATCATAACATATACAAAGAGAACAAAGAGGGGAAGTACAGATAAGAAAAGAAAAAGACTTTGATGAGAGATCAACAAAGGGAAGATATAAATCTTTCTCAGTTGACAAAAACAGTCTTCACATATGAAGTCCACATTTCAGAAAGGGTTGAGGGTACAGATTTCTGTTGATGAAACTGGGTAGATGTCACCTCAAATTTTTAGAAGTTTCTGAAACTGAAGACTGTGCTTATGTACTAGATATGATCTGGTCCACTAAGGGAGTAGTTGATGTTTTAATAATAATAGCTATGAAATGTCAATTTTAAAGGGAAAGACATCTTGGGAAAAGGAGCATTATGATTTAACTCCCTAATATATTTCCCCGCCCTGTGAATAGGAGAGGGTAAAAGCAGTATATCAGGAGACTTTTCCAATGCCTGCTATTTACCCTAAGACCATCCCTCCTAAGTAAACTAGTTCATTGGCTGTTCCAGGCAAGAAATTAAAAACAGAAACATGCTTGAGCTTAGAGATCCTTTATTTTAAATCTACTTGCCCACCTTCCCACCCTCCAAAAAAATCCTACCTCTGGATAGCATAAATCAGACAGTAATAACTGTAATGACCAGTACATTTGTGTGGTCAGTCTCTCTCTCCTTCTCCCAAGCAGGCCTGTCCAGAGAACAACTAGGAAGTTCTACCTCCCTATTATTAGGACAACATCATGCCTGGGAAGGAAATATGAAGAAGCAACAGAATTAAAGACATGGTGAAGAGCACACTGCTAGGCCTTTAGACCCTCCAAGAAAACATACCTGGAGCATGTCTAGTAGTCCCTGCCGACAGCCCTCTTCCATGCCATACTCATCCACAAGGATACTACCAAGGTACAGGAAACAGGAATGCTGATGTACATGGTAAACATTCACCATCTGCCAAGGGAAAATCCAATTAGTTCAATTCTTTACCCCTCAAAAAGTATCAGCTTAGGACTTCCCTGGAGGCGCAGTGGTTAAGAATCCACGTGCCAGTGCAGGGGGCACGGGTTCGAGCCCTGGTCTGGGAAGATCCCACATACTGCGGAGCAACTAAGCCCGTGCGCCACAACTACTGAACCTGTGCTCTGGAGCCCGCGAGCTACAACTACTGAAGCCCGCGTGCCTAGAGCCTGTGCTCCACAACAAGAGAAGCCACTGCAATGAGAAGCCTGCACACTGCAACGAAGAGTGGCCCCCGCTCGCCACAAGTAGAGAAAGCCCACGTGCGGCAATGAAGGCCCAACGTAGCCAAAAATAAATATTAATTAATTAATTATTTTAAAAAAGTATCAGCTTAGGTAGCTGTCTGGAGGAAGAAATTCTGAGATAGACTGGTCTCTTCTCTTTAAGACAACGTAGTAAAGCTTGTTGGCAACATTTTCTAAAACATAGGGCTCAATTCCTCAATTATTTTCAAGTACTCTATTTAGAATTCTTTCAAGACTTTGACCTTTTTTTATCTTTCCAAAACAATGTTGTAGGAGAGTTGTATAATATTTACTTCAAGCTGGAACCATTAAGGAGTTACTATCCAAGGCTTGTGTAATATTTACAAAACCCTAACAATATACCTTAATTTTCCAACCTACAAGTTGCTCTTATTTGCATCAAAGATAATTCTTTTTTTAAAAAACAATCACAGCAGGAACAAAATATCCAATGCCCCTCATATTAGAGGAGAATCTGAAAGCATTGTTGTTGTTGTTTTTTTTGGTGGTACGCGGGCCTCTCACTGTTGTGGCCTCTCCCGCTGTGGAGCACAGGCTCCGGGACGCGCAGGCTCAGCGGCCGTGGCTCACGGGCCCAGCCACTCCGCAGCATGTGGGATCTTCCCGGACTGGGGCACGAACTCGTGTCCCCTGCATCGGTAGGCAGACTTTCAACCACTGCGCCACCAGGGAAGCCCTGAAAGCATTGTTTAAATTGGCTTCTAAACCCCTCTATCTAATCATTTGAGTAAAAGCAGCGTTTCCAATCAAGATATCTGAATCTCTACAGAATAAAAATTTTAATACAATATAAATATTTAAATTAAATTATTTGTTTAGGATTTTTACCCTACTATCCTCCAAAAATTAAGAGGCCACCGTACATTCATCTATTTAAAATGCCATCACATGAGAATTCCCTGGCAGTCCAGTGGTTAGGACTTTCACTGCCATGCGTCCAGGGTTCAATCCCCGGTCGGGAAACTAAGATCCCACAAGCTGCATGGTACAGCAAAAGAGGGAAAAAAAGCCCATGCAACATGTATGTATACATCTTATTACATAAATTCAATTCTTTGAGCTTGGTGGGAGCGGAAGGGCAGAGTAACTGGCACTTATCAGCATATACCATGAGAAGAACACGAGATGGGAGCTATGAATCTGTTCAGTGTTGTATACTCAAAACTATATGCTGTACTTAACGAACGATATAAGTTACGGGTTGGCAAACTTTTTCTTAAAGGGCCAGATGGTAAAAGTTTTAGGCTCTGCCGGCCTTACAATCTTTTGACTACTTAACTTTTCCCTGTAGCACAAAAATGGCCAATAAGCAATAATTAGATGAATAAGCATGACTATCTCTCAGTAAAACTTTATTTACAAAAACACGTGGCAGGCCCACTGGCTGTAGTTTACTGACCTCGAATTTATGGGATTTTTGTCACATAAGATGCTACCCTATGCTACTGGAATAAATGAATAACATAAAAGTCATGAAGGTATCCTCCAATAGCAAAGGGGAGTTAAATCACATTGTATTGGACCCAGAATGTATTGCACTGAAGGGGACACTTGACCAGAGGTGGACACAGCCTAAATGCAAACATATACTGTTGTACTCAGGGTACAGTAAATGCAGAAAATCACTAAAAATTAAAATTCTGTTAAAATATTTACCTGTACAAACTTTAATCAAATCTACAATTTAAGGAGGCATGGTCATGTAAGTGCCAACTGACATTGCAACAGCATGATCCTGGCTCTGGGTAAGAGCTTCCTTAAGAGTGAGGCAGAACTTGAGGGGGCACTCACTGTCAGAGTCAGCCTGATAGATACTCTGCCCAGGTGGAGAAGGGTCACTTCAGGTTGGCTGGGTGCGGTCTAGCCTGAAGCCCTGTGGTAGTTCTCCTCACAGCATGAGTGCAAAATCTGAGAAGGTACTTGCTCAGAGTCACACTTTGCCTCACCTCCGTCAATTTTGTGCCCATGGCACCTCACTTGCCTAAATCTAGCTCCGGCCCTACTGTAAGGTTAACACCAACATAAATTACTTAGTGAATTAAGTCACTAGTCATAAGTGTCTCATACAGAATATTCTAGACATGAATATGATCTCAGAGAGCCATGTACAGTGAGGCACACCATCATAATTACATACCAATCTTGGTGATTGAAAGAGTCAAATTTATTTCTTGACAAATAAGAGACTTATGTAAATAACTAACTACGGTGAAGAAAGAAGAACATCTCTTTGGGTCAGAAATAGCAAAGTTTGACTTGCCACATTTTTAAAAAGGAAATTAATATAAAATGCTTAACATGGGTATATAAGAGCTGAGCATTAAAGTCATTCCCATTTCTGAATTCCACACTGAAACGTGCTGCTATTTAGACTATCACTATACAGAACAGATTACAGGCTATTTGCCTAATAAATAACATACCACAGGCACTACTTATCTCTTTCAAATATATTTTAGTTTGTATTTAAGAAATACAAAAATGTTTCATCTCATCAGCAGAGTTTTTGTTCTAAGAGGCTCCTATTTCAAAATTCTGTATACTGTACATTTTCCCTCTTGTAGAGAACTCACCTGTGTGACTAGTGGCTGCAGCAGGGCTGCAGACCCTTTGCCTACACAGCGAACAGCAAAACGGAGGCATCTGCAACAACGTTCTACAATCCGATTATCAGCCCGGTGCTTATTTAGAGTCTCAGATAAAACTGGCCATATCTGAGTCAAAAGTGAAAAGAGCACAGAAAGAAAATGAACAACTAAGTGCTGAAAACAATGCTCCCAAGTTGGTAACAACTTATTTGGCTTTTAAATAATTTGGAAAAATCTTTCTTTATAGGAACACACATGGCCTGATTCTGGTCAGTGGGTGTGTGTATATGTGCTGAGGTTCAATACACTACCCATCACTGAAACAACCACTTCTTAACGGAAGCACAATGACTCTTTACAACACAAGAGGAGCATGTCTAACTTTACGAAAAGACAAAGATACATATTTTCCTAAATTCTAGACTTCCTGATTTAGGATGGGAAGAAGCAGAATGAATTATAGAGGAAGAGATATTTAAAGACAGTTCCAAGAGGTTGGAAGACCTTGAACAAAAGGACTAGAGCTAAGGAAATGGCAAGATTTGATACCACTGAGCACTTAAGGATATTTGGTGTTTCCCCCCTGAAGTCTGAAAAGCACTTCTCAAAACATGCCCTCTGATCCTCACATTACTCTCATTTTTTAAAAAAGTACAAAGGAAATACATTATCAAAGAGGAAACTAACTATGATGGTTAACTGGCTTTGTCAAAAACATTTTGCCGGTAATGATCATGCCTCCCAGCAACAATAAGATTCACACAGTTAATCTCTCCCTACTTTGGCCTTTCAGTGCATTTCCCCACAGCCTGTTTTCTTACCACATCTAAAATCAAAAATATTTATTTGGATGGTTCTGTTCCTCTTTTCACTGATATTTAAAGCATATCAACAAATTGAATCTTCCTGTGAACCTAGAAGACAGTACCTTCTCACTTTAGTTACCCAGAGCCTTATAAGGAAAAAGGAAGATCCACAGGCATACATTAGCACTTACTTCCTGTATGACTTTTTGGCATGGATGAGTCTGTCCATTTTCCACAATGGGATTGGTGTGTCTGGGGAAAGACAATGGCCCAAATTAGCGAAAGAAGAGCAATTTCATCAAGGACCCAGGGCCCTAATCCCTGCTAGTTTACTTAGTATCATTCTCACCAATTAAAGAAAACCAGAGTATTTTTAAGAATCAATACCTTTTCCTCCCATTCTGTTCAAACACAAGCACAGTTTAAATCATCCCATCAATTTTTTCTCACCTTTAAGCCTCTTCTACTGTAACATGTAAATTCAATCCAACTCTGCTACATGGGCTGTGGGTGTGGGGCACTACAACTATCCTTTCCATCTTTTTTCCCTTTATAAACCTGAATATGTAGTTTCTTCCAAACTAATAAATATATTCAGACTGTCTAAAGCCACTATGAGAAACCAAGTACTGCTTCATTCCCAGCATTAAAAGGCAAAAGCATTAGGAACCCTGGTCTACCAAAGACGTTTCTCATGGTTCTAGTCTAAATCCAATGATACACAACATGGGCCCACCCACAGTACATCCAATCCAACTATTTGTCTAGTTCTAGAATCCACTAATTTGAAGGAAAGCAGGGGGAAAAAAAAAACCCCACTACGATTAGCTACCTACCTCTTTAAAGGAACAAAATTCTTTAATTTTAAAAAGCTCAATAGCAACTAAATAAAAATCTAATTTTTAAAAAATCAGGGCATGTCCACCTTTTGCAGATTTTCTTTCATTTATTGTGAAATAGGAGTTATTGTTAATAGGCTCTCAGAATGGTATGCAACAGGGCTCCCCTAATTATATAAGGAAAGCATTATACCAACTCAGGAAAAGATACGTGTAGATAAGAACAAGCTAAAACAACACCTCAGTTTTAATTTCTTCCACATAGGTTTTTATGCAACTATTAATTGATATTCCAGTTATACCTACAGGACTCGCAAATTATATTATGTAACTAAGAAAGGATCACTCTTTGAACACTGTCACTCTAATACAGTTTTAATCATTACGCTCCTCTTGGCTTCAAAGAAAGTTTAATTTCACCTGGTTATTGAAGAGGCTTCATTATTTTTTTGCACCCATACACTATATAGCAATGACTCTGACAGTGTAGTCCTTGGAATAAAAAGCAATAGCATCTGGGAACTTATTAGAAATGTAAATTCTTGGGTCCTATCCAAGATCCAATCCATCAGACACTCTGGGAATGGGACCCAGCAATCTGTTGCCTTGGTAATTTAAGTACTACAGGCAACTTTGATGCATGTTAAAGTTTGAGAATCACTGATCTAGAGACCTAGAGAATTAATTACATTTTAAAGGGTCTTTTGACAAAGGTCTACCAAAAATAAATTCTTAGAATTTGCCTTTGCAATTGTAATAGGACTAAATTAGTCTCCTGATAGAGGGAGTTTATAGGAGGTACTCAGAAGTTGGAGGAAAAAACACTTCCTTACTTCAATACATAATGGTCTCACTTGAGCTTTTAACCCAGGGCAGGAACCTGGCATCTCTCTTCTTACCTAAATATCACTGCAAGGCGATCTAAGAACACAGTGGGATCTGAGGATATGCCGTTGCTGGGCTCCTGAGACAACAGCTGAAGAGACAGATATTAACACCCAGTCATTACACATACAAACGTACAGCAAACACTGCAATATATACCCTTGTACATCAACCTCTGTCTCAATCTCTGATTATTTCCTTATAACAGATTCCTGAAAGTTACTCAAAATGGTAAAAACTTTTAAATTCATATTAGCAAATTATTTTCCTCCATCTTACTGCATCCTGGCCAGGAATGCATATTAACTTTTACTATATGATCATTGTGGAGTAGAAAACAGTATCATTTAATTTTTTCCCATTTACTTTTACAATGATTAGGATATTATAGACATTATACATTATAATATAGATTATATGTATTATACTATATAATATATATTTATATTATACTTTTATAATATAAAGCTTCAAAATTATTATAGCTTTATAATATATTTTAAGAGGTAAGGCAAGTTGCTACCTCTTACTCTTCTTTCCTAAAATTTCTTAGATACTTCTACCAGCATATTATTAGAGATAAACTTTAGAGTCACTTCGTCAAGTTCTCCTAAAAATCCCACTGGTATGTTCATTGCTATGGTACCATAAAAGTAATTTGAGAAGAGCTGACGTTTTTACAACACTCTTCAAGGAAACATGGTAGGTTATGGTTTTGGTTGTTAACTTGAATGGTGTTTTTCCCACTGTCATCTTGTAAATGGTATTTCTGATACAGTGAAAATCTACTGATTTTGGAATACTTATTTCATATATATAGCTACTTTGATAAACTTATAAATTTTAATAACTTCTCAGTTCATTCTCTTGGCTTTTCTGGTTAGATAAAAGACCACCTGCAAATAAAAAATTTTGTCTTTTCCTTTCTAACATGTAAACATATTATATTTGTTTCACCCCTGACTTAACTGGACTCACCTTTTTCAATGCCATAACCTGAACAGAACATAGTTCACTAAGACATTCAGTAATCTTATCCAAAGGTAATCTGGCTAGGACAAGCGCTGTCCCTGAAAGACAAAAGATGATACAAATGAAGAAAATAAAAGCTGAACTGAGGTAATTCATTGGTCTACATCATATGGCTAACAGAAAAGGCTGACTGGTTCCATTCTTTCAAAAAGATCAGCACTGTTTTTAAATTATAATAGTTTGTTATTTATGGTTGGGTTTTTCTTTATTTGGCTTAGAAGACCATACTGACTTTCACATTGACATTTACAACTGAAGTTAATATTAAACTATTTCTCCTCAGCAGCCTATTGGTTTAAAGATGTTTAAATACATAGATAGCCCCACTTCCAATTCTTCAAAGATTTAAATGAGTGCTTTGAACAGAAAAGTAATAGTTAAGTTTGCCTTTCTTTCATTTTTAAATAGTTCCAAAAATCTCCCCTCTGCCCTTTTCCCCTAAATAAACAGTAATAAATCCATAAATCTTCACATTTGAATAAAAAACTGAATGATTTTTCTTGACAGTCTATAAACCATGGACGAATTAGATTTTTTATTTAAAACTAGGGGGAAAAAATCTGACAAATACAATTTTCTCCTTTTAATTCATCCCTATAGAAAAGAATGTTACTAAAAAGTTTTCTATATCTAGAAGATACCACTGATATAACTGGGATGCCACATTCTAAGTTAGACGTCACATTAGCATCAAGGTTAAATTTCACTAGAAAATGACAAGATGGCAGCAATACCCACTGGCAGTAGTTAAGAAAAATCTGACCTGATTTAATGCCAGAAAATGTGGCAAAAGAAGATTGAAACGAAAAGAAAACCTGTCCTGAAAATGCACAGTTACATTGGCTGGTAGGGAACCTGATCATAGAAGTGAGAAAGAACAGTTAGTTGACATTTAACAGGCATCCAATCTGGACAAAGCTGTCTGCCACTCACAGAGACTTAAAAGATGCTGCATAGGCTGTATTACCCAATCTTTTATTTGATATACCCCAATAAGAGATTGCTCAATCTTTTATTTGATAAACTAGCTTTAAGGATTTCACTACCTCACAGGACACCCCAATTTGTTTTCAGAAAGTATGGTTACAAAGCATTTTCTTTCTAGGAACCAGTAAACTGTCAACAATCAATTCCTCATAAAATAAATCTGTTCCCTCTTTTCTAAGATAATCTTTCAAATATTTAAAAATAGCCACTGTGTTAAAGTCTCCTCTAAGTCTTTTCCCCTAGCATAATATCTCTAGTTCTTCCATTACTCTGAGTTTCATCACCACCCTGGCTGTTTGCCTTTTGATCAGTGTAAACTGATCAGTAATGGTTAAAGACCATTAAGCGACCAGAGCCCTTGACTTCTAGTTATAGGACTGAGCCAGGCACACTACCTTTAAATTTCCACTTACTTCTGTGGTATAGCAATGCTTATTTGGTCTCCATTTTTATTCTTTCCCCCAACTCAAAAAGGAACTATGTTTAGTTCCAATGTGTTGTCTCCACCCAAAATCTAGGTTCGTGCTATAAATACTGTAAGCACTTTGTATTAGTTATATAGCCTTAAAATATTCTAAGAATGCATGTACACATAATCAACACCCTCCCCTCTGAGTGACCTTCCCCATAACTGAGTAAACTGCAACTGAAAAGTGGGATACAACTGATATAACCCCTAGAAGTGGCTTAGAGACTGTTCCTTCTTAATATCTTAAGTAAGTACCTTTTAGCAAGCCCACAGCAGCCTCTGGAGACAACATGAATGAATCAAGGGAACGGGCAATCTCTAGGAGTCCATGAAAGTGCTGAGCCATGTGGTCTCGGCAGACAGAGCAAATGTTATGAATGGCTTTGGCTGCAGCAGAAGCCAGAGGTTTTTCACACAGTCCTTTCATCAAATAGCCCAACACAGGGTCTAAGGAGAAAATCCATACGTAAAGATTACATTATTTGAAACTCAAGGAAAATTTCTATTTGTTAGAACAAAGGTTTTACATTCCCTTTTTAAGCAAAAGAAACATTTTTAAAAAATGAAATGTGGGGCTTCCCTGGTGGCGCAGTGGTTGAGAGTCCGCCTGCCGATGCAGGGGACACAGGTTCGTGCCCCGGTCTGGGAAGATCCCACATGCCGCGGAGTGGCTGGGCCCGTGAGCCATGGCCGCTGAGCCTGTGCGTCCGGAGCCTGTGCTCCGCAACGGGAGAGGCCACAACAGTGAGAGGCCCACGTACCGCACAAAAAACAAACAAACAAACAAAAAAGAAATGTGTTTAAACTCCAATGTTTTTACATATAAAAATGGGGCTGATCTCACTGACAAATGGTGTCAGAGAGAGTCCTATCTATTTATCTTCCATTTCTTTCCTTGTGGAAATCAACTGTTGCTTGTTGCTAGGGCTTCGCAGAGCACGGTTTGAAAACCACTGATTCAGTCTGAAACCACTGGTGGATATAACCATCAAGTATTAATAGGGTAATGTAAGAAAGACGATAAAGCTCAGAGAGTACCATTATACTCAGAGATTAGTCACTTTGTTTAAAAAAAAGCAGTCTACATTAATCAGGACAATGACAGTTATCTAAAGCTGACACTTTTATACTTGCTTCTTTATAATTATAAAAGGCCCCCAAACCACACAGATGGATCTTTAGCACTTCTAAAAGAATTAATTCATTATGTTTTACTTTCTGCCAAATGTAAGTGTTCTAAGAAAAGGGATTACAAAGGCGAATTCCTATAAAGCAAATCCTAGTTATCCTTTACCTTGCTTCATAAAAATCAGAATGTTTTTCTATGAAGAAACCCTAAGAAAAATCATACATGGTTAAAGAGCACTTTATGTGTACTACAGAGTAACCGCATACCAAACTTTATAAAAGAAGTAATCTCTGAAAGCCCATTTAAAAGTTATCTCCATTTCTAGTCTAATGACAAAAACAATGCACCAACCCAGCATGAACCTGCTCCCTTCCACACACACACAAAAAAAGGCCTGTTTAGCATGGGAATCAGAACTAGAATCTAAAACCTAGCCCACGCAACTCTAATACTATAGGCTTCAATGATTCTCAAATTAAATATTTGTGTTTTTGACTATTCTAGAGTAAGTATGAACACTCAGCAATTTGTCTTCTAATTGAGGCACAAATTTGAATAAGATACTACAGGTGGTACTGAATATGTCAACAAACAGATAAACCCACTTAGTTTCTTTGTGGAAAAAGTGTTCAGAAAAGAAAGCCAAATTTTGAGACAGATAATGGAAGTGAAGAGATTTAAGAATTAGAAAATAGGTATTTTGAAAAAATTTTTAAATGGTATGTTGAACTTGAAAGTGGCTCAGCTATGATGTAATAAGCCTATCTATCTTATATGCTCTATATACAGAAATAAGAAAATAGGAACACACATCTCTTTTTAAGTAAGAGTTTCAGTCAATAAAAAAAGATCATGTGTAAAATAAAATCAAGTCGAAAGGTGGTAATAAAGATAAGTACAGCACAACTTAATGATATTCACGAATTTGAGAATTCTTAAAATTCTCAGAATATATCAGTCTTGAACATCAGGTGGGCTTAATATATATTAACCTACATAAATTATTTAGTCTCTCTGTATTTCAGTTTCCTCATCTGCAAAATGAGGGGATTAGAAGAAATTATTTCTAAATTTACTTTCAATTCTAAAGTTATTTTATATGATCTTTAGTTATTTTTTCAAGTCAGTAAAAGCAGCCAGAGGTTATATAACTCAACACTCTTCATTGTAGTTTGTACTTACTTAGTTTCAATAATAATTCTTAGTTTTTAAATGGAGCATGTATTTAACACTGAAATAACACCCCCCCGCCACTGCCTTTGTTTTAGCCTATTAGCAGCTTCTAGTTTAGAACTACAGGACAGTCTGATTAGCTCAAGCCTATGCCAAAGCCTAACAAAGACAGAAATAGTTATGCTGAAGCACAGTACTAGTAGCAAACTGTTTCCCTATCTAGAGATCTAATCTTTCAAAGGTCCTTTCTCCAAAGTCTGATCAGATTATAAAATGTTGTATCAACTAAGCAATAACGCATATATTTAGTCTCAGTGTCTAGAAACATTCAACCTATCAATAAAAGAGAAAGTAGGAAAACAAAAGCAAAAGTAAGAGAGAGAAAGAAAGAAAGCAGAAAAATCAAAAGCAGCAGCTGCAGAGGAGTGTTCACACATACCAAGGAACTGAGGATTTCGATCAACCACTTCGCTCATCTCTCCAACCAATTCAATGCTGGTGTATCGCACAGCTGTATGTACGGTCTCTGGGAGACGGACAACTCCTTCTAGGACCTCCACAAGTGTTGGATTGTTCTCCCTGAGTTTAGAAGGCAAGTACTCAGAGTTACCAATTTCAGAGGTTAGGTTCTGGCTAAAAAACAGGCTGCAATGACACAAATCATTGCTAAAGGGTTTCTTTCTAAATAAATAACCATTTGGATAAAAGTGCTTAACATGTGGTATGAAAGTTTTTTAACCCTCAAAAAGGAGGAAAAGGCAGAAATGGAAGATATCATTGTTTCAGTTGAGAAGCATACTACTGCTCCTTAATCTTCTCAATGTCAGTGAAGTGTCTAAAGACACATCCTGCTATCAAATAAGGCTCTTCAAATTGGAGAGGCAGGCAATTATTGTGGATCAATGTCTTCTTTTAATGAATCCATTTTATTTATTCCTGTATCTGCAGCACCTAGAACAGTGCCTGGCACACAGTGGGCACTCAATAAATACTGCTGAATGGCTAAATGAATGAATAAATAATTCTAGACCACTCGCTATTAGTTGTTATTCTCCAAAAGATTTCTTATAGCTGGATAATGGATACTTTAAGAACAGGTAAGCATGGGTGGGCCAGCTCACTAATTAAAGAAACAAGAACACAAGCTGTAGGAATAAAGGTGCCCTGACTTACAACATGAGGGAAAATTAAAGTTATCCAAATACTTTCCACAGCTCCATGAATTAACTTTTTCCCTTTCCTTCTCTTTTTTTCACTCTTTTATTTGCGGTACGCGGGCCTCTCACTGCTGTGGCCTCTCCCGTTGCGGAGCACAGGCTCCGGACGCGCAGGCTCAGCGGCCATGGCTCACGGGCCTAGCCGCTCCGCGGCATGTGGGATCTTCCCGGACCGGGGCACGAACCCGTGTGCCCTGCATCGGCAGGCAGACTCTCAACCACTGCGCCACCAGGGAAGCCCTGGCTGAAGTTCTTTAAGCAGAGTGGAGGATGCCCCCAAAGTGGTAGAACGTAATCCAGAAATGAAAGATGTTTAAAATGCAAATAAATCCTGGATTAGTGCAAGAGCACTCCTTGCTGATACACTAAGTCTATTAAGTCCTTCATACACTAAAAAAAATTGTAATCATGCAGTTGGCTTGAAATGTGGATAAACAAAAAGCAAAATAAAATCTTCTCTCATTTATACTTTATGCTTCCTACGGGCACTAAGCTAATTATTGAGACTCTCTTCCCATCCTTTCTCATACCAACACAAATCAGTTAGATTATCAGTGTAAATAATCTTCAGACTGTTACTGAAGTTTCCAAAAGATACCAAATGGGTTTAAAAGCAAATAGTATGATATGTGATTCAGGACCAGAACTCCTCAATAGAGAAAAACAAACCTACTCTATCTCCTTAAATGTTTACTGGATTAGAAACAACATAAGATTTCATTGACTAGACCCTGTAAGACAGCTAAGAAAGAAGCACTGTACATTTTATGAATACATGCCTTAACCATCTCTCCAACCAAGGCCATGGACAGAGAGCTCAACTGCAGACATCTGATTACAATACAGGAAAACTTGACAGATACTAGCATTGATTTATAAACTCACAGAACAAAGTAAATTCTGTTTTTAAGGATTCATGTTGAAATAATAAATAGAACTTCTATGCTAAGCAATTAGAAATCAAACTCTAATAATTTAAAATTTTCCAATGACGAAAACAAAAATAATAATTGCCCTTTAGAGTTTGCTATTCTTTGAGGTGAAATGGTACCCATGCCTGGCCTCTCTGAAACTTACAAATGACTCTCCAAGACAGGAAAAAAGGAGAACAATATAATTAAATATTTGTAAGGATAACTCACCCAAGGTCACAAAAGCAGGTGAGAGCCAAATTAGTGCCTATTCAAATGCTTTTAAGGAAGTGCCAACAATTTAACAGTCTAGCAAAGTTTTGATTATACCAACTTGCACAAAGGAGCCTAGGTTGGGAAGATAAATCAGCATTCTTTTCCTAGCATCAAGAACAAAATAATTTTAACTCTAGGAAATGTGTTTAAAACATGGATATCAACAATGCATGCTACTCTGGACTAGACTCTAGAAGTCAGAAGACTAGACAGCATTATAGAAGTAAGAAGCTCTAAGAATTTCCAAACATATCCCATACGAAAAAAATGTTGTAATTTTCCTTCCTCTGATATTAAGAGTTCCCAGCAAAAGACTTATTAGACACTCACGGATCAACACTCTTTGCTATAGCAGCCATGATAAAGAGAACCGCTTCTGTCACCTCCCAGGGTGGGTTGCCTTCTTTCAGAGTAGAATATAACTAGAGAAGAAGAGGTGGATTATGGATCCATTAAAAGGAAAACAGAATAGAATTCCAAAACAAACAAAACAAAAAACTCTGTTAGTTAAAATAAATCTAGCCCCTTGCTTCTAAATTTATCTCTCAGAGCCAGGGAAAAATAGTATCTTCACTTTTCAAATCTTCACTAACTCTAAGTAATACTAGTTTAATATCTGAAACAAACCCATTTAGGGCCCCAAGAGTATATCAAGGTTATCGTCTGCTCCCACAAAACGAGTATTATGGAGAAAACAAAACATATTACACAAGTGTCTTTTCCTGGTCCTGATGATAACTCATAAATACATAAACACACTTAAAAATGAGATATAATGTAAAACCTCGGCATATGCATTGGCTTTACATTTCTATTATTTTAACTACTTGTCTGCATCAACACTAGTAGCATAGATTAAATTCCTAAAAAGTAGCTGTTCTGAAGCACCCATCACAATACCATGTCCAAGCAAGGGGAGATAGGGAGAGACCAAGCAGAATACTCAGAGATGTCCAGAAACTTCCCAGGGTATATCCATCAGTGGGATGTGACTGGGTGTTAGTCTAAATAAGATTTCTGTAGTCATATAACACACTGCTAGTTAAGATAAAATTAAACAATTCTCTTGTACGACTTCACAGAACCTTTAAATATACTATTTAAGTCATTTTCCAGTTTTAATTGACAGAACTGTTTTTTCTGGCAAAGAACATCTCATGAGACTGGTGTCCCACAGTACACATCTTGGACAAGACTAATAATTTATGTAAATTTGTAAACTGAGGTCTGGAGAAGAACAAGTAACTTGTTCAAAGCCGCAGAGCCAGTGAGAGAAGAGTTGAAATCTGAGCACAGGTCATCTGCCTATGATCTGGGGATCTCACTAAATCTGCTAAGAATCCCCAACCCTTTCTAGTTAGATCAAGAAACATACCTTGTTTAATATAAAGAAATATAGTTATAATTTTATTAACACTTTCTAGATCAGATGATGCCCCAAAATACACAAAATGCCTGGATTACCCATCCCCCCAAATTAGGTTAGTTCAGTATTGCTGACAAAGCATTAAAACTAGTATTTCAGGATTCAGAGCATGATCCAGCAACATGAAAACCACCTGACATTATGCTAATGTTAAGTGATGTGGAATGGTGGTGACTGCAACCTTATGATGTAAAATGTTACTCACTGATTGTCAGGAAAACCACAGGACTATGATTCTTCTACTCTAGTATAGTCACCTCTGGGATGAAACTGCAAAGGAATCTAACCATAAATGTGAACAAAGGAAATGCCAAATAACTAAGAGTTGCCAGGAGTTGATACATAATTATTAAAGCAGAAAAACTTGTCTATTTTCCTGGCTAGGTTCAAATTCCCTATAAGTATCTTGGGGGCTTTAAGGTTTATCCATGATCTTCCATTTCAACTGAACAAGTGGAACAACTCTCACTAGCAAGATTATAGTATAAACGATAACTGAACTGTTCACTGCAATTGGCTTGTAAGATACTAAACAAACACAGCTACTATATGCCAGGCAGTGTGCTAGGCACCTGCATATCTACTGTCCCATTTAGCCATCAAGATTGAAGAAAAAGATGGAACACTTAGAGAAGACATAGAAGTTAACACAATTAAAGTGATTGGTAAAACTGCTAAGAATCTCCAAATGGGCTTACCTGAGCAAAACACTCCATAGACCCAATCAAGAAAATCAAGTCCTTCACCAGGTCTGACACCCTCATCCGAAACTCCCCAAAGTCATCAGTCTCCTCAGGAACCCCCTCCTGAAATTTCAAATCAGATAACATTTGTTTTAAACTAAGGCTTTCATTTACTTTACAAAATCAAGAATAAAAAAGCCATTAAGCAGTCCAGTCCCAATGAACAAAAAGATGAATCGCCTAAATCACAAAGACATTTTACTATAGAGGGTATCCCAAACTTTTAGGTGTGTCAAGTCAATACAACCTATCCTCTGCCTTGACTATTAGAAACGCTTCTCTTTTTTTGTGTGTCCCAGCTACATCTTGCCTGCTGTTGGAAAAATCTGGAGTGGTGGGGGTGGGAAGTGACCTAGAAGAGGTGGTAACTTAAGAGTTTATTAGCCTATCTAGATAAGGCCTAGCTTTTTATTACTGAATAAGCCTCTGAAGCTTTACGATTCAAGATCTACCAAAAATCAACCATTATCACAAGAACTAGACACAGAATAGAATATTAGACTTCAAAAAGAATTTTATATAGGTGGACAGATACATAATAAGACAGGTATAATAAAATATTAATGGTAGAATTTAGGTAGTAGGTATACAGATATTCACTATAACATCATTTTCCCTTTGCTGTATATTTGAAATTTTTCATTAAAAAATACAGAGATCATTTACATTTCATGCTTAAGTTTTTCTTATTCCAACACCCTCCTGTGAGTAAACTAAGGCTTACCAATTGTGAGATGGTTATGGGCACCTATAAGAATCTTGGACCATGGGTATTTGGGAAAAGCCCTTAGTATTACTGACAATTGCTGATTTAGTTCAACCTCCTTGCTTTAAGATGAAAAAATTAAAGTCAAGGAATGAGGAGGAAACAATGGCTGTCTCAGATGAGATAATGAATTATAAAGCACTATACACCTACAAGTGTAAGGAATTACCTGCCAGGGAAATGGTGTCACAGAACTAGCAAAGGGAAGAAACGGATCAAGCAAGCAGAGCCATTTAAACCAGAGCAGCCCGGCTTTTATTTACTTATCAGGCTTCCAAGCAATATGTAGTTGAAGATAAGATTCCTCAGTTTTAAAAAACAAGTAGTGAAAACCACTAAACTAAATCATCACTAAGGTTCTGTGGAAATACAAAATACCATAACTCAAATAACAACATTAACATTAAAATGAATAGACAGTTTTCATGTCAGATTTAATAGTAAGCAATAGGAAAAAAAACCCACTTCAAGTTATAGGTTGAAGGACAGGGATATTAAACCAACCAACCAAAAGAATGAAATAAATGCTACAAAATTTGAAGTGACTAAGCAAAGAATGAGATTGAAGAGTTTTCCAATGGACTGTTTTATAATATTTCTAGTGTATTTTATTCTAAGCAAATAGATTATATTTTATTTTAACTTATAAAATTAGTATAAGTAATATAAAGAAAAATGTGCACATATGTGTTGGGGGGGGAATCATAAGTTATTTTCCACATCCTCACACAAATATTTCACCTTTGTGTTAGTTTTAATCCAACCACATATTTTATGCTATTAAAAATACATATTATAAAATCTGACATTTTTTCATTTAGCATACCAACTATTGCTATCTCAAGTTATTATTTTTAACTGCTGCATTATGATCCATCAGAATGCTACATAATAATATACGTAACTCTTTAATATTCTTTTTTTTGGGGGGGGGGTGAGGGGGACCATGCCACACAGCTTGCGGGATCTTAGTTTCCCGATCAGGGACTGAACCTGGGCCGCCAGCAGTGAAAACACCAAGTCCTAACCACTGCACCACCAGGGAATTTCTTCTTCTAATACTCTTGTACGTGGGTTTACCATTTTTTTACTTTTATAGATAATGCTTTGTACATAAAATAGCAATTTTTTTCTTCTGCAGAATTATTTAAGGTGAATTCCCAGAAGAATTACTGGCTCAGCAGGATTGAGTTCTTTTTACATAGACCTAGCACTCTTCATTATACTGGTACTGACTTCTTCAGTGTAAGCTAGAGTGACAGAAAACCCACAGATTCCATTAGCTTTATTCTCTATCTTTTCAGTTCCTTTTCAAGCTAGCATTGAAAACAAGAGGAAATCAAGACTTGATTAAGTAGAGAAGAAAACTTACATGGTCTGGTTCCAGCTGGCAGTGGCGAGCCAAGGCATGAAGCAGCCTTTGAATGTAAGCTTTGAAGATGCCATGAATAACTTCATCATTAGTTTTGTATAAATGCTCCCCTAGTCGGTACCAAAAGTTAAAGGAAATTTCTACTACCTATCAAATTAAAAGAAAGAGAAAAGATGGTTTATTTGAATAAGAAAAGAAGGCAGTTTTATTATTACTAGGGCCAATAGGAAAGAAACACTTTAAAACAATATGAGTGGAACCAGTTAAGAAGCCACCTTTTTTCTAGCAGATTTATTATTATCCTCCCAAATTATCTTTCCATGTTAGGCCCAAAACTCCATTTAGGATGACTGGCTTTACATTCTCTGTCTAGCCCTGGGATAACTTCTCCAACAGTATATTGGATTCTGAATTTAGAGAAACAGATACAGAAATGGAAGTCTCTTTAAAAGTATTTTTTCCTAAATTCTGAAATTATTTCATTTTATTTTTGAGATTAAAACACTTCTCACCAGATAAACCATCTACAAATACCTGTACAAACCACAGCTCATCTTACATATGGCACTGTTCAGAGGAATGATAATTATTAGGTAGTACAATACTTCTGCCCAAAAATGTTTTAAGTTTCAACAAAATCTAGATATCCTCATGAGATTATGTCAAACAAATACGCATTATCTTTTATATGATCAAAGAAAAAGGATTGAGACTCACAGGACTACTGAGCCCCTCCCTAAGAGGGGCCCTACCATCCTTTCCCATCAATGATCCAAAATGGAGCCATTTAAATAGAGCTAATCCAGCTTGGGAGTTTTCTCTCACTTCTTACTATTAAGAGGAGATAAAGCTTCTTGAATAAGAGGAGTTTTTTTTGTTTGTTTGTTTTTAATCTAGCAAACTTAAAAGAGGCAGCATGTCTTAGAAATTTTGGGATGAAGAAGACTCTTTAAATCCTTTCAACGCCATTCTCATTTTCATCCATAATTTGGAGAAAACTTTTGTATGTTAAAACTTGTGGAGGTACAGTTAAGATTTGGTATGTTTTCTTTAGCTCTAAAGCTCTAAAGAGTAACTGACGCTAGAGAGGGGGCCTCAGTGGAAAAGTAATAGGCTTTTTTTCTAACAGGTTCCTATACCAGTCGGCCCAGCTAACCAAGTAGGAAAATAGAAAGGAATCAAAGCTGAAGCCCAAATATATATTTTTTAAAAAATTCAAAACAGAGGAAACTCCCCATCACATTAATTAAAAATAAAACTATAATTTCGGGCTTCCCTGGTGGCGCGGTGGTTGCGAGTCCGCCTGCCAATGCAGGGGACGTGGGTTCGTGCCCCGGTCCGGGAAGATCCCACATGCCGCGGAGTGGCTGGGCCCGTGAGCCATGGCCGCTGAGCCTGCACGTCCGGAGCCTGTGCTCTGCAACGGGAGAGGCCGCGGCAGTGAGAGGCCCGCGTACCGCAAAAAAAACAAAAACAAAAACAAAAAACTATAATTTCCCACAAATAAAAAGCTGGACAGGAGAAAATGGAATGCAGATAATATGTGACATACAACTTGGAAAATAATGGCATTAGCATAGAATAAACACTACCTCATATTGAGGATGTCCTGCACAGATAAGAAGCAGTTCTAGAGTTCGTAGGTCCCCAAGGCCTTGGCCTGGAGTACAAACAATTTTTTCAAGAAAAGTTTCACACAGTTCAGTGAAAATACGGCAGTAATTCAGAACTCTGTAAATGAAAGAGGAATGAGAACATCAAGTCAGAAACCTGGATATTATGCGTACATACTCACAGACACAGTTAATCAAATAAATAAAAGCAATCCTCAGCCTAAGGGACATGTAGTGATTATTTGATATGTTGTATCATAATTTCCATAACAAACATCTTTCCTTAAATCACATACTTTTATACATACAAGCAAGTGACTCATAAGTCAGTTAAAATTCTCAATTATTAAAACATCTGAATAAAATTCCCATCAAATCACACTTGATACTTCAAAGGTCATCCCTAATTCTTAGAGCCTTACCCTTTTAAGTGCAAAAACTTACTACTCTCCATGATCACAACCTCTCCCTCTGCATTTGATTTGCCACTCTTGGTTCAGATGAGAATAGCAGAGCATCTTGAGGATGCAATGTATATATTTACACAGAGTCACGAAGAATCACAAAGGATAGATAAATAATAAAAGGTGACTTAAAAGAACACCAGACTGTATATGAATCCAGTACTGCCTTTAATAATTACTCACTTGTCTAAATCTTCACGTGCCACAGCCATATGATAGGCAGTCTCCAATGTCAGGACTCCTTGAAAAAGTTGCATGGCTAATGGCAAGTTGGTTTCCACATTCTCAATGGCGTACAGAGCTGAGCATACGCAGTCTGAAGCAGCTTCATGTAGGTTCGATGAGGTCTTATCCTGTTGCTAGGAGGTAGCAGGAGTAGGGAAGTAAGAAGTTTGATCATTAAGCTGTAATCCAAGTAACAGGAAACCAATTATAGCCTGTTTCTGAACATGTACTTTAAATACATAACAGCCTAATAGTCATGGCCTTCAATGAGACAACATCCAACAATCTTCCTTATATGCCAAGCAAATCAGCCTTTTTGTACCTCAATCATGGTCATATGACTTCTAAAATTCATATTTTCTTCCATACCAGTCCCTCCAAATGGAATTCCATGTGTTCCCTGCCCTATTTTAGTCTATGGAAATTTTCTCCATCTTTTTTTCTGATATTCAGGTACTATCTAAAATGAAAGGGTCCAACAAGTATCAACACATCATTGTGCTATTTCAGAATACTAAGGTTAAACAGATTTTTAAAGCTTCTGGGGAGGAGAGGAGAAGGTAACTTAGAAAGGAGCAAAAATCAGTTTATCCACCTTCTCATTAGCAATGATGCCTGCCAGTATATAAGAAAGCAAGGTCTTAGAAATTTTGAAGAAAAAGAATAGTGAACCTAGAACTCTATACCTAGCTAAATCATTGATTAAGAATGAAATAAAAACATTTCTCAGGAATGCATGCAAAAACTCAATATTTATTTCTCACATATCCTTCTGAGGAAGGTATTTGAGGTAGGTCAAAAAAAATGGTTAAACCAATCCAGAAGCAGAGTAAAGAGAAGTCCCAGGATGACAGCTGGGGAGCAGATCAAAAGAGCAACTGATACAAATTAGAGAATATTAGAAGGTTCAAGGAGGGAGGCCTCCAGGGTTTCTATTCAGGACAGTACAGTTGAGAGGTTGGATAAATTTAGCGAAGGCATATTGGTCTTCTGTGAATAATAAAAAAAACAAGTACATTTAGAATCTCTGCGGGGGGGGGGAGCGGGGGAGGGGGGTGGGCAGGGGGAGCTATAAAAGCAGGGCTGGGAAAGCACAAAGACACAAATTATTCATTAGGTTATTCTTAGATTGAGTGGCAGTGAATTAAAAAATATTCACTGTATTAACTATGTTTCAAAAGTTAAATGTTCAAATTTATTCTTTTGTATATATCAAGTATTATTTTAAAAATATTTTTTAAAAAAGAACTATAGGGGAAAAGTTATATAATAAGGTCGTGGTCCAAGCATAAAGCAAACTAAAATATTTAGTTTTATGTGGCATGACTTCGAACCACTGAAAAAAATGTAAGAACGAGAATACATTTGACCCTGACTCTAGAAACACTCTTAAGTAACAGAGGACCTAACACTGGATCAGTAGAGAAGACAATATAACCCTAGCACACTACTTAGCTTGTTCCTTACCCCAATCTCAGTTCCCAAGAGTCACCACTGTTTTAAGTTTGAAGTGTGTTCTACACTGTCCTCCATTCATACGTAAACTTATTTACACACTTTTTAAACAAAAGTGGGACCTGAATTTTTTAATACTGACTACTCTTCACACAACTTGGTGAGATGAGAATCAAAATTACCATTATTGAGGTATGGCATCAATAGACATGGAGACAAAGACAATGATTAGCAAAACAATTATTAGCATCCTAAGCTTCCTGAATTTTAGCTTCTGATCCAAGAATGACAGCAGAAATACACGAACAACATTACAATACCAAAAATGTCTCCTTGAAGAATGTGTTTTCCTTTTCTTTCTTTAATTCACAGTGATATCAATCTAGTATCATGCTAAATCTTCTAAATTATAGTGCACCAGCACACAACCAGTATGGAAACACAGAGTTTCCATACTAATATGTGTTCATGGAAGGAAAACCATCAGGGAGAAAGAGACAAAGTCACACCACCTCCAAAGACCTGTTTAACATTTGTGCTTGAGGTATTGCTGTTTCTTGTTCTAAAAACTAGTCTTATTCTAAGCACTCATTTACTCTTTGTCTACCAAGACAGAGGAATGTATTACTAGGCAATGTTACTTTTAAAGTTTAAGGAACAAATGCACAAGTATATAGAAATACATTACTTCAGATCTCAAAAACCGAAAATTCATCCTATACATACCCTGATGTTTAAGTAAACTACCTCAATTACAAAGATAATATTTTGATTTGTAATTGTCTCAAACACCCAATGGCCATTATTAGAAACACATAACTTAATACTTTTAAAATAAGAAAAAGAGACCAATGGTTTTTTTGTTACTTGAATTTTAATATGTAAATCATTGTTCTATACATAATCTACATATAAGACTGCTTTCCTCTTAAACCTAACTACATTTTATTCTGAGCACTAAAACTAATATCTTAATTTGGTACTTGGCAACAAGGAAGGGACAGTGTTGCTTTCTTACCATACACTTTCCACTCACTCCACAAAACTCTGAAAACACTCTTATATCCCAGAAGGGCAGTTACCCTAAGTGACTATGTGCCAGAAACAAACAAAAACCATTTCATAAACAAAGCCATTACTTACCAAAACCTCAAAAAGGAGTGCTAGTAACTTATTGTTAGCCATGAAGTTACTGTCCAAAACTCCTAAGTTAAACCAACTTCCCAAACAGCGAAAGACCTTCATAAGCATTTTCTCATCTGTTCCTGCTTTTTCTACACAAGTCATCTGAAAAAAAGAAAAAAAAAAAGTTACAACAAATGTCAATCTTTATATTTAAATATTATTACAATCACCTTATAGGTGTAATGATGAGGATAACAATAACAGCTAACAGTTCAAAGTGCTTTTTAATTGCCAGACACTGTCTCATCACTCTTTTTTTTTTTTTAATAAATTAATTTTATTTATTTATTTTTGGCTGCGTTGGGTCTTCGTTGCTGTGTGCTGGCTTTCTCTAGTTGTGGCGAGCGGGATCTACTCTTCATTGCGGTGCACAGGCTTCTCATTGCAGTGGCTTTTCTTGTTGCGGAGCACAGGCTCTAGGCGTGCGGGCTTCACTAGTTGTGGCACGCGGGCTCAGCAGTTGTGGCTCACGGCTCTAGAGCGCAGGCTCATCAGTTGTGGCACACGGGCTTAGTTGCTCCATGGCATATGGGATCTTCCCAGACCAGGGCTCAAATCCGTGTCCCCTGCACTGGCAGGCGGATCCTTAACCACTGCGCCACCAGGGAAGCCCTGTCTCATCACTCTTAATTCACTTAATCCCCACTAAAACTGTATAGGTATGTACTATTATTATCTCCACTTTCTCAACTGGGAAGCTGAGGTACAGAGAGGTTATAGACTGGTTCAAAGATAGATATGTTTCAGAAACAATTATCAGTATATTTCTTAGATCCAACTTCTGCATTAATGTAATCTTATCAACAGAATTGTCTTTAAAGTAATACTCATCATCTCAGCCATGAAAAAGAATGAAATTTGTCATGTGAAACAACCACGGATGGACCTGGAGAGGGTATTATGCTTAGTGAAATAGGAAAGAAAAATATTGTATGTTATCACTTATATGTGGAGTCTAAAAAATGAAACAAACAAATGAATATAACAAAACAAACAGACTCATAGATACAGAGAACAAAGTAGTGGTTACCAGTGGGGAGAGGGGAAGAGGAGAAGGGGGAAGATAGGGGTAGGGGATTAAGAGGTACAAACTACTATGTATAAAACAAATATGCAATAAGCATATATCATACAGCACAGGGAATATAGCCAATATTTTACAATAACTTTAAATGGAGTATAATCTATAAAAATTCTGAATCACTATGTTGTACACTTGAAACTAATATTGTAAATCAATTATATCTCAATAAAAATTAATAAAATAAATAACACATCTATACACTCGATTTTATAGAGTAGAAATAAGCTAGTTGTACTATTGTATATTGCTTCATGAAAAGCTGGTATTTCAGCTTCAGCACTGGAATACTCTAGCAAATATACCATCCACAGAAAGTGATATTACTATAAATATGATAGTTTATAAAAGATAAAATGAAAAGTCAGACTAAAACTCACCATTGTTTCTCTTTGTAAACTGTTTTTGTGATGTATACTTTTTCCAAAGTAAGATAGGGACTTCTCTGGTGGTGCAGTGGTTGAGAATCTGCCTGCCAATGCAGGGGATATGGGTTTGATCCCTGGTCCAGGAAGATCCCACATGTTGCAGAGCAACTAAGCCCATCCACCACAACTACTGAGCCTGCACTCTAGAGCCTGCGAGCCACAACTGCTGAGCCCGTGTGCCACAACTACTGAAGCCCGTGTGCCTAGAGCCCGTGCTCTGCAACAAGGGAAGCCACCGCAATGAGAAACCCACGCACCTCAACAAAGAGTAGCCCCCGCTCGCTGCAACTAGAGAAAGCCTGTGCACAGCAATGAAGACCCAACACAGCCATAAATAAATAAATAAATAAATTTTTTTTTAAAAAAGAATGTTTAAAAATAACTTTTGCAGGCAATGGATTAGAAATATCATAACTGCCATGGCATTTAGAATGCATGGGGGGGTGGTAGTGGTATGTAATCCCATAATGATCTAAATGCTGACAATTATACTTCCAAGTAGCCATGTTCCCCCTATGTTTGCAGTATCAGGCAATAATAATTACATACTTATTAATTAGTGTGAATTACACTGAACTGAAATGAAGAAAAAAGAAAAGATTCAAGTAAGTGCATGGCAACCACATACCCACATCCACACCAACAAACACACACACCTAAATATTTGAAGCTCTTGCTATAAACTCATGACACAATCCCTTGGCCTTTATGCTTCCTGAATGACATTTCAATTTTAATAAGGTGTGACGTTTATAAATGGAAGGACTTGATTGTACATTCTAACTACTGACTCAAATTTGAGACAGAATTTTGGAAAAACCCTACATCTAAAACTAGCTGCTCTGAAGAGAAGAAATTCTATTAATTAAATCAAACACTCACCACAAAGCTTCAGAACTAAGAGATGCCTTCAGTTTCTCTTTGAGAACTGTATTATTAAAGACTCTTGTCTCTTACTAAAGTTAAGACCTCAAAAGCTAAAAGATATAATACCAGAAGAGCTCACCAGTAAAAACAGAGCAGAGGTAAAACATAATAGATCTTGAATTAACGAAATGGAGAATAAATGGAGAAAAATATTAGAGGCCAGGCTCAGTTTAAGAGCAAGAAGAATAATATTTTAAAAAATTATAAAGTTCAATACCATGTTTAGGAATAAGTCCATTCGAATAGACCACAAAAGTATAATACTAACAAGAAAATAAGATAGAATAAAACCATTAAAGAGAATGTGGGGGAACTGAATGAAAACGTTCTAAGAAGCTTTTGGTATCTATTACAGCCAAATACCTATTTTTCTTGGTAACTGTGGACTAATTTCATGCTCTAGGTTCTATAACATGACAAGCTACATGACAGAATTATAGACCTTATTAAGTACCACAAGGATACATTTTTTAGATTTCATGACGATAAATCAAGCTAACACCTGTTGCCAGCTGTGATAAAGTGCTAAGTCAAGTCCAAGTGGCTAACCGCACTTGCCCATCGTGGCAGTAATGATGACTGTAAGGACTACAGTGGCCACTGAATTTTTTTTAGTTCATTTGAGTGCTTACAAAAAATGACAAGCTCGGGTCGGTTAACCCAACTCAAGTCACAGTCTGAGAACTAGACAGCTTCCACAGCAGCTCCAAATAAAGCTCTTATTTTTTGTAGCTGCAGGGCTAATACTGCTGGAACTCATATACAAAATTTAATTGTGTGGCTTGCTGAATTACAAACAGCAGTTGAATTTATAAGTCTCACCAAGTTTCTCATGTGAAAGTTCTGAAATTGACTGGTAAAGAATGGACTTCTGATGCATGGAATGGAGACATCTGGTTGGATCCTAATGAAACTGATAATCCTGAAACTCCAAGTCACTCTGAGTCTACCTTACCAATAAAAGTGGCCTGCCTTCCAGTGTCTGAGACTAGCCTTCCTCAGCTTGAAAGCCCTGTAATAACCCCATCTGAGACAGATGCTTTGAAAGAGGATGCCCAATCTCTTCAATACCTACCACAACCAACCCTTGTACCAATCATAACTAGGGTCAAATCTCACAAGGTTCTAGGGGAACAGGTACATGCAGGAGGAAATAACTTATACAGCAAGAGAACTGTAAAACTTTGCTTATATGTGTCTGAAGAAAGCTGGGAAACATGCAGTAATGTATTCTAAAGGTGTTAGACCAAGGAAGGCTGAAATATAACACTAGATTGAGCCAAACTCATTGATACAAGTGTATTTCCTTGAGATTCTGGATTTAATGAGTATATGGAGCCTCTGCGAAGTACCAATAGTTATATCGTAGTGCAAATACCTAGGATTTTGGAACAAATCTATGCTCTCTTCTGCAGGTAACTATTTTCCTTTTGAGAAGCAGCTTCTGATTTGCTACTGGGCCTTGGTAGGCCTATCCATAGGACACCAATCTCATCAACACCTGAGATTCCCATCATGAACTAAGTATTGTCTGAACTACCTAGCCATAAGGTTGGGCATGCATAGCAGCAATCTGTCATCAAATGGAAATGATATAAGGAGACTGAGTACGGGAAGGTTTGGAAGCTACAAAAACGTTGCATGAGTAGGTGGCTCAGATTGCTTTGACACCATCTCTTCTTGCGTTGATTCATCCCCTTCAATCCATGCCTGTGGCCTCCTGGGGTGTTCCTTACGAACCAGATAACTGAAGAAGAAAAAATTCAAGCCTGGATTACAGATGGCTCTGCATAATATGCTGGTACCACCTGAAGGTAGACAGCTGCAGCATTACAGGCCCACTCAGGGGCTTTAGTGAAGGCCAGTGCTGAAGGAAAACCCTCCTAGTGAGCATATCTTCAAGCAATACACATGGCTGTCCACCACGTCTGGAGTGAGAGATGACCAGAAATATGGATCTCCACTTATTCATGGACATTTGTCAATCATTTGGATGGATAATCAGGGATTTGGTAGAAACAGGATTGGAAGATTGGGGACAAGGAAGTCTGAGGAAGACGTATATGAATGATATATTTTTTGAATTTATTTTTTTATACAGCAGGTTTTTATTAGTTATCCATTTTATACATACTATTGTATACATGTCAATCCCAATCTCCCAATTCATCCCACCACCCCCACCCCCACCCGCCACTTTCCCCGCTTGGTGTCCATACGTTTGTTCTCTACATCCGTGTCTCTATTTCTGCCCTGCAAACCGGTTCATCTGTACCATTCTTCTAGGTTCCACATATATGCGTTATGAATGATATTTAAATGGGCACAGCCTGTGACAATATATCTGTCCTATGTGAATACCCACCAAAGGGCATCCACTATAAAGGAATCTCCCAATGATAGATGGACCAAATGACAAACTATGATGTCAGCCTTCTTCCCTAGCCACCCAGTGCTTGCTCGATGGGCTCATAAACAAAGGAGCCATAGTAGCAGGGATAGAGGCTAAACATGGAGTTAACATGGATTTCCACCTACCAAGGCTTAACTGGTAAACACTACTGATGAGTGTCAAACCTATCAACAGCAGAGACCAACACTGAGTCCCCAGTGGCACCACTCCCCATGGGGACCACGTTCATTGATTATACTGGACTCCCATCATGGAGGAAGCAGAGATTTGTCTAGAGGATTAGACCCATATTCTGGATATAGAGTTGTCTTCTCTGCTTGTAATGTTTCTGTCAGCACTATCATTCATGGACTCACAGAATACCACATGCAACCATCATGGTATCATAGCTAATCAAGAAACTCATATCAGAGTAAAGGAAGTACAGCAACTTTGAGCTCTACTGGTTTGGAGATCTTGGTCCCAAAGAAGGAATACTTCTATCAAGAAACACAAAAATAATTCCAGTGAATTGGAACATAAGACTACCACCTGGACAATTTGGGCTTCTTATGCCACTGAACCAACAGGAACTTTACAGGCTGGAGTGACAGATCCCAATTACCAAGGAAAAACTGTGTTGCTTCTATATAATCAAAGCAAGGAGCTCTAGGTCTGTAACCCAGAGGATTTTCTAGGGAGACTCTTAGTACTTCCATGCCCAAAAAGTTAATGGAAAACTACAGAAGCAACAATCCACAAAGGCAGGATGATGCTCAGACTCTTGGGGAATGAAGGCTTGGGTCACTTCACAGAGTAAAGAACCCCAAGCAGCTGAGCTTCTGGCTAGGGCAGGTGTCTTAGTCCATTCAGGCTGCTATTAACAGAATAACACAGAATAGGTGGCCTATAAACAATAGAAATCTTTCTCACAGTTCTGAAGACTGGAAGACCAAGATCAAGGTACCAGTGTGTGGTGAGGACCTGCTTCTTGGTTCACAAACAACTGTCTTTTTACTGTGTCTTCACATGGCATAAAGGAGAAGGGAGTTCTCTGGGGCCTCTTTTATATGGGCACTAATCCCATTCATGACAGCTCCACTGTCATGACCTAATCACCTCCCAAAGGCCACATCTCCAATACCATCACCTTGGGGACTTGTTTTCAACATATGAATTTCCTGGGGCAGGGGGTTGGACACACAAATATTCAGCCTATAGCAGCAGAGAAAAAATAAAATGAGTTGTGGAAGAAGAAAGCCATCGATACCAATTATAGCCTTGTTAATCAATATATACGTGAGGGCCGTATTAGCTCTGCATATTTCCTATTTGCTTGTTACACCACTGTACTGGAGTTTAAATGTATGTAAAAGAGTACATATGGAGGGCTTCCCTGGTGGCGCAGTGGTTAAGAATCCGCCTCCCAGTGCAGGGGGACACGGGTTTGAGCTCTGGTCTGGGAAGATCCCACGTGCCGTGGAGCAACTAAGCCTGTGCACCACAACTACTGAGCCCGCGTGCCACAACTACTGAAGCCCGTGCTCCTAGAGCCCGTGCTCCACAACAAGAGAAGCCACTGCAATGAGAGGCCCACACACCACAACGAAGAGTAGCCCCCACTCGCTGCAACTAAAGAAAGCCCGCGTGCAGCAACGAAGACCCAACGCAGCCAAAAGCAAATAAATTAATAATAAATAAATTAAAAAAAGAAAAAAAGAATGTGCAGCTTCTTCAGCCCCAGACTCCTAGCTCCTCTGGTGCCAGCTCTTGCAGTGCACTGGCCAGCAGTTTCTCCAGCAGCGCCCTCCCTCACCCCCAACAGTTTTATAGCAAAGTGCTTCTGGCTCCTAAGAAATGTGCAACTTCTTCTCCAGCACCAGATTCAGTGCACTTAAATTCTCCAGTGCCTACAGCACACAGTAGCCAGCAGCTTCCCCCTGGCACTCCCACGCCCAGGTGATTTTGTGGCAGAATGCCTCTGGTGAGACACCTTCCCTAACAACTTTCTTGGGCTTCCTGGAAAGCAGATTTCCAGCAAGCTTGAAAGGACAGATTTTCAGCGGCATGCAGCACCACGATGACTTCTTTACCATAGCTATACCATCACCAACAGGGTCTGAATCTCAGTCCTGGGAGTGGGGTGAACTCTTCCTTCCTTGGAAACTCTATCTCAGCCTTGGCGTTAATGACTGCACCTTGTATCTGTTTTATTTCTATATTCTTTAGAGCTCTCTTTACCTCTTACTAGACAAGCCCTCATTACTATAGATGCCTGTTATAGTTAAACATTCTTTATATTAAAAAGCCCCAACAGGGCTTCCCTGGTGGTGCAGTGGTTGAGAGTCCGCCTGCCAATGCAGGGGACACGGGTTCGTGCCCTGGTCTGGGAAGATCCCACATGCTGCGGAGCGGCTGGGCCTGTGAGCCATAGCCGCTGAGCCTGCGCGTCCGGAGCCTGTGCTCCATAACGGGAGAGGCCACAACAGTGAGAGGCCCGCATACCGCAAAAAAAAAAAAAAAAAAAAGCCCCAACAAATTACTAAGTGGTTTCTCTCTCCTGACTGGACCCAAACTGATACTAAAAGGAACTAAGGATTCTAGATCTGGGGCATGAAAGTAACTAGATGAATACTAGTTATCTTTTTCTGTTAGGAAGTAAAGAAGTGCTCCAGTAGCCAAAGTTACAACATTTAAAGCATCAGAAGAATAACTTAAGTGGACACCCTGAATCAATGAAAATCCATGGGTCCATAATACAGCATAAAGAGAAAGCCAGGGGAAAAAGTAACATTTAAGGCATCTTTAAAACAAAATCCTTATACTGAAAACAGGAAATTTAAAAGTTAAGATTCATCCTGCCTTTCTAGTGGGTACTCAGAAGAATGCCAATGTATATGTAGAAGGAAAGACAGAGTTAGCAAAACATTATTTTGCAAACCACAATGAAATTATTAAGGCAAGGATTATAAACTAGAATTTAACATTTGTACAAACTGCATTATATTACAAGGGGGGAAACAAACTTTATAAATGAAAGTATCAGACTACCATCATCCTAATCCAGTCAATCCTAGCATCACTAACAAACAGAAGGTCAACCAAAAAGTATAACTTGTGATAAACTGCAGCATGAAGTATCTAACATGTTTTCTGGCCAAAAATGTTTAACCTTTTAAAATTAATCCATCAAGCCTTTCCGTCTTTCTTACCAGGGTTCTGGGAAAGAATTAAGTCCTGCAGAAAATGATCTGAGTGTCTATTTTCTCAGTCATCCTATGGATGGTATACAGGAGAAAATTCATTACAAACAATGGGTGCCTTAGGGCATTTGAGGCTTAATTCTCTTGAGGAATTCCTACCGAGTAGGGCTGCTTTAGATATAACTTCCAATTAGAGGAATTACAGAGAATAGAAAAACAAACTAAATGAAACAAAGACAAGGCAACAGAAAATCCAGGAGGTAAGAAGATGCTTTATAAAACTAGTCCAATCTCTTCAACAAATCAGTGTCATTTTGAAAAAGAAGGAGAAGAGGGACTGTGATTAAGTCATAATAATTTGATACAAGGTATGGTTCTAGACTGGATACTGATTTGGAAAAATGCTGTAAATGCTATTTTAGGACCAACTCAGGAAATGTGAATATGGTTTAGGTATTTATTAAATGATATAAAAACTTACTGAAATAGAAAGATGAAGCTGGATGACTGGAAAAGCAGGCTGCAGAAGGGTAGGTAGAGCATATTTTCATTTGGATTTTCAAAATCTGTATATATGTTCACAGAGGATATGTGCTAAAGGATTAATAAATAGTGTGATCCCACGTGGTTTGAATGTAATTTGCTTATCTACATTTTCTAATTTTCTATTATAATATTTCTTTAAAATAAATGGTTAATTGAAAAATACATTTAACTTAAAAAAGTTTCCAATGAATTTCTAACACCAAACTGAACACAATTTTAAACAAAATTTTGTTTTTTCAAATAAAAAGTTCTATGATGCTGAAGTACTGAAACACATTCCTGAAAAATAATCTATTATAAACCACACTGTTGAGAAAACTGAGCTGGACAATAAAGACCTAAAAATGAGATGTGAGCTAGATAATCAATTTAATACCATCTAGTAGTTCAGAAATCAGCAAAATTTTTCTATAAAGGACCAGACAGTAAATATTTTAGGCTTTGCAGACCATATGGCCTCTGTGAAAAGTACTCAATTCTGCCGTTTTAGCCCAAAATTATGGACACAGACAACATGTAACTGAATGGGCATGACTGTGTTCTAATAAAACTTTATTTACAAAAATAGGTGACCAGCCCATGGACCATAAATTTACCCACCCTGGTCTAGGGCATTAAAATTTCCACCTAATCAGAAAGTAACTCTTTTTTAAAGGATGGTGTAGTATTAGCTAATCTATAATGGTGATATGGCTCAAAGGTCAAGTAAAGTCCTGTACCACCACCCTATCAAAAAATCTCAATTCATCCCTTAGAGAGGATCCTTTCCTTAAGTAAATTTATACACACTTCCCTTAGCACAGTCCTTGATCAAGAGCCTACAGTCAGTGGCATGAAGAAGCAGAAGAGCAAGGGACATGTAATCAGAAGACCTGAGTTCAAACTCTGAATTAGCAGTAGTGTCACTCAAAGCCTGTTTCTCATTCATAAAATGCAGAGAACGCCACCCTCAAAGCATTACTTAGAAGCTCAAAAAGTACAGCTTCTGAAAGTACTTTTTAACTGTAAAGTATTATATAAATGTCACCGTATTATCATTGTCAAATTTTGCTAAGAAAGCTATTTCACAATAGTGCAATTGAATTACTAAATAACCACCAAGGCTTTTTGCCCCTAGGCAGCAACTCAGTATTTCAAACATACTCACCAATAGAGATACCACTGTACTAGAATAGAAGGCCAAATCTTCTATAATTTCTGTGCGCCGGTTAGCTCCAATTCGTAAGGAACGACTATGTACTTCTTCAGGTAACACTGTAAGGATCTCCAGCAGAAAAGGCAGAGAAGTTACATCATTGCTATATCTAGGAAAGAAAAGAGAAGAGATATAAGTTATTCAGAATGTGCACCACACTCACAATCACAGCCCCACACAATCACATAAGATAACAACAGCCATCCGAACAACCACAACAACAAAAGTAGAATTCTCACTACTGTTAAAGGGGAGAAAAATAGATATACTTTTTTGGAAAGATATCTAGAAATCAAAATTTCAACTTACATAATAAATCTTTGACCCAGCAATTCCACTTCCAGAAATTTATATGTCAGAAAAATCTCACATACACATGCAGATGTATATGCACAAGTATTTTTTTATAATAGCAAAAATACTGGAAAAATATAAAGGTCCTCCATAATTAGGATAAAAAAGGTTACAGATATCATACAATGGAACATATACAACCATTATAACAAGTACCTGTGTCATAACGTGAGATGTCCACAACATATTAAGCAAAAAAAAGGATATGAAACGTATTTTTACACACAATTGAAAAAAATACATGTGTATGCATATTAATATATATGCACTTATTTATTTTAAAAGGCTTAAAGGGGGCTTCCCTGGTGGCGCAGTGGTTGAGAGTCCGCCTGCCGATGCAGGGGACACGGGTTTGTGCCCCGGTCCGGGAAGATCTCACATGCCGCGGAGCGGCTGGGCCCGTGAGCCACGGCCACTGAGCCTGCACGTCCGGAGCCTGTGCTCCACAACGGGAGAGGCCACAACAGTGAGAGGCCCGCGTACCGCAAAAAAATAAAAAAATTTAAAAAAAATAAATAAATAAAATAAAATAAAATAAAATGCTTAAAGGGAAGTCTAGAGGGCTATATAGTCAATCACCAATAGTGGTTACTTATAAAATACAGGAATAGGAAGAGGGGAAGGTATTTACTTTTTACTTTGAAAGTTTCCATACTGCTAGAATTTTTTCAGAGTATATATTAATATTATTAATAAAAAGTTTCTTAAAACAAAAAATAAATTATCCACGTAAAGGTTTTAATGACACACTATAGTTGGTGGTAAAAAGGACATCCACTTTGCTCAAAAATAATTTCCTAACCAAATGCCAAAATGCAAGCAAATATCAAGATTATCTTGCCAAGACCATGAGGAAATACTTTACTCAAAGCAGCAAGCTCCATATATCTAAAAATAATACTGTCCCTTTTATAGGCATGAAATAAACCCCAATTGGTAAGAATGTATACTCATAACAACTTTCAACTTAATATAATCTTAAACATTCTGACAATGTTTTTATAAAAACCACTGATATGACAGTGGGAGTGATCCACAAGGCAATGAAATACGTTGTTGTAGTTAATTCAAGAAGCGTGTGTGTGTGCGTGTAAACTATGAAGTTCTTTTAAGTCGTTGTAGTTAATTCAAGAAGCGTGTGTGTGTGTGTGTGTGTGTGTGTGTGTGTGTGTAAACTATGAAATTCTTTTAAGTCCCACACGACATATTTCTGTAGTATTTAAATTTTAAATGATTTTCTTTTAATCTAACAAAGGTTAATAAATAATTCTACGTTAACAGTTCGGGGGGAATAGGCCAAATGTCTAGCTATTGCTAACAGATTTCTCTGTGTAGGTTAATGGTAAACGCTAGCATATAGTCAATACAAGTTACTTACTTTTCTACCAATGTTTGTACACATCCCTTCCAGGAAGGCATCTGTAGAGCAAGGTCTGCTATTGCTAAAGCCAGCTGAGTAAAAAGAGATTAAATAAATGAATAGACAGATGAACAGAAATAGAGTTAGCATCAATATTAACTGGAAAGCAAAGAAACTAAATTTCTTCCAAACAATATGACAACTAAAACTGTGACACCACCCTCCTTCTCACTCCCACAGCTACATATCATGTAAATTCTTCTGGGTTAACTACAAATTGCTGGCATTTAAAAGTTAACCTTTAAAAATGAAAAACCAAACCAAAAAAATAACAAAAAAAAGTCAGAAAGAACAGACTATAGATTTTCCTCAGAATATATCAATACTTACTTTTATTTGGCAATACCATAGAACTTCATGGACATATAAATTATACTCTGCCAAAAAGCCAAAGCTACTGACAAAGTCAGCCCTTTGACTCACTCCTCAAGTAATGGACTGCCATTTCCCTTCTCTTCACGTCTTATCTTGAAGGCTTATGCAAAAGCCTACTTCCCCTGCAAAGACACTTCTATGCCAGGCAGAGAACACATGTGAGTACGTACTCACTGAAGCTTCTAGTTTTCGTTTCTAATGTATTTCCCTACCTAAGGTGGAAAGGCCAGATGCTCTAGTTCACCACTTCATTCATGAGACTTTTACTAGCCAATCAGTCTAGAAAGGATTTTTTTAAAAGACAGGTATGTAGACTTCTGACCCAGGACAGTACTTTAGCATCTACAATTTTAACAGCGGGGTGGTGTGTGTGTGTGTGTGTGTGTGTGTGTGTGTGTGTGTGTGTGTGTGTGTGTCACCTCCCCCACTTTTTGGTATTCAAGTTAGTTTGGTATCAAATGAATTCTAAGATGAATACAAAGATTTAAATATTCACTTTCTATTCACCTATAAGAATATAGCAATGAGTCTGTAAAAAAGTTAACATCACTTCACATGGGCTAGCAAGCAATGTCAATCAAAATTGACTTGATAAATCCAAATGGTCTTACAAATTTTCCTAATGAGAAGCATAGGATTTACCTGAGTTACAATGACAGGTGACAAGTCTTTCAAGTTCTGGATATGGGTTAGTAATGAGTCCCGTAAAGAGGCATGAGAGTCTGTGGGGAGCTCATAAAATGAGGTCTGAATCTTCATTTTCATGGTCTGTGCAGCAAAATAGCATGATTCCACATCTTGCCGGATCTGTAACAACTGGTCTGAAATCTCCCATGCATGAACCTGAAAGTAGATCAGACAAAAAAAGAGTCTTAAAAACTACTTTTCTAAACAACGTTTATGCCATACAACCTCAATACATATACAAACTTATTTAGACCAAAGTATAATGAAAGAAACATCTGACAAGCTAAATTGCCCACTAATTCAGCCAAAACTTCAAACTACGGTATATATTTATAGGCCGTGCTCAACAAAAGTATTACCTAAAATCTTCTAATTGTAGGAAGGCATGACAGTTATCAACTGAATAAACAGATCTAATCCTGCTGACTAGAATTATTAATTGTGTAGGGGGGAGAGTATAAAGAAAAATGTCCCAAAAGTTTCTACTAAAACTAAAATGTCACTGTATAGCTTCCAACCCTAATCTATAGGTTGGATGTTTCTTCTCTTTTCCACTTAAAATAAGTAAGCTTTTGTTCACTCTAAGAATTGAGTCTGGAAGGTATTTTAATATATCTATAAATAGGAGAATATATTTCATATTGGTCTCAATAGACCTACATTTCAATCTTTAGTACCTGACTAAAACTACAAAAACTATTTCACATGCTTCAAATTATTTTCTAATGTTTTTATATTTGGCACAGTGCTGTATATGCTACTAAAATCATTTCCACAGGAGCATCTATGGAAATAATAAAGAGAGCAAAAGCATAGAATTTGGTCTCTAACAGCTAGTAACAGTTATAAAACAAAACCTTATTTTGAAAGATAACTTTCGGAACAAACTCATGCAGTATAAAGTAGGCAACTAATTAACAAGCGATAAATTCTAATCCAATTCTATACCAAACTGCCTCTTCATGGGAGTGGGAGCAGGCTAAAATGGGCTGTTAATAATGGACTGAAAATCTTTTTCAATCCCAATTCAGGAACAGAGCCAACTGTAAAGAAAGATCAGAGATTTACCTACTCAATTTCTTATGAAGATAGAGCACTTCGCGTAATACACAATGATTCTTCAAGATCTTTCCAAAGATAAATGACAAGTCAAGGAAATGGCCTGTATGAGTTCCCAAAGTAAACTGAAAAGACACAGTTCCCAAAGTAAACTGAAAAGACTCTAAAACTCACAATGATATATCTATTGACATAAAACTTAGCTTTAATCAAGTAATAAGTTGGTGAAAAAACAAGCATGAAACATTAACTTCCTTCTAGATAAAATGTATTTATTAATTTTTTGTCCTTTTTACCCCTAGCATACTGTCACAAAAAATCTTCCAAGCCACAGTTTTTAGCCATTCATTATCTAACCAGTAACCCAAGCACATCTACGATTTAATATGCCATCAAAATATACCTCCCTCAAATTGATACTTTAAAATATAATAGCAAATAAGCAGCCTTGGAATCACCATAAATGTCCTCATAAAAACAGAGCAATTAAAGAGCAAAACCAAAGCACTACAGACATTTACAACAAAACTAGGTATTATCTAATTATCTCCAGGAACCCCAAAATATAAGTGGATGGGGACAAGCCAGTGACATCTGTAAGACCTGTTTCAACTTCAGTAAAAGGCAGAAGCAGAGGGAAACAATAGGGTATCTAATGGATCTAAGAGCAGAGAATACCAAGAGTCAACGGGGATTCACTAGAAAGCACAGGGAACAAATCTGTAGATGAAAACAGAAAAGGTTTCGCCCAATCCAAAAGCAAATGAGTTAAAGAGGCCTATGCAAGGTCTAAGGAGATGGAACAATCTAGCCTCTATACACTCTTAAAACTGAAAAGTGGGCTTCCCTGGTGGCGCAGTGGTTGAGGGTCCGCCTGCCGATGCAGGGGACACGGGTTCGTGCCCCAGCCCGGAAGATCCCACATGCCGCGCAGCGGCTGCGCCCATGGGCCGTGGCCGCTGGGCCTGTGCATCCAGAGCCTATTGCTCCGCAACGGGAGAGGCCACAGCAGTGAGAGGCCCGCGTACCACAAAAAAAACCAAAATACAAAACAAAAAACTGAAAAGCCAGGGCAGAGCCCCAAACTGAGGAGAAACTGCTGTGAAAAGTCAATACTATACAGGACAAGTACAACAGAGACAAAGGAAAAAAAGGAGAAGGTAATAACAAAGCTCGGAAATCTTAGAAATCAAACTACCGTATCTGTAAATACTATCTGAAAACAAGAGAAAAGGAAGCTCTATGAAGTTGGGAATACTATCCTTAACTATGCCTCCTTCCAAAAGTTCAAAAAACTAATTTCACAAGAAATAAGCTCAAATAAATAAGTTCAAATAAACAAGCTCAAATAAATAAGCTCAAATGCCATATATATACAGCAACTGGGGGCCGGTGCGGATAATGAGAAGAATAGCATGCTTACAAAGAAAGCAGGCCAGAAAACCATTTTAAAAACTAGCCTAGGAGCTTCTCTGGTGGCACAGTGGTTAAGAATCCGCCTGCCAATGCAGGGGACATGGGTTCGAGCCCTGGTCCAGAAAGATGCCGCGGAGCAACAAAGCCTGTGCGCCACAGCTACTGAGCCTGCACTCTAGAGCCCACGAGCCACAACTACTGAAGCCCACGCACCTGGAGCCCATGCTCCGCAACAAGAGAAGTCACCGCAATGAGAAGCCTGTGCACCGCAACCATGAGTAGCCCCCGCTCATGGCAACTAGAGAAAGCCCGTGCGCAGCAATGAAGACCCAACACAGCCAAAAATAATAAATTAATAAAAATTATAAATAAATAAAAACTAGCCTAAAGTCCAAAGGACATAGAAGCCAACTGAAAAAGCTCCCAATGGCCTAAACTAGAAAACCTGGGCGTAACAAATTATGACAGTATTGGATTATAATTCAAAAATAAAACAATATCCATGAGTCCATACTGATGTGAATAACAACTGAATAAATAACTGGGGAGAGGTTATTTGCAGGATATAAGACATCTTTTTTAACAGAAGAATGCTAGTTAATAAATGTGGAAGGAATGAGGGAAATAGAAAATCACCACCATTAGAACACACCAGAAATAACTGCTACAAGCAAGATTCATGGATAAATGATAAAATACAACAAACTATCTCCCCAAAATATTCATTGGTTACTGTGGTGGTTTTAATATATGTCCACATATTCTTTAACGCTTACCATTAAGAACTCTGACTACTCTAGTAGAGAGACAACATGGAGACTTCGCTGGAGAGACAATGTAAAGAGACCTAACACTACATGGAAAGCAAGTGGAGCCCAGTTAAGTCAAGCCTTCCAGCCATTCCTACCAGAGTGTCAGGCATGTAAGTGAAGCCATCTTAGAACCTCCAGACCACCCATCCACCAAATGGATGCCTCTTGGAGCAGAATCATTCACAGAACCTTGCTCAAAAATTTCCTCAAATTCATCACCACAAGGACAAGAGGATCAAATCTGCATCTCATTAAGCCTCTGGATCTAGGAGGCAATTTGCAGGAAATAAAGAGGAAAGCAGAACTGCATCCTAACTATGTAATCAACAAAATCAAGACTGTAGGAAACTCAACAGGTCAAAAGGCCCAGATTCCTCAACACAACAGGGAGAGAAAGAACCTGCAGATTAAAAGACACTCAAAGACCTACCTTAATTCACCAAGTTATACGTTTGTTTTGTGTGGTTTTCCTGTATCTGTGTTTAAAAAACAAAATAGAACAAAACAAACAAAACTCAATATTGCCTATTAAATTAAACTAGTATGAAGTCTTTCTCCCTAGTGAAATCTAACTGTCAACCCACCAGGTCAGAACCCTTGTGAAAAAGTTCATTGATGGTACAGTGTCATGTTGTGCTTTAATTTGAATGGCAGAAACCAGCAAAAAATACCAATTATATCATTCTTATTATCTGTATTTCTGACAAACATTTCTATCTCCTTAAAAGTAAAGATCTCAAAAATGAAGGGCAGAACTAAAAGTCAAAACAAAACAAAAAAAATATTTCCTTCTGCGGAACTGTTAACTTGGGTGTAGGGATGCAAAGAAGATTTCTTTTTCAAGCACCTTTGATGATGTTTGAATATTTTTTAACGTGTCCTTTGGAACTGTCTTTAAAAATAAATATAGATTTGTAGCCCTAATATAGAAGTAACTCCAAGATACTTTTAAAAAACAAAGATGCAGATGATATCATAAAATCCTTTTTGTAAAACTTTAAATTACACTCTTTTTTTTTGGAAAGCATAGTGAAGCTTTTAACATACAGGAATTAGTTTTATACCTGAAGCCTTAGCGTTCATAGCATTCATCAAGTGTTTCAACTTTGTTTTTACCACACTAGCTGTCTGTACACCAATTTTCCAGCCAAAAAAAAGTAGAAAAAAATTGATTAAATATCAAAAAGAACTTGTTTGAAGACATCAGAACTACCAAGACATCCAGAACATGAGGCCACAGATTCCAGAGAGTTCAGCCTAATATGTGGCTCCACCTTTCTCCACAAGGAATTTGCCTGTTTGAAAGTAGAAGACAAGAGGCTAAAGAGCTGAAGAGATTTGGGCAGTCACACGAGACTGGGGAGATGAAAAGTAGAATTCAGAGCCTGCCAAGGAAGAGGGGGCCTGGAAAATAGTCCAGATTTTCAGCTGGGACCCAGTGCAGGAAACAGGAAATGTACCTCAAAAAGGCTGAAACTTCTCCAGGATACACTAGATGTTAGGCCACAAAATAAGTCTTAATAAATGCAGAAAGACTGAAATCACAGAAAGTATGTTTTCCAATCAAAAATGAAATGCAACTAGAAATTAACAGATGGAAAACTGGAAATTTCACAAATATGTAAAAATTAAATATCAATTCTTAAACAACCAATGGGTCAAAGAAGGGAAATTAGAAAATATTTTAAGACAAATGAAAATGGAAATACAACATACCAAAACTTGTAAGATGCAGTGAAACAGTGTTAAGAGGGAAATTTATAGCTATACATATACACTTAAATTAAAAAAAGAAAAATTATCTCAAATCAACAACCTAACTTTATACCTTATGGAACTAGAAAAAAAGAAAAAAACTAAGCCCAAAGC